CAATGTGTTCTAGTGACAGAAAACTTTATCCGTTGACTTTAGAATATATATTTGTCGTGAGATTCTATTTTTTATTGCTTAAATGGGTGGAGGAGGTCACAGCCCGCTTAGTGTTAAGTAGTTACTGGAGCCCATCGACATCTACAACGTAAATGCGCCACCCACCTTGAGATATAAGTTCGAAGGTCTCAAGTATAGTTACAACGGCTGCCCCACCCTTCAAACCGTTGAAAAATTAAGATGGCAGTTTTTTTACCTACTCACTTGACACTTATCGTTATATTTTGGGTAATTCATACTATACCTTTATAAATTATAGCCTATGTGTTATTCTGATGCTTAAGCTATATTATTGTAAAGTATCATCCAAATCCATTTGGTAGTTTTTGCGTGAAAGACAACATACATCCATACACACAAACTTTTGCGTTTATAATATTGGTAGGATATTACAATGAAATCTGTTCTAGAAACATCCCGATTATTGAGCCGTGTCAGAGTCAAAACATAGTAATGTGACCCCAGCTCCAGCAAATTGGGTAATTGCTCCATTGGTTGGGTCCGTATGATGGTTGACAATTTAATTCTTGATCCAATAATGTATGAAGTTTACGAGCATTAGCCCGATTTAAACTTAGCTGACAAAGTAATGATATAAGCCTTTGTGAAAGAAACGGAACTTCTGAGATTAGAAGTGGCGGGTAAACTCTCTGGCGCCTAGGGAAATTAGGATGTAATTAGAAAGGGGAAGTTAGCTAGGGAAATAATGTGAGAATGCTGTTAGGTATTAAGGACGAATTATAAATATTAGCTGTTAGCTCGAAAAACATCTTTTTTTTAAGTTGAAATAAATATTTTCTAATTTCAATGGCAACAATAACAACAAAAAAAGGTACGTATTGTCCAAATGTCTACCCGTCGCTTGCGACGAAGGGCTCGGCGAGTAAAGTAACCCACAGACACAGCCCACTGAGTTTCTCGCCGGATCTTCTCAGTGGGTCGCGTTTCCGATCCGGTGGTAGATTCAGCGAAGCACTGCTCTTGCTAGGGCCAGTGTTAGTCACTCCGGTTTGAGCCCCGTGAGCTCACCTACATGTTAGGGCGAAGCTGAAATAGCCTCTCAAGGCTATCAGCATAGGTAGGGAAAAAAACACTACATATTTGTACTGTTAAAATTGAAATAAATATTTTCTAATTTCAATGGCAACAATAACAACAAAAAAAAGGTACGTATTGTCGAAATGTCAATGCGATATTCAGTTTTAAATGTGTCATTATTTTGTATTAAAATGACGTCAGAGTAGTTGTCTAATTCGATTCCTACAAGTGTTTATTCAGCTTTCAAATACATTACGTTAATCCAGAGTTTATGTGTAATAAATTTTATCTTTCGTGCAAATCAAATAGATTTGTTTAAACAGCTTACAATACGAAAACGGCGGTTCTGTCTTTTCGACTGTTTTACGTGTCACGCAACTAATAATAATAGTCAAAGGTTCATAATTCACTCATATTTGTTCTAATGTCATTGTTTATTCATGTCAAATCGTTTATATATCTAATATTTGTTTTGTATACGTTCTATGTTAGAGTGTAAACGTCAAGATTGGAAAAAAGTAAATCCCGACTCTCTTGCTGATTCCTCCCCGCGTTGAAATGATGATGATTCAAAATCCTCCGCATACCAATTTTTTTTTTAGTAAAAAACCAAGTTTTCTTTAACGAAAGTCTTATTTGCAAAATACGTCATGTTTATTAATATATTTATATGTGTTCAGACAATATTGTTCGCCCAATAATGGAAATTCGACCATAATCGATGTTACCTGAAACTTTTAAATAATTTAACGCATTAATGAGATAAATATTCTCATTTGTTGTGTTGTCAATTTTAAATGAATAATTTCGATGTTTTTATATTCGATAATGTTTATCAGTACCTAGCTAATTATAATAAAGAAACTGGTGGCACTTTTACGTAAGCCCAGTGATAATTTGGATCGGTTAGGTTAGGTTAGGTTAGGTTAGGTTAGTACAATATTAGGCGATTTTTTGCTTGCGCTCGACTAAGTGGAAACTACTAAATCGATTGCCAAACAGAGGCACTGGCATTGGCAATTAACTTTTTTGTGTTTCACACATTATTAAGGTAAAAATTAGGTTCATAGGGTGAACCTCTTAGTGCTTTTTATCGACTAGTAGGTATACAAAATCAACCAACCATCCAATAATAAGTCTTCTTCTTCTTTTTCTCCACCTTATTCCACTAAGTGGGGTCGTCACAGCTAATTTTTCTCTTCCATTCTCTTCTATAAGCCGTCATCTCAACACTCACTCCTCTCTCTCTCTCATATCGTCATTCACACACTCAATCCATGTCTTCTTTGGTCGACCTCTTCCCCCTCTACCTCGCACTACCATTTCCATACATCTCCTAGTCACATGCATCTTCTCTATACGCATCACATGTCCATACCACGCTAACCGTCCGCTCTTCAATTTGTTGATTACCGGGGCTACTTTCACACTTCCTCTGATATACTCATTCTTTATCTGGTCCATTCTTGTCACTCCACACATCCATCTCAACATTCGCGTCTCTACCGCATGCACTCCTCTTTCATGCTTTACTTTCATCACCCAGTATTCAGATCCATACAGCACGACAGGTCTGATGATAGTTTTGAACCTTTTTCCCTTGAGCGGAAGGGGCATTCTACGATCGCATACTGTTGCAGAGACCTGTCGCCATTTAATAAAAGTGATCTCAACTAAAAGTAGACCCCACTTCGTGATTCCTACAGACATTGGAGCGCATTCCTTTTTTTCCTGTCTCCAAAAAAAGAAGTTAATGTGAATAACATGTAATTAAAACTTTTTTAATATATGCTCCTATGTAAATTCTATTTTATTAATATAATAGTAATTTCTAAAAGACAAGTAGTAAAGTCTCAGTTGATTTAGTTTTTTATTTGTTTATTGCCCTTATAGGCAGGAGAGCATATGGCCCTACTGATGGTGAGTGGTTACCGTCGCCCATGGACTTCAGCGATGCCAGGGGCAGAGCCAAGCCGCTGCCTACCGTTTGTCTGATAATTGAGCATTAAGACTAGAGCTCTGGTCTTGTCTGGTCTACTCGTAGACAAGACTAGACTCTCGTTTTGTTCATCCATAATTATTGCCATAAACATAGACAGTGTCTATTTATACACGGTAATAAAACGTCAACCGTCGGTTGTGAGCTATCAAATTTTTATTAACAATGTCCATAGCCATTAAATTAAACACTGCTTATCGATCGAGTTTTAATCATCGCTTGACCTGACCACACACGGATGCTGACGAAAAAACAAAACTAAACTATTGTTTAATTGACGATAAAGATAAGATAACGAACTATGAACCGGATACGAAAGAGCGTTGCTCAAATCGGAAACTTATCTTAAACCTTGCCCTTAGATAAATTTATATTATTATTGCGCTTGTAGGCAGACAAGCATACGGCCCATCCGATGGTAAGTGGTTACCGTCGCCCATGGACTTCAGCAATGCCATGAACAGAGCCAAGCCGCTGCCTACCGTTAATTAATATTCACAAATTATTTCATATACACTACTTTGATTGGATNGTTGCTCAAATCGGAAACTTATCTTAAACCTTGCCCTTAGATAAATTTATATTATTATTGCGCTTGTAGGCAGACAAGCATACGGCCCATCCGATGGTAAGTGGTTACCGTCGCCCATGGACTTCAGCAATGCCATGAACAGAGCCAAGCCGCTGCCTACCGTTAATTAATATTCACAAATTATTTCATATACACTACTTTGATTGGATATTTGAACCGTATTTCTTAGTAAATAATTTTTAGTATTTTCTTTGTTTTTCTTGCCGTTTGATAAATTTCTAATTATTATTCACAAATTATTCCATATACACTACTTTGATTGGATATTTGAACCGTACTTTTACTGGTGGTAGGACCTCTTGTGGGTCCGCACGGGTAGGTACCACCACCCTGCTTATTTATGCCGTGAAGCAGTGATGCGTTTCGGTTTCAAGGGTGGAGTAGCCGTTGTAACTATACTTGAGACCTTAGAACTTGTATCTCAGGATGGGTGGCGCATTTACGTTGTGAATGCCTATGGGCTCCAGTAACCACTTAACACCAGGTGGACTGTGAGCTCGTCCACCCATTTATGCAATAAAAAAAAACTTCTTAGTAAATAAGTTTTGGTATTTTATTTGATTTGTCGTGGACATGATTGAAACTAATTTTACTTTCGCATATTTTATTGTCACCTTACATTATTTAAAATTTTCAAATATTTTACAGCTCTCATGGTCATTGGCTTGAAAAAAAAGTACTTTTAATAAAATTGTGTTACATCGAATTATTAACCTTAAAGCTTTAAGTGTACTGTTTGTGCTTTCCGACTTGAAGAGTCTGACTGCGATCACGTAATAAACCACGTGTACCGCTTAATACGAAACGGGCGGTTTTCAGTCGCTGCCAAATCTCCAACAAGGCTCCCAGCTCAGAGTGCGCCGCGAGTTAAATGAGATTCTAAATGACTAAACTGAATATACCCGGATGATGTTCGCCCAGCAAAAAACCATTTCGAATCACACCTTTTTTTTATTGCTTAGATGGTTGGACGAGCTCACAGCCCACCTGATGTAAAGTGGTTACTGGAGCCCATAGACAATTACAATGCAAATGCGCCACCCACCTTGAGATATAAGTTCTAAGGTCTCTGTATAGCTACAACGGTTGCCCCAGCCTTCAAGCCGAAACGCATTACTGCTTCACGGCAGAAATGGGCGGGGTGATGGTACCTACCCGTGTGGGCTCATATGAGGTCCTACCACCAGTAATTACGCAAATTATAATTTTGCGGGTTTGATTTTTTTGGACAGCTCAACAAAAATGATCACCAATTATTAACTTCATGAATTTCTTGAGATCATTCGCTAAATACAATATTATTTGTTTCAGATAAATGCTCGTTGGCGTGCAAAGGATGTAAGTTCATTAATTACTTTATCTTAATGCGTAATTACTGTTCCTTGTCTCCGTGTAAGCAATGTCAACGCTTTCCTTTGTTTATTCGTGGCCTTTGAAAACGACCTGGGACTCTTATCGTGCTCGTCGGAACAGACCGCAATTATTATAAAGTACCTACTTTCGTTGGACTAATAATTTTACGGCTGCTGGTACTAAGCCGAGATCCATGGACATTGAATGTGAATTTCGGCCCGATATTTGAAAATATCTGCCCGAATCTAGTGCTTTATGATTGGGATTATCAGAAAAGAATGGTACGTCCAGATAAAATTTCACGAATGGATTAGAAAGAAATCTTCAAATAATTGATTTCTTCATTAAACCAACGTTAGCCAAACATCATCTCTAACCAAGAACTATTTTGCTGTAATCTTTTTGACATAATATGTTCATACCTGGTTAACCTACTGACACTGTTCTATTTCTATTAGTTATGCCGTCAAGTTTGAGCCTCTGCCGGACAAAGTCTTGTTGGCATCCGAAAAAGACCAAAGTGTGGTCAATTACAGCAGACTAGTTCATATTGAATTCGAGAACCTAATGATACATCAAAAAGTAATATTGATTTTGGTCTTCCCCAGCACCTGCCGGCCCAACCTTTCAAGCTGGGCAGACGTATAATTATGGAGTCGAAGGGTCGGTCACGATTTTTCTGTCTGGCGCTGACAACCAGGAGACCGGCGTCAAGCTTTTAGGTCAGGTTTCAGTGACAGCACTGGATAACTGCAACTACCAGTTGGATGTGCAAAAGCTGAGCGTCTCTGGGCCTGATGGAAAGGTGGGTTGTACATTGTAAATAAATTTAAGGCCCTTATAAGGGCAAACTACCAATGCCCTAAAATGATTTATTGTTTTTGTCTGGTGACTATGCCCTAGCAATAGTTTTATTAACCTCATTGATTGTGATCAAGTGTTATGTTCCACATAAAAATAATTTCGTGCAACGTATTGTATTTAATAACGTGGAGCTGTTCTTATCACTACTACAATATCAGATGAAAATGATCGCTGCTGGTCACCTTATCGCCAGTTTATCAGAAAAAATATAAAAATCGTTCATTGAAAAACTAAATAGCTTATCTAAAATATCTTCTAATTGAAAGAGCGAGGTTGCTTTAATCAAACCACCGATGCTATATTATAGTATAAAATATATATAGAATATAATATCTTAATATAAAACACGGGCTAAGCAAACTTAATTACCAATTTAAATAAGACATTTTTCTGAAGACTTTTTTGAATTTTTTTATTGCTTAGATAGGTGAGTGGACAAGCTCACGGCGAAGCTGGTCTTAAGTAGTCCTCGGAGCCCATAGACTTCAACAATGTAATTACCGCCACCCACGGATACAAATGCACCGGGCATCTTATCATTTAGGCCACGACGATGCACGAAGCCCTAGAACTTACACATTGCCATGGACATCTTTCACAAGTTTGTCGTCAGCATTTGGTGTCGTAAGGTGATTCCAGTTAATGTGGAAAGAGGTGTTAGGAAAACTGATAAAACTATGACCCTTAAACCAGCGACTTTGTATACGACTAACGCAAGAAATACTTGGAAACACAAACATAAATAACCTTTATCGAAAAACCTTTTTTTTTTTTTTTTTGTTATTCTATACAGTAAGCTGTCGTAAGACATTCAACCGTAGTTTTGATAAAAATAATTTCGGCGGTGCATGCACAATGTCCATTGACATGTCCATATCAATTAATCTACAGTACATCTAGTAGATCTTGAGGCAATCTTCTTCTGAGTCTTCTTGTAGTCATTAGGTTGTCCATTAAATGCTTAGCAAGGTTATTCGGATGGGCTTCCAATCTTACACAATATGCTTTAGCTCGATGGATTACTTCATGTTTGACTTTTCTTATGGCAAGATCATAATGGATTCTTTCATTTGTAACATACCATGGTGCGTTCACTATCATCCTGAGCGTTTTTGATTGAAATCTTTGGANTATTAAACATTCCTTTATGGAATATTTGTTGTGATAAAATTTTCGTTTTGTTCCTATCTTCATGGGATTGCAAAATTTTGCCCCCCCCAGAATCCGTGGGGCAGCCTGAGTTTCGCACTGGGCTCTGCTCAGAGAGGGATTCCCCAGCCTTGATACAAGAGCTGGAACCCTCCTGGGGTAGTTTGTTCTTAAATCTTGCTTCCATATTTAATTTTATTTATGCCTACAATCGGGCAGACGACCTAGCCTTTGGTGAGCCAACACCTATGTACAAGGCAGCACTTGGTTTGTTATTCGGAGTACCGTCTCCTAGACCAACAGCCAACCAAGGCTTTCGAGGATGGTCTCCCCGGGTCCGAGCTTTGATTAGAGTGGCGGCTCCTACTCGCCACTGACGTCCAAATGTCATTGGGTTTTGCACCGCTTTATAGAGACTTCCCCGCCACGAGAAATCCCGGTGCCCCTCGAAATGGACCGCTCAATTGTCCGCGACTGCACATGGCAGCTAGCATCCATATCTGGAAGCCGTTTCGCTATCCGCAACCTGCGACGCGCGTGGTGGCACAGAGCATGTGCCATCTGGGAATGGTGCCCAGACCACGTATCGAAAAACCTAGCTGCCATTCGTACTCCTCACTCTTTGATTCTGTTGCAGAAATACGAGAGCCCACCCGGTATCAAAAAGCCGGTCAAGTTCGGTTACCAAGACGGCAAGATCCAGCCACAGATTTGCGCGGAAGAAGACGACACACGCCAATCGTTGAACATTAAAAGAGCCATCATCTCGTTGCTGCAGAATGAACAAAAACCATCGACACAGGTAAGGTTCCTTTTGTTTGCCCACCTATCTGGCAGTAGCTTCGAGGGGCTGGCTTCAACCTAACTGGTCTTCACAGGACAAAGCCTGTTAGAACTTGCTAATCTGCCCTAGCAAGAGCAGTCCTCGCTCAATCTACCAAAGGACTGAAATCGTGCGTGGTCAACTGTCAAAAATTGTTAAAACTTAGTTTAACCTAGTGGGATGCTTTTTTGCTATTAAGATCTACGTCACTCCCTTGACCTATAGCTTCTAGATCCATTACTACGTTTCGTCATGAAAAACAAAAAAATATTATATAATTACTGACTTCTTTTTTTTATTTTTATTTTTATGCTTAGATAGGTGGACGAGCTTACAGCCTACCTGATGCTAAGTGGTTACTGAAGCCTATAGACATCCATAGATATCTACAATGTAAATGCGCCATCCATCTCGAGATATAAGTTGTAAGGTATCAATATAGTTACAACGGCTGGCCCATCCTTCAAACCGAAACGCATTACTGATTCACGGCAGAAATAGGCGGGGTGGTGGTACCCACCCGCGTGGACTCACACGAGGTCCTACCACCAGTAAATTATCTGACTTATTTGTATAATAATTAGTAACATATCTAATTAGTGATTTCAATCTTTTGGCATAAGAACTTAGTTAGTGACCAGATACAGGTAAACTAGGATTAACTCAAAATTATTCGTCATCCCACAGGTGGACGTGTTTGGTATTTGTCCTACTGAAGTGTCGACCTCACACGAAGGCGGAGCAGTTATTGTGCACCGCAGCCGCGACCTGTCCCGGTGCTCCCATCGAGAACAGGGAAAATCCGACATCATAATTTCCAACGTCAATCCTAATGCCGTGAGTGTTTATATTACATTTTTATTCGTTTACATAGGTAGAACTCGCTGTGGCTTTAATAACAACATAATTCATGTAGTCATCTAATTGATAATGTTTATTTATATTATTATATATATTTATTTAAGTATTTGTATCTATAAATATTATGTATGTTTTATATATACACTACACCTACTAACCAAGGTTCATCTCTGCACTCCCCTAAGGTAGTCTGTCAGAGAATGCCTATGGCATNGGGCTGGCTTCAACCTAACTGGTCTTCACAGGACAAAGCCTGTTAGAACTTGCTAATCTGCCCTAGCAAGAGCAGTCCTCGCTCAATCTACCAAAGGACTGAAATCGTGCGTGGTCAACTGTCAAAAATTGTTAAAACTTAGTTTAACCTAGTGGGATGCTTTTTTGCTATTAAGATCTACGTCACTCCCTTGACCTATAGCTTCTAGATCCATTACTACGTTTCGTCATGAAAAACAAAAAAATATTATATAATTACTGACTTCTTTTTTTTATTTTTATTTTTATGCTTAGATAGGTGGACGAGCTTACAGCCTACCTGATGCTAAGTGGTTACTGAAGCCTATAGACATCCATAGATATCTACAATGTAAATGCGCCATCCATCTCGAGATATAAGTTGTAAGGTATCAATATAGTTACAACGGCTGGCCCATCCTTCAAACCGAAACGCATTACTGATTCACGGCAGAAATAGGCGGGGTGGTGGTACCCACCCGCGTGGACTCACACGAGGTCCTACCACCAGTAAATTATCTGACTTATTTGTATAATAATTAGTAACATATCTAATTAGTGATTTCAATCTTTTGGCATAAGAACTTAGTTAGTGACCAGATACAGGTAAACTAGGATCAACTCAAAATTATTCGTCATCCCACAGGTGGACGTGTTTGGTATTTGTCCTACTGAAGTGTCGACCTCACACGAAGGCGGAGCAGTTATTGTGCACCGCAGCCGCGACCTGTCCCGGTGCTCCCATCGAGAACAGGGAAAATCCGACATCATAATTTCCAACGTCAATCCTAATGCCGTGAGTGTTTATATTACATTTTTATTCGTTTACATAGGTAGAACTCGCTGTGGCTTTAATAACAACATAATTCATGTAGTCATCTAATTGATAATGTTTATTTATATTATTATATATATTTATTTAAGTATTTGTATCTATAAATATTATGTATGTTTTATATATATATATATATATACATATGTTTAAGTACCTAATAACACTATAACACTACGCCTACCAAGTTTCATCTCTGCACTCCCCTAAGGTAGACTGTCAGAGAATGCCTATGGCATTAATGAATGAATAAATGAATGATTTATTTCAGACAACAACAAGTCCATATGTGTACATAACTAGTCAGGTAATAAGTATTGTCACACAGTAAAAACTTTTCTTTTAGAATGCTGGCCACAAAAAAGTTTATTGAATTCGAATTTCGAATTGTTCATGAAAATAAAAAAATGTATACTTTTAGAATTTTACTAATTTTTAAATATGGAGTGGACGCTTAAAGAAGACCGTGTTGCAGTTATTGCGTTGCATCGTTGCGGTTACGCGCCAATTCAAATTTTTAGCATACTGAAAAATTTGAATATAACCAAAAGATTCATAAGAGTCATAAGAATCTATGTTTTGTTAAGTTCACTTTGGTATATGAATGGTTACATAATGAATAAACTTGTTTCAATTATTTTACATTAAACATGTCACAGAATTTATGACCTGACTAGGTAGTATCATTGAAACATACTTAAAATTAACAAAACCAATCAAATAAAAAAGATACATTTATTAAAAGTAATTATCAGTTGAATACATTTCAAATATTTCATTCGACTGATACTTACTTCGAACTAATCATTATTATTATTATTTTTCGGAAAGTTAATCTTTTCTTAGCACTTTGGCTAGTCTGAACCACATCCACGGGCCTAAGCCAAGTGAACGCAGCGTGTAGTAAGGAAAATTTATGTTGACGGTATGTTATTCATCATTCATCATTATCCTGCCCTTCTCCCAGTCACCTGGGGTCGGCGCAACATGTTTTCTCCTTCCATACTCTTCTATCATATACCATTTCTTCGCTCACTCCCCTCCTACCCATATCGTCTTTCACACAATCCATCCATTTCTTCTTAGGTCTACCTCTTCCTCTAAATCCTTCCACATTCATAGTTAACACTCTCTTAACAACNCATCATTATCCTGCCCTTCTCCCAGTCACCTGGGGTCGGCGCAACATGTTTTCTCCTTCCATACTCTTCTATCATATACCATTTCTTCGCTCACTCCCCTCCTACCCATATCGTCTTTCACACAATCCATCCATTTCTTCTTAGGTCTACCTCTTCCTCTAAATCCTTCCACATTCATAGTTAACACTCTCTTAACAACTTCATTTTCATTTCGTCTCATCACATGTCCATACCATCCCAAACGTGCGCTCCTCAGCTTCTCTGTCACAGGTGCCACTTTCAGACTTCCTCTAACATATTCATTCCGTATTCTATCCATTCTCGTTACTCCACACATCCATCGCAACATTCGCATCTCTGCTGCATGCAATCGCCTTTCATCCGCCACTTTCGTTGTCCAACAAGCTGATTTATGTTGACGGTATGTTATTATGAGGGGCAATGTCGTTTTCGTCTATCTGCAAGAATTTTCTGACTATTCTACATGTATTCAAGATTGCGGGTTTTTGGAGAGTTATTTAGAGTGTTTCTTTGAGGTCTAATAGTTTTAGGCTATGGAGAGGATTATTATTATTATTATTATTTAGTCCGTAAGTTTATACTATCTAGTATATAAAGTTATAAATTAATAAATAATTTAAATGCTCAATTGAAGCTTTCCACTAAATCGAACAGGTGCCCCGTTTCCAAATCGCAACTGTTCATCCGTAACAGAACAGATAACGAACTATCTCGTAATATGGTAAACGATGATTTGTCTACTATACGATTTTTATCATGTAGAATTGAAATTACTCTAACTAATCCGTTTTTTTATATCATTACTAGAAATGGCATAAAAATGGCGTCATTCATCTTGAAGTAGGAAATACCTGAATCTCCATTACATTTGATAGACATAATTATTTATTTAGCCTTAAAAACAGCGGACAGAATCCACGCGGACTGGCCACGTGAAATTGACAAAAAAGCAATAACGAATTAAATTTTGCAGGGCGTCAAGGATATGCAAGTCCTTCAGTCGACGCTGAATGTAGAGTCCAAGGTTATTAACGGTGTACCAGAGAAGGTGGCTGCCACTGAAGAGTATCTTTACAAGCCTTTCTCCATTGGAGAGAACGGAGCTAGAGCTAAAGTTCATACCAAGTTAACTTTAACTGGCAAAGGAAAAGCTGTCGCTCCTTCGAGTGAGTATTCCGAGGGTTTCTGTAGTCAATAAGACGATCCTATAATCTGGTAAATAAAATAATTTTTTTTTGTTGTTGCTAAAATGGGTGGACGAGCTCACAGCCCATCTGGTGTTAAGTGGTTACTGGAGCCCAAAAACATCTACAACGAAAATGCGCCACCCACCTTGAGATATAAGTTCTAAGATCTCAGTATAGTTACAACGGCTGCCCTACCATTCAGACCGAAACGCGTTACTGCTTCACGACAGAAATAGGCAGGGTAGTGGTTGCTACCCGCGCGGACTCACTAGACGTCCTACCACTGGTAAAAAGCTTAGTTGTGTAATTTTACACTTTCCATTATTTTAGACGGTCACGTGGCTTCGAATATATTGCTTATGGCCTTCATATATTCCAAGTCATAACGGCCACTAAACATAGGTTTTCTACAAATTTCATAAATTAGAGATCTTCATCGTTCCCTCACTGCTAAGAATCGCGACTACGTGTGATTTTCCTCCATAGTGTCCGATCATGGGTGGCATGGACCGTATGGTATAGACTAACACCAACTACTCCTTTAACCAGATCTGACCATTTGGCTGTTGTTCTACCCACAATTCGAGATAGATAAATCTAATTCAAGCATCTTGTGAATAATAAAATTAAAAATAAAAAAGCTCTTTATTCCATGCAATTACATTTTTTTTAGTAATTTTTTTTTATGTGCATGGACCCCTCTCAGGTAAAGGCCTCCTCCAAAGATTTCCATTTTGTTTTGTCTGTAGCGACATAAATACAGTGTAGTCCAGCAACTTATGAATATAAACTAAAAATAATGATATGAGATTCTTAACGATTGAATTTTTCTAGGCAAATGCACTGACGTTAACAGCATTATCTTCGAGAACCCTCACAATGGAGAGAAAGTCCCTAAGAACGACCACGCTTGTCTCGGAGCAGTTAAAGAAGTTGCCAAGAGCGTTACCAATAACGTCGGAGCAAACTCAGCATCGAGTTTCGCTCAATTAGTCAGAGTGAGCATTGTTATTTTATCTTATTACTTGTGAAGTAGTCCTTCTGAAAGTTCGACTTAAGGCTCTTTGGAGGTGTTAGTGAGGTCACCAGTGGCGGGTTGCACAATAAGGATTTCGTAATACAATATATAGACAATTAACACAAAGTATATTTATAAGAAAATAAATAATAGTTTAAAAAAACTAACATGATTTTATTGTAAAAAAAGCGTGGGGTGCATGGTATAAGTAGTTATAAATATTTTATGAACAGATATGAGTAGAAAGAAGGGTTATTTTGATAATATCCTCAAAAAGCGTGGGGTGCTTTTTTTAAAATAAAATCATTTTTTCTTACACTATTTTTAATTCAAATTTATTACAATTTATTTTTAATTTTTTATTTGGATTTTCTATAAAAGCGTATTTTTTTAGTGTCTTTAAACTATTATTTATTTTTCATTCCATATTTTTTTATGTTGTATTGTCATCAGTTCTTAATAAATATACCAAATTTCAAGTTAATCCGACGTCTTGAAGGGGGCCAAAATCATGTTCAAAGATTCCGTTACAAACATACATACGTCTGAAGCTAATAAAGGCGTATTAAAAAGGAGAAAATACGGAGAGCAAAAGGCACCGATAAAGCGGTAGAAAGTCTAAAAACAATATTAAACACATAAGCATGAGTAAAAGATCGCCACCAAGAAAAAGCGTGCGCGCGTGGGTCGAGTGACCCGGGCTTCGCGTGGCTTAGACAAAACCCCCTCGGTGGAAGATCTCCCTTTCGTCGTTAAGCATTCCACACTAGTGATATTGCTCGGTAGACCAACGGTCCTAATGTTGTTGTTCGGAAATTGTATATATACAAGCTTATCTTGAAAATGTCATTAGCGCGATTCAGGCATCTGTCAAATATCTTTGTGTTATATGATAGCTACCCGCCACAGGCTCAAGCTTCCACTCATCAGTATGTAATATGGGGTTGCAGTTTGGCCAACTATCGCAACACACAGTTGACTGGTTAATAATCTCGATCAACTATGTTTTGTCACCCGGAAAATTTGGCTCACTCGGAGATGTCCCTAACATCCATTGGATTGTTCCCGAAATAGGCCTTAACTTTATTTTTTTCACAACTATCTTCAAACTAAAGCCGCACGATCGTATTTTGAGAGCTGACAAAATAAAGCTTGCTTGTGAATTAAATCAATTGATACCCTATTATTGAAAGTAAAAAGGCATCATCCCGATATAGATTTTTACTATAGAAAAGATTAAAATGCTGTATAAGTAAAAAAAAAGATTTTGATTATACTTTCAAACTAGCTTATGAATATAAAATTAAAACTTAATTCCACCAACGGTGCTATTTATAAACTAGAACTAGTTTTTTAATATTATTTATCTACTATGTTAAGTAAATAATGTTAAACAATGTGAAATGGATGTCTCAAAAGCCCTTAAAAATATATTTAGCTCCATTGATTACATGTATCACATATGAAACAATTTTCAGATATTGCGTAGAACCGAAAAGGAAGATCTGGTGAAAGTTTTCAACCAAGTCAAAGGGAATACTTTAGAAAAGTGAGTATCATCGATTTAAATATTAATTTAACTACCACCAGCTCGTTCTGTCACCCTGCTAATTCATGCTTTTGTAGTTTTGATATTTAGAGATAATTGATATTTAGATAAGAGAGTAATTAGGCAGTCAATTATTAGCTAATTTAACGTCGTCACCTTGTTCTAATCCATTGCAAGGCAGATGCGTATTTGGATATTCAGACGTAATTTTTTTATTTTTATTGCTTAGATATGTGGACGAGCTCACAGCCCACCTGGTGTTAAGCGGTTACTGGAGCCCATAGACATCTACAACATAAATGCGCCGCACACTTTGAGATATAAGTTCTAAGGTCTCAGTATAGTCACAACGGCTGCCCCGCCCTTCAAACCGAAACTCATTACTGCTTCACGGCAGAAATAGGCGGGGTGGTGGTACCCACCCCCGCGGACTCACAAGAGGTCCTACCACCAGTAAGTAGATCAACAACACTTCACGTTTCATCGTAGCCATTTTATTTAAAGTCTTCAAAATAAATCACTTCAAAAATTTCTCCCACCAGACGCGTGTTCCTCGATGCCCTACTCCGCGCTGGTACCGGCGACAGCATTGAAGCATCCATCCTGATTCTGAAGACTAGACAGCTGTCGCAACTAGAACAGCAGCTGGTCTTCTTGTCTCTCGGGAACGCAAGACACGTCAACAACGATGCCCTAAAAGCTGCTGCGGTAAGACTTTTATATTTATTTATTAAGTTGCACCAACAAAGTGATCATCAATACAAAACATTGACAAATTGACAAGAGTTCATGGCAGATGTCACCTCAATTATAGGTGCAAACGACAGTGCATTAACATCAAAAATAAAAAAAATATACAGCTAAGATTTGAATACATTTCATTCATTGCTTAAGATTAATTTAATCGGGAGATGATCCGCGACAGATTTTTCCTGTAAGTAGTGAGACAATTAGAAAAAACATCTATTTTACTTAAAATAAGTTCAGCGCAATCGGACAACTCCGAAGGAACATTGACGGAGACCGCGCTACCGTGGACATTATTGTAGTCCCAAAGGATTCTGTTTAAGGAAGAGTAAGCACCTAAATTCGAACGAGCGAGCTTTCTTATAAACGGTTTATATTTCTTCGTTCTTGGTAGGTACTTAGGGGCTGATATTTTTAGCTGATATTTTATATTCAACAATGCTTTGACAGGAACCAAAGCTTCGTCGTCAACATATTGACTCTATTGCTATGATTCCCGTTATTGTCTCGTGACTCAGTAAGCCGTATCGACACATTAATTAAGTAATCAATTACAATCTCGTAATCACTTATAACAACTAATACGAGGATCATAAACGGCTGATTACTGCATAGCATAGCAACGATAGATTTTAAATATTAATTAATAGAAAATTAAAATGTCATTGAAATTTTGTGGCTTGCTTCTAGCAAAGACTTACTTCACGAGGATACAGCTAAAAAGACGATTTATTTCATGTTCGTTTTGTTTTTTGAGCAGGGTCTTTTGGATCTACCGAACTTACCAAAAGACGTCTACCTTGGTGCTGGAGCTCTCGCTGGTGCTTACTGCCGTGAACATGAATGCCATAGCTCGAAGGCTGACGGAGTAGTGGCTATTAGCCAGAAATTCGGATCCAAGCTCCATTGCAAGCCTAAGACTAAAACAGAAGAAGATACAGTGAGTACTATAATTTATTGGTACGAGATCCAATGTACTTATGTCTTATGTTCATAAATGATTACCATGATGAAGGAACATAGTGATTCATTCATTCGCGAAGCAGCTACTCTTGGGTTGTTAAGTCTCCTTTGGAGGCGCTCGGGTAGTTGTTAGGAAATCCCACCCCTCTTGGCTGAGCCCTTGCTCGCCCTTGCTTGCTTGCTTGCTGACGTAAAACTGGAAAGACCTCCGGGCCACCAGTAATCTCTCAAACGTAGAAAAAAGATTCATTAATAGAGCTATTGATGTACCACTAGTCGTGACTATTAGCTTAGCTTTGCTTCCTTCTATATTAGGAGCTAACGCTATACTGATCGACATTTAAGCATTAGATTTCAAGGTGTAATTTCCAGTGTCAATATAACATCGACTCACAATTTTACATTAGTTTCCTGATCATAAGGCAGTAATAATAACTGTGTCGTGTCTCTTAAACAGGTCGTGGCTGTGCTTAAAGGTATCCGCAATATTAGACACTTGGAGAACTCTTTGATTGAGAAGCTGGTACGGTGTGTCAATGACAACAATGTCAAACCAAGGATTCGGGCTGCGGTCCTCGAAGCGTTCCATGCTGACCCTTGCAGTCCAAAGGTAAGTCTGATGATTTAATTCGGCAATTATTAGGATCGACAGCGTCAAGGGATTTTCTTACACATTAATAAATTAATTTAGTGTTATCATCCTGCGAACCACCAAGACTGAGTTTTTTTTTTTTTTTTTTTTTTTTTTTTTTTTTTTTTNTTTTTTTTTATTTTATTGCTTAGATGGGTGGACGAGCTCACAGCCCACCTGGTGTTAAGTGGTTACTGGAGCCCATAGACGTCTACAACGTAAATGCGCCACCCACCTTGAGATATAAGTTCTAAGTTCTCAGTATAGTTACAACGGCTGCCCCACCCTTCAAACCGAAACGCATTACTGCTTTACGGCAGAAATAAGCAGGGTGGTGGTACCTACCCGCGCGGACTCTCAAGAGGTCCTACCACCAGTTCTCCCTGTTCGGGACAAAATCGGTTTTCGGTAGAAATTCAAGAGCTCTTGTTTCTCATCAGCTCTGACCAACGAATGAATTGACACATTATTTTTAAAAGTATTTCGATATTCATATCCGGTTTGACTGACTGACTCAGTGGTTTATTAGTTGGCATCCCTGACTAATAAGTCGAGGGTCATAAGCTTCCATTCCCAAATCGGACACATATTTGTGGGATATGGTTTGTTTCTCCTTTGACTGCTTAAGTACGTATATCAGTCTCTGATTCCTATACTACAGGGATTCCTAGTTTGGGGATGTGACTTATTCGGTTATTATTATTATTGTTCTTCAACAGGTCAAAAAAATTTCTCTGGACATTTTGAAGAACCGTCAACTCGACTCAGAGATTCGTATCAAGGCTTATTTGGCTGTGATCGAGTGTCCTTGCGGCCATTCAGCTAACGAGATCAAGAACTTGCTTGACAACGAGCCAGTCCACCAAGGTATTTCATTGGCTTAAGACACAAATTTCCTGCTTAGTTTGGAATTCACGCAGACGTACTCTCTGTTATTGGAAATTAACAAGCGTACAAAGCATGTGCTGTAAGTTCTGCTCTGTGAATATTTTTAAATATAAGAGCGGATTGTACTCGCGAATTAATAGGTAACACTATCATAACTATTTTTACCGCAAGGCAGTGATATTGTGGCGTTATCCACCTCATGATGTCTTTGAGTTCGAAAACATCGAACTGTTGATCCTGACCAAATGAAACAGACCTTAATTACAAAAATAAATGTCGCGTATCGCTTAAACCAAATAGCGTTTTACCCCCTCGATATCTAACACCACATAGTATAAAACAAAGTCGCTTTCTCTGTCCCTATATCTGTCTGTCCCTATGTATGCTTAAATCTTTAAAACTACGCAACGGATTTTGATGCGGTTTTTTTTAATAGATAGAGTGAGTGAAGAGAAAGGTTTATATGTATAATAACATCCACTAAATAGTGGAGAAATCAATAATATATTATAGTTTCCAAAGCAAAGCGAGGGCGGGTATAAAGAGTTTGTTTGTTTGAGCGCGCTAATCTCAGGAACTACTGGTCCAATTTGAAAAATAATTTCAGTGTTAGATAGCTCATTTATTAAGGAAGGCTTTAGGCTATATAACATCAAGGTAAGGCCAATACAAACGGAGCACCTATAAAGACTGTTTCAAAATAGGGGTTCAAATAGCTCCTTAACATTCTATACTTCAAAAATATTTTCACTTTCTACGTAAATGAAATGGGGGGTAAAATTTAGGGTTATGCCAAAGTAACTATTCCACGCGGACGGAGTCGCGGGCAAAAGCTATGTTAAATAAATATGACAGGACATTCATCGAAAGAGGCCAATGCATATTGTTTCAAACTATGTTCTTAGATATAATGCCTGAAGATAAAATGATGATCATATTAAAATTTTGTTTCTTTTTTTATTTTCAGTTGGTAATTTTATTTCGTCGTCACTCCGTCACATCAGATCCTCGGCTAATCCTGACAAACGCCTTGCACGCGAGCACTACGGTCTCATCCGTACTCCAAAGAAGTTCAACTCTGATGACAGGTAAAAAAATGTTATCTTTGCTGATATAGTGCCCAGTTTTTACTGGTGGTAGGACCTCTTGAGAGTCAGCGCGGGTAGGTATCACCACCCTCCTTAGTTCTGCTATAAAGCAGTAATGCGTTTCGGTTTGAAAGGTGGGGCAGCCGTTGTAACTATACTTGAGAACTTAGAACTTATATCTCAAGGTGGGTGGCGCATTTATGCTGTAGATGTCTATGAGCTCCAGTAACCATTTAACACCAGGTGGACTGTGAGCTCGTCCACCCTACTAAGCAATAAAAAAAAAATTACATATCGAGGGGTGCAAGGTTATTTGGTTAAAGCGATATTTTTGCAACTTTACAGGAGAGCTATTTAAAGTTTAAAATTTGGGAAAGAGAATCGTAACAAAAAAACTTCTATAGACTTCTATAGACATATAACAAGCAATAGCAGTGGTAACTTATGATATTTTTTTCCCACAGAAAATACTCCTTTTACCGGGAGATGTCGTATAACATAGACGCTCTTGGTGCCGGTGGAAGCGTCGACGAAACAGTAATATACTCCCAAGACTCGTACCTACCAAGATCAGTCAACTTTAACTTAACAGTTTCGTTATTCGGTCACGACTTCAATGTTTTGGAGGTAAATATATTTTTATTGTCTACAAGCAATTTTCTATGGAAGATCCTATGGAAGAGAGTTCTCTTCATGCCGCCTCCAACCGGAAATTTAAAGAGGACTATGGTCAATGTTGGATAAACTAAAATATACTGAAGCTTGTAATAGAAAATACAAGTAGGGAATCTAATAATGAGCTTTTATTATTAACTCACTTAACATTAAAAAAAAATATTTCCCTACCTATATGGTAGCCTTGAGAGACTATTTCAGCTTCTCCTTGACGTGTAGGTGAGCTAACGGAGCTCAAACCGTTAGTGTTGCGAACACTAGCCCTAGCAAGAGCAGTGCCTCATAGAATCTACCACCGGATCGCAAACGCGACCCACTGAGAAGATCCGGCGAGAATCTCAGTGGGCTGTGTCTATGGGTTAATTCACTCGTCGAACCCTTCGTCGTCAACGACGGGTTCGACGAGGACGGTGATCAGTGCTTGTGGTACCTAAAAGCACCGCATAATGGGGCAACATTAAATGCATCGTGCATCGGCAGTAATTATTCTTATAACATGTGGTGGGTGGCGCATTTACGTTGTAGATGTCTATGGGCTCCAGTAACCACTTAACACCAGGTGGGCTGTGAGCTCGTCCATCCATCTAAGCAATAAAAAAAAAAAAAAAAAAACATTTTTTTTGAAAATCCCACATACCAATGGTTAAATCAATTTTTCAGTTTGGAGGTCGCCAAGGTAACTTGGACCGCGTTCTTGAACATTTCTTGGGTCCCAAGAGCTTCCTGCGTACGGAAAGCCCTCAAGCTATTTACGATAGTCTGGTCAAGAGGTTCGAAGAAGCTAAGAAGAAGGTGGAAGATGGACTAACGAGAGGACGTAGATCTGTCAAGACGGAAATTGATTCGTTTGACAAAAACGTAAGTGGATATCCATTTGTTATGGAATTGAGAATATCTGTACCATCCAAATAAACTCTGAACCAAAAATAAAAACTTTTTGTATTGCATGATCCACTATGTATATAATCTAAAATGTTAATGATATAGTAAGACTGGTAGATAATCAATTGAATTAATAATTGGACATTAAATAATAGTGTAATACTATTTAAGGTGTGAAATTGCATGTCCTATTTCTTGTGTTTTTTAAAGTGAATTTTTTGTCATCAGTCCTATTTTATTTTCCCCATTTCTACCCATCCTACCGTTTCACTCATCCTAGTTTTTGTTAAATACTGGACATACATTTTAGCTCAAAGCGGAAGCAGCTCCATACAACAATGAGTTGGATCTGGACATTTTCGTGAAACTCTTCGGTACTGACGCCGTCTTCCTATCCTTCGGTGACGACAAAGGATTCGACTTCAACAAGATCCTGGATGATATCCTTGGCACCTGTAGCAGTGGTATTAACAAGCTGAAACATTTCCAGGTATCTCAATTTAATCTTATTTAATTGTGACGTAGTCAATAAGACTAGTTTTGGTACTAACACATAAAAAAAGTATTTCTTATAAAGAACTGTATTCATAGATTATATATAGACTATGTAAAGGAACAACACCGAATCTTGAAATCTGGTGCTGATAAATTATGGACAATTATTAATAATATCAACTTAACTAAAACTACACTATCTCTTCAAATAAACCTTTATGCTTAAAGTTTCTTTACTCAAATTAAAACAAAAACTGAATGTTAACTTCAAATTTATTTTTCAGACTGATTTCCGGACTCATCTCTTATTCCTCGACGCTGAACTAGCATACCCAACTTCAACTGGTCTTCCTCTCCACCTCAACTTGGTTGGTTCGGCCACTGCCAAATTAGATCTGGCCACTAACATCGATGTACGTCAAATCATATACTCCCCACAAAACGCCAAAATTGACGTCAAATTCATTCCTAGCACTGACCTAGAGATCGCAGGAGCGTTTTTGGTAGACGCTTACGCTGTCACTACTGGACTAAAAGTTTCAACTACATTGCGTTCTTCAACTGGAGTCCATGTCATAGCTAAAGTTTTGGAAAATGGTCGTGGATTCGATTTGCAACTGGCCCTGCCTGTCGATAAGCAAGAGCTTCTAGTTGCCTCCAACGATCTGCTTTACGTAACCGCCGAGAGGGGACAGAACGAGAAATATGTTCCTATTAAAATAGGAACAGCCCCGAAGGAATATCCAGCCTGTTTCGATCAACTTTCAAGCGTTCTTGGACTCACACTTTGCACTGAATTCACAACACCATTCGCTATTTCAAGTAAGTCCAAATCATTTAATTATTATCCTTAGTTGTAGTTCTAGTAATAGTCTCTAGTAAATAATTTGATATCTTCACTAGAATTACAACTAAGGATGCTGTTCAAGTGGATTAATTTCATTCAATCAACCAATCAAATGTTCTTGAATAAATAATAGAGAAGATATTACAAGATCGATTTTTTTGCAGAAGATAAACGAGGCCCTAGCGACGACTCCATCACACAGTTCCTGGCTCGGTTCCCGCTTTCCGGTTCTGCTAAGGTTAAGGTGGTCTTAGAGAAGAATGATCTTCGTGGATATCACATCAAGGGTGTCGTAAGAGAAGACAAAGGCGCTGGTAAACGCAGCTTCGAATTGCTTTTCGATGCCGAAGGTAATTAAACCACACCCTATTTATGATGAGTTTCTTAGTTATTTTAACTTCTGCTTAGAACCCACCATTAGAACTACGCAAACCCGCATAATATATCCCAACAAAGTATTTTTGAGTCAAAAAGTTTTTGTAAAATTTCTCAATAATTTTTTTTAAGGACCAATTTTTTTTTTCGAATACACAATAGTTTGAACTCACTTAAATTTAAAGATTATTTTGACTTTTTAGAGAAAAATTCTGAGATACAAAACAATTTTAGTGTTCAGTTTAGTGGTTAGAGAGATGAAATGCAAAAAAAGACACAAGATTTTTATTTTTCCGTCTTTTTTCTTTTAGGATCTCGAAATCGTCGCACACAATTAACCGGAGAGGTAGTCTACAACGACCACGAGGTTGGCCTGCAAATAGCTCTAGACTCACCAATTAAGGTCCTGCATGCTCAAATCTCGGCTTACAACAAGCCCAACGAGATGGTCGCCTTAGTTAAGGCCAAAATCGATAATCTGGAGTACTACGCTAAGGCCGGATTCGCTGTTCAAGGCAATGCCCAACGCAGCATCTACAAACCAATTTTAGAGTACCAATTGGCAGAAGATGGAGGTAAAAAGCATGAGATCAAAGTTGATGGTCAAATGGTCAAGGAATCCAACGGGCAAATCACTCGGTACAGCTTAGAAGGAGTACAGATTAATCTACCGAATACTGAGGAGCCTTTACAGATAACTGGTCATGCAGCCAACCAGCCTCAGACAAGGGAATTCGACTTTGATGTAGCTGTTAAGAATTTCGCGTCTCTCAAAGGTGGAGTTAAGGGAACTAATGTCAATCTGGAGTTTGAGAACAAACTAAATCCCGTCATCAACTTCAAGCTCAAAGGAATTTTCGAGTTTACCGATACGGTAAAGATCTTGTATTTATCACCTAAACTTTTGTTTTTTATTGCTTGAATATTGCTTAGATACGACCTCACTATTTACCTTGTGTTAGATGGTTACCAAAGCAATGATTACTGCTTAGTGGCAGAAGTAAACAGACTCCTAGGATCTACTCAGCCGGCTCACAATACTCTCTATCACTAGAGATATCTAATTTTGTGTACTTTGCATTCCATTCCTTCGATTAAGTTGATATGTACACTGTATGGTTATTTGAAGGTATTTCAGGGATGCGTTGCATAATACCATCAACCTCCTTTAAGAGTATAGGTCTTGACAATTTTTGTAAGGTGTATAAGAAATTCTGCATACTGCTTCCAACTGGTCTCTCTACGACAATAGAAAAATAGTATGTTAAGCTACTGCTGTTGAAACGTTAATAATAATTTATTTTTCAGATTCACAACGAAATTGACTTGCAATACGGACCAAACTTTAAAGACCCCAACTCGAGGATATTCTTATCTCAGCTGCTGAAGTACCACATTAAATCAGCTGAAGACTTCAATATTATCACCAAAAATAAGTGTATGTATAATAATAGAATTTTATTAAAAGCAATTGTAGAGTTCAGGTCACTGCTCGAGCTTTCATGAAGGATAATATGGACAAATGTTTGTCCATGTCCCCAACATGTCAAAATGATAAACTTTTGACTAAATAAGAGCAATCTTCACTTTACTATATTTCACGAACCAATTTAATGAATTAGACAAGATTTATCCTGTCGACATTATAATGTCAGGTCACGTTCTATTAAACAATTAACGATATTAAAATAGTTTAATGTAAATTTAAACCCGTCACATTTTGAAATACAATGAACATATTTTTTTTATCTTACGAAGTCTACATTGTAATAGCTTCTATACTATAAATGTAGTCATGATCATGGTACCAATCCGTGCAAGCTTACAAAACGCCCTATGCTATACTGTATGACTAAAAGAACACTAGTGACCGGATTCCGGTCAATCCGATACTTTAAATGATATCCAGTCGAATACTTTATCGAAGACTAGCTGACCCGGCAGATTTTGTAGTGCCTCAATCGATAAATAAAAGACCTAAACTTTTGAATAAAACAAACTTAAAACAAACAAAAGGAATCCGTCCGACGGGGAACACATCAAAGGAAAAACAAAATTGTTATTTTTATTTAATTCCCAGCATTTTCATATTTATCTATCTTTCAAACCTTCTCTGGACTTCCACAAATAATTCAAGACCAAAATTAGCCAAATCGGTCCAGCCGTTCTCGAGTTTTAGCGAGACTAACGAACAGCAATTCATTTTTATACTTTTTCGAAGATTTTGTATTTTTTGTTTTACAGTTGAAATCCGCGCTATTCCATTCAAGATTGTAGCCGAAGCAGATATAGACCCTAAAAAAGTGATTGTGGAAATAGGGGGACAAGTCGAGCAGAGAAGCGCTGCGTTCGAACTTGAAGCTAGAACTCAAATAGAGAAACCAGGAGATTACAGTGTAAAAATTAAAGGAAATATCGACAAATTCTGTGTCGAGGTTTTAGCCAAAAGAAATATACTAAATGCTGATAAATCCAACCTAGAAAACTACGTTGATATAAAAGGTTATGGAAGATACGAACTTTCCGGTGTGCTTTTGCATAAGAATAAACCAAACGATGTGAATCTTGGAGCTATAGGTCACCTTAAAATCAGCAGCAGTGGAAAGAGTGATGATATTAAGTGAGTCGAATTAAAATCATTTCAATTTGTTCAGTATCCAAATTACATAAGACGAGTAATAAATGGACATTTAACTTTCATTTTTTTTAGTTTTATTATAAATTTTTTATTGCATACATGAGTGGACGTGCTCGCAGCCCACCTGGTGTTAAGTGGTTACTGGAGGCCATAGACATCTATAACGTAAATGCGCCACCCACCTTGAGATATAAGTTCTAAGATCTCAGTATAGTTACAACGGCTGCCCCGCCCTTCAAACCGAAACGCATTACTGCTTCACGACAGAAATAGGCGGGGTGGTGGTACCTACCCGTGCGGACTCACAAGAAGTCCTACCAAAAGTAAGTTATCAGATTGCTCTCTTATATTTTAGCTAATTATGTTATCAACTTTTTCAGATTCGATGTTGGCGTGGTAGAGAATACTCATTTTTACTCGTCGCACGCCGTTATCTCTAATTCCAAGGGTACTCTATTGGATTACCTATTGAAGATCAGCAGAGGGGGTACCCCAAGTGGCCAATTGAAATTCGTCCTGAAAGACACAATCGCTGCTAACGGAGAATACAAAGTTACAGGAAACGATGGAAAAGGCAACGGAGTTGTAATTGTCGATTTTAAAACGGTAAATACTTCTACGGAAAAATTATACGACAAGCTTTATAATTTTTAATGAGCTTAGAATGTTTGGAATCACCTTCGTACCAATTTCTGCTTCCAAACATATCTTAAATGAAATAAAAGCATATTTTTGATTCATGACGTGTGAATGATGATATGAGAGAGAGAGAGGAGTGAGTGTTGAGATGACGGCTGATAGAAGAGAATGGAAGAGAAAAATTAGCTGTGCCGACCCCACCTAGTGGGATAAGGTGGAGAAAAAGAAGATATTTTCAAAGTTTTACTTTATTTTCAGCTACAACGAAAATTCAAAGCTGATGTAAGCTTTTTGGCCAAGGAACCCGTGTTTAACGCAAACATCGACTTATATTTGGACTTTGACAAGAACAAAAATGACAAAATCTGTTTCTCTACGAATACCAAGAAAACCGATAAACTACTGGAATCCAAGTAAGTATTTCAATCACGGTCAACATTCTGTAGATACACTATTTTGTGTACAGCTTGAAATACCATTATAACGTTTTGAAACAGCATCGAAATAAATTATTATAGCGTTGGTAAATATTTCACCGCAGCCCATAGATGTAAGTCAAGTTTAGAAGTCGTCGTGGCCTAAAGGATAAGACGTCCGGTGCATTCGTATGTAGCGATGCACCGGTGTTCGAATCCCGCAGGCGGGTACCAATTTTTCTAATTAAATACGTACTTAACAAATGTTCACGATTGACTTCCACGGTGAAGGAATAGCATCGTGTAACAAAAATCAAACCCGCAAAATTATAATTTGCATAATCACTGGTGGTAGGATATCTTGTGAGTCCGCACGGGTAGGTACCACCACCCCGCCTATTTCTGCCGTGAAGCAGTAATGCGTTTCGGTTTGAAGGGTGGGGCAGCCGTTGTAACTATACTGAGACCTTAGAACTTATATCTCAAGGTGGGTGGCGCATTTACATTGTCTATGGGCTCCAGTAACCACTTAACACCAGGTGGGCTGTGAGCTCGTCCACACATCTACGCAATAAAAAGAAAAAAACTACCGTCTAAAATTTAATACAAAACGATGATAGGGTGTGTTGTAGCCCCACATGGCTAACTTAGCCATGCGTTCCCGTACGAAGGATGGGACGGTCTCAGTACAGAGAGATTAAAATAAAATTATTAAGGTTATCGAGCATTTAATTTTATTTTATTTTAGCATTTAATTAATTTAATTTATGACATGTCCTTCTTCAAACGAGACTTGTGGAGAGTATTAAGCAGTAGGCAGCGGCTTGGCTCTGCTCCTGGCATTGCTGAAGTCCATGGGTGACGGTAACCACTTACCATCAGGTGGGCCGTACGCTCGTCTGCCTACAAAGGCAATAAAAAAAAAAAAAAAATATTAAATTTTGTTTATAGAAACAAATTGGAATACGGCGGAAAGAACTTCGAACTAAATATCCATTTGGAAGGTAATTTCGATTTAACCGGAGCAACTCGTGCCAAAGTGGAAATCGTTCTGCCCAATGAAAGGTGTCTGTCTTATGAAGTTAATCGCAATATAGCCGTCAACAATGCCGGGGTAAGTACATATGTTTTTAATCTTATCTATATAAATAAATTAATTTTTATTTCATTTATACCATCGGTTCCAATAAGACAGCAAACCAAGAGAGAGAGAGAGATAGAGAGAGAAAGAGAGAGAGAGAGAGAGAAACTCAGTGGCCTCTTTATTTTATTTCTATACTTATATTGCCTTCGCTAAGAACGATTTTTTGCTTTATACGGCAAAGCTATCTCGTTATCTACCCGATATCTAGTCGTGACATTAGCCCGTTGATATAATTAATTATATACCTTCGCCTTCCTCGGAACAGGAGAGCGAAGTCACAATCGTTGCGTGAGAAAACTTAATATCTTCATCTTTTTTTTTTATTACTTAGATGGGTGGACGAGCTCACAGCCCACCTGATGTTAAGTGGTTACTGGAGCCCATAGACATCTGCAACGTAAATGCGCCACCCACCTTGAGAAATAAGTTCTAAGGTCTCAGTATAGTTACAACGGCTGCCCCACCCTTCAAACCGAAACACATTACTGCTTCACGGCAGAAATAGGCAATGCGGTGGTACCTACCCGTCCGGACTCACAAGAGCTCTTACCACCAGCAATGAATCTGAATTTTCGTATACAGCTTGAAATGGTCCAATCAATTCGTATCATCACAGATGATGACTATGTCCTCTTGAATAACCACGCCATCTAATGTATTATGTGCATGTAGGTATATTGGAATATAAATCATAAGGTGATTTCATATTGTGTCTAACGGCATATATATATATCTATTTATTGTATCTATGTATGTATTTTATTTAATAAATAGTACATCGCAACATACCTGCTGTATCTTTATCTGTCCAGAATTTCGGGTAATTAAGCGGTAATTATCCTTTTTAGCGATAAGACCGCCCATTGTACAAACGTATCTGCTTGTTGACAGTTTTCTGATGTTAATTGTGTTTTAATGTGCAATAAAGTATGTTCTCTCTCACTCTCTCTCTCTCTCTTTCTCTCTCTTCTATACCAAAGGATAATATACCAAAAACTACCAATGCTATCGAAAGTACGGCATTATAATAAATTAACAAGTACTTTCATCGAATTCGAGAACTACATAATTATATAATATATCACATTACTTCTTTATAACGTCTATTCTCGCTATCAGTTCTAAATTTTTTGATTTATCTTTTTATTAATCAACTAGCTATTTATCTAACTTTTAAACCTTCTCTGGACCTCCACGAATAATTCAAGACCAAAATTAGCCAAATCGGTCCAGCCGTTCTCGAGTTTTAGCAAGACTAAGGAACAGCAATTCATTTATATATATATAAATATATAGATAGATTAATTTTAATTAGTAAATTTTGCGGTTTGCCACAGCTCTATAACGGCTTCGCCAAAGTACTGATCTCGGATGAAGAGAAACGTGGTGCGGCCGCTTCTACGATCAAATACGAAGCTAAAATACGTGACACGAACATCGAAAAGCAAATCATCAGCTATGAGGGTCAACTGGAATTCCAATTTAAGAATAAAGGTCAAAGTCAAGACCTTAAAAATACATTCAGCCTTAGGAACTTCCCCGATGGAGACAAATTATACAATTTCGACTTCAAGGTAAATACAGATACGTCAGAAAATTATTAATAACTCAAACCAAAGCCTAAATACTTATAAAGACGTAAAAATAAATAACAGTAATCATTATAATAGTATCATAATAAATAAAGTAATCAAACTTTTTATATGACCACTGAAGTTCTTCTCAAATCGTCTTAAAAAAAATTAAACTCGTAAAATCGTAACTCCCCTGCTGCATCAGTTTCTCCCGTACGATTTCCCTCCATCTGCTGCGATCCTTAGCTTCATGAAGGGCATTGTGGAAGTGGAACCATCTCGTGGGACTGCGTCCTCTGGGACGTTTGCCATCCACTTTTCCTGTCACCATCAGTTGTTCTAGATTGTGACCCTCTTTACGAGCAATATGTCCGAAGAATTCCAGCACCCTACGAACGCATGTAGTATACCCAATAAATATTATCATTTTCAGACTGACGTCAGAGGCAACTTGATCCCGAAGCCAGCATCTCTGGTGGCAAGCGTGACATACGACAGTTCAATGAGCATGCTCGATGATAAATACAGGTTCAAGGGTAATTATGGTGATGATATCTCGTTCGAGCTGGCTGGTGTACAGGAGATCAAACTCACGAAGGGCGAAAAGAAGTGAGTTTCAAATTCTTTTTTTTTTTTAAATCCAGAACCCATGTCTGTAGCTAGAGGATCTTATTTAATTATAATCTATCCAGTTTTCAAGTGGAAGACAACGCGACTCTGAGGTCTCCTACTTAACAATATCGTAATAGTTTTTGGTATTGCTTAGATGGATAAACAAGGTTGCGAGGCATCCAGTACTAAGTGGTTACTGGAGCCAATAGGTATCACAAGATCAATGCCGCTATTCCACTTTGGCCCATAAAGTAAAGGTTTCAATATTGAATGGTAGCGGTATTCTTTTAAGCCCTTTTCCCATAGAGACTTAAAAAGATGTTACGGTCCGTCTAACCGAATACGCAGTATGATTTTATGGGACGTGCATTTAAATTTTTAAAACATTTCAGATTCAATGATGATTTCGCATTGACTATAAGATTACCATTCGAAAAAGCTCACGACATTAAATGGGTTTCCACAATACTCTTCCTTCAACCTGAAGGCAAAGACTTTGTTGAGGTGAGTATTAACGCATAAGTTCTAGAATACCAAATGCTTCTACACTTAGCAAATAAATTCAAAAGCGCGTAAGTACTTAGTACAAGATAGCTAGCTGTATGAAGTAATGTTCTAAGTATCATGTTAGAAGATGTTTCACTTCAAAAACAACCATATCTTTCTTTGTTAGTATTTTATTAGACTTGATCGGCAAACCACACTTAAGACTGGTTTATGTTATGTATGTAAGAGGCTCCGGATACAGAGTGAAGAAATGGTCTTAATGGCAAGGGAATTCTCTGGTAACTAAGTGAGTCATGAGCTCACCTTATTCGTTTAGAAGCCATTATATTTTGAAGTCTTCCTGGCCTAAAGGATAAGACGTCCGGTGCATACGTGTTGAGCGATGCACCGGTGTTCGAATCTCAGGCGAGTACCAATTTTTCTAATGAAATACGTACTCAACAATTGTTCACGATTGACTTCCACGGTGAAGGAATAACATCGTGTAATAAAAATCAAAACCGCAAAATTATAACCGCACGGGCAGGTACCTCCACCCTGCCTGTTTCTGCCGTGAAGCAGTAATGCCTTTCGGTTTGAAGGGTGGGGCAGCCGTTGTAACTATGCTTGAGACCTTAGAACTTTATATCTCAAGGTGGGTGGCGCATTTACGTTGTAGATGTCCATGGGCTCCAGTTCTAACCACTTAACACTAGGTTGGCTGTGAGCTCGTCCACCCATCTAAGCAATAAAACAAAAACTCCCAAGACAAGATTATCTGGTTGAGTCTTTTGAAGACTGCGCCTAGTGTGGAAATCTAGAAACCGTCAAAATCTCCTAAAGTTAATTTCCCAATTTTCAGTATACCCTGATAGAGTCAGTGCAGATCAATGCGGATGTATACAAAATCGACATGAACGGCAAGAAAAGTGTTAACGATGGAACTGGAACCCTCAAGTTCTTGGTCCCTCATGTTGATCCATTCATATTGGATTATAAATACAAGAATGGACTTGAAGGTATGTATTTTTTCAAGAGATTTTCTCTGTCTATGTATGTATTATATGATAGAAGTCGCCATAATCTATAGGCGAAGTTAGTCATATCCAGAGATGCGACTATGCCGATGTTCAAAAACATCCCAGAGAAGGGTACTATTTTTTCTAAAGGAAGTGTATTCCTTCCTTAGCATGTGTTGATGAAAGACTTCCACAGTGAAGGATAGGCATTGTGTTTTAAAAAATTTTACCCTCTTGGTAAATGTTATAAATTTAATTGTATTGCCTTATACCTACCTCCTATTCCTACCTCGAAATTATCATGCATACTGGTTCAAAATTAAACTATCATGTTTATGTCCATACACTTTAATGTATTTAAGGTACTAACGCATTGAAAAGCTAGACCGGCTTAGCATTTATTTGACCGATCACAAACAAAATCGTTACAAGTAAATTCGGCCGCTCATTGTAATATTTAAAAAGAGTGCGATCATTACCCTAGTAAGCCCACCTGTTGTTGTCCTGTAAGATTCTAAATAATAATAGTCCAACTAAATTGTACTTTATATATTCAGGGGAGAAAAAGAGCAACGCATTCGAAGTGAGAGCGAAATATGGCAAAGGCAAAAGTGCTGCAATAACCTTGGACACTGCGTTCTCGCCACACGAAAACTATCTCCAGTTCAAAGGGCAAGCTCCCCAGGCCGAGAACCTGAAGAAACTGGAGTTCACTATAAACTCCAAGAACCCATCTCCGGACTCATACAGTAGTACGCTCATCGTAGATGCCGATGGAAGGGTCTACAAATTGGAGAACAATGTAGTACTATCTAAGGCCCATCCAGTATTGGACCTCAAATACTCCAGTCCAAGCTCGAATAGACCAAGGAAGTGAGTAGTAATAGATTGCTTCATGCGATGAAAACTTTTACTGTAAATTTTACTTTGCAAACGATAAAACAGCCCGTTAAAACAAGAACCGATAAAAGTCAATCATAATGGCTAATTATTTTCAGGATCTACATCAAGGGCACCTCTCTTAGTTCTACTCAAGGCAAGATCGAAGTGAACCTACAGGATATCAACGGCATTTGCCTTGATGCCGTTTCTGAAGGAAACATCCAGAAGGACAACATTGCCATTAAATTCCAGGGTAACTCCAAGGAATTGGGCATGAAAAACTATATCGTCGAGATCAGCAGTAAAGACGCTGGTAGTGGAAAGAGATTGGAATTCCATGCGACTAATGACAACAAGAACGTATTGAGTGGAAGGTAGCGCATTGTTAAATTTGTTCGTTCATACATAAAACAGAATCTTCATTTATTGAAAACATATTGCATAAGACAACTATTAAGAAATCGGTACGTACGTATTAACGCCACCGCGGCAAAAATTCTATTAAAAAGTCGATAAAAAGCAATCTTTATGTTTTTATATTGTTTAGTCTTATTGTAATAGTTAGCCTTATTGTTTGCACGCAGCAACTTGTTATTTATTTGCGCACGAAGCTATGTTTTGGTTTTCTAATTGTCTGCTGATTTTTAGCTGATTTTTGAGCTTAAATTTGAATCCGCCTTATCTCCGGCGCTGCGGGAAGAGCAGCCCTTCCGCCCTTGCGTGCCGAAGCACGGTCACTCGTGCTCCGTCACAGCGGGCGAGGACTGCTCTCCCTCCACGCCTCCGGTTTTTTATATACACTCTAGGGGTAGGGCAGACAAGACCAGGTGGAAAGTGGGGTGCTCTGATTCGCTTTTCCATCTTTTTCGAATATTTATGCAATTTTATTACTAACCATTAAATTTTTGCCGCGGTGGCGTTAATACGTAAGTACCAAGAAATCTAATATAGAAAACATAAGTTTCAACTAATTCATAAGTACGTCCAATAACTCTTTGCTTTGTATATTTTATTAAAATATTCTCTGCTGCCAATTTAACCGAAACGTACTCAGTTCTAAACTATAATAATAATAAACTGATACTAATCTTTTATCTATATAATAATACTAGCGACCCGCCCTCGCTTCGCTTCGGAAACATTAAAACACACATGAAACCAAAAAAATAAATAAAAAATAAATAAAAAAAAGTAGCCTATGTTCATCAGGGACAATGTCGGCTTCTAATGGAAAAAGAATTTTTCAAATCGGTCCAGTAGTTTCGGAGCCTATTCGAAACAAACAAACAAACAAATCTTTCCTCTTTATAATATTATTATTATAGTATAGATATATAAAAATGAATTGCTGTTCGTTAGTCTCGGTAAAACTCGAGAACGGCCGGACCGATTTGCCTAATTTTGGTCTTAAATTATTTGTGGAAATCCAGTGAAGGCTTAAAAGGCAGATAAATATTATGAAAATATCGGAATTAAATAAAAATAACAATTTTGTTTTCCCTATGATGTGTCCCCGTCGGACGGATTCCTTTTGTTTGTTTTAAGTTTATTTTATACAAAAGTTTAGGTATTTTATTTATAGATTGAGGCACTATGAAGTCTGCCGGGTCAGCTAGTTATTAATATATTTAATTCCTGATTTGTTTTTCCAGTACCTCGTTCATTAGCAAACAGGAAGGCCAAGGAACTATCATAGAAGGTTCTGGAACTGTCAAAGTTAAGGAAGAACAGAAATCGGCTAACTTCAAGTACATTCGCACCGTTCTGACCGAGGGCAACGAGAAGGGAGTGGAGGTATAAACCCAAAATTAAAATTGTTCTTTTAGGACCATTAGGGCGCGTATTATTAGCGACCAGTCTCAAAGTGCCGAGGACCATATTTTGATTCCAAGTATTAGGGTACAGATGCAAAAGAGAAATAAAATTGCAGACAAGGTGTCAATGTCCGCAACTGATCTCATCTGATGTTACAATGGACACATGACTTTCATTAGACTTTTTGTTGATCAACGTTTTATCAAAATTACATTAAAGCGGTTAGAATCGGTTTATAATTCCAATTGCTAGAGTATCAGCCTAAAAAGACAGTTGTTTTTGCAGACATTCTTGAAGCTGAGCCTCGGTGAAAGGAGCTATGCGGCTGAATCCCGGGTCACGAACCTCGAGTACAAGAACTCTTACATTTACTGCGAGGAGAAGAAGCAGTGCGCCGCAATTGAGATCCAATCCAAGATTGATTTGTCGAGTAAGTATAGAGCTACGGTAAAGTCCGACCTGATCCGCATCGCTCTTGATTCCACATTTCACAACCCCGTCCATACCGCCAGAGACAGAAACATTGAAACCTTCAGCATTGAGGAGTACCACGCAAGGAGAAGGATAGAACTCCGGTGAAATCTTCTCAGGTTTAGCTTTAGTCGCTGTGGCCTAAAGTATAGAATGTCGCCATCCATCTCAAGGCAAAAGATTGAAGTTTAATTGCATTGCATAAGGTTACCCCACTCTTCAAACCTAAGCACATGGTAACTATCCTTACCTTAGAAATTTTAACAAGGATGTTATCTTCCGTGTGGCTTCTCAATATTACTAGTAAATCTATCTACAATAGTACCACAGTCTATAAGCAATGCTACTACTTCCAAAGGAAAGATCACCGATCCTAAGCGTACTAATTAAATGTATTCAACAGAACCCGGAGTTATCGTCAACGTGGTTAACGCCGGATTCGATCTTCGTACGCTTGGCATCCTACCTGAAATTGGCTTCCAAATGCGAGATGAGGTCTCCGACAATCGTTTCCCGAGATTCACTTTAGATCTTCACGTCAACACCAAGGAGAAGAAGTACCATCTCAACGCTTATAATACACCTGATTTCGGAAGTGAGTTTTCGCCTGTTGTACTTACAAACACTTCTCCCTGACCATCGTAATGTTTTAATTAAGACCTTCATGAAATAAATACAGCTTAATAACTAAACTAGCATGTTTAAATAGCAAGCTAAACTACAAATTATTAACAATTTCACTTATACTGATGATGATTAGGTCAAAGTAATAAAATTATGCAATGTCTTTGATAAGTCTGCAAATTTCCAAGTTAATCGTAAGTCTTGAAGTTAATAAAGTTATGCTGAAATATTTAATAGATACAATGCCCTGAGGAATAATTCGAGATGATCCCTCATCTTCTTTTCACCATCAAACCTCCCGACACTGGAGCAGAACTCATCCATATTATCTGGAACCACTGCGTTCATCGACATTGCGTTTCCAAAGACCTTTTCTGCCACGTACCATCCGGCTTTGTAATGAACTAACCTCCACGGTTTTTCTCGAGCGCTACGACATGTTCTTCTTCAAACGAGACAAGCGGAGAGTACTGATGGGCAATAAAAAAAATTACATAATACTAGCTGACCCGGCAAACATTGTTTTGCCATATATAAGATTTCTAGGGAATTTCTAGTGTAGAAAAAAAATATAACTTATTGTACGTGTGTAAGGATGTGGTAAATGAGTGAAAGAGGTATTTAGTGCTGTGAACGATGAGGGAATATATAATAAAAATAACAAAACCTCATTCAAACCACATAATACCTCATTATAACAAAAAAAAATGTCCAAATAAAAAAAAATTGTTAGGGATGGACAACCCTAATCACTTAGGGGTATGAAAAATAGATAGTAGCCGATTCTCAGGCTTACTGAATATGCATAAAAATTTCATGAGAATCGATCAAGCGGTTTCGGAGGAGTATGGGAACGAACATTGTGACACGAGAATTTTATATATTAGATATAAAAGCGTATTAATAATTATTAGCCGATTCTCACTGTTTTTTAATTGTTTGTATTGCGGATTATTATTTTTATTATTAAATTATTTTGCGGATTATTATTTTTGAGTTTAAATTACTGCATTAAATTTAAAAATCCACTGATGTTAGCGTTTGTTTTCTTTGCAGACTATGGTTCGGGAGTCGTTTTCTATCTTCCGTCCAGGGTTATGGCTTTAGAGACCAAAGTAACGTACCCAACCAGCAATGATTCTCCGTATATATTCACTGGAGAGGTCTGCCTCGACATGGATAAGAAGAAACAGGGCCACAAGACTTCTGCTAGATACCTCATCAATTTCTCCAACTATAGGAATGTTCAGGAATCTATTAATGCAGAAATTGGATTCTTCCACCCGAGACTTGACAAGGTGAAAGGGACTGCATATTTGATTTAGTACAAAAATTTTAATTTAGTTCCCTACATAATTGTTCGAGATGATACCGGCATCTCGTTTTTACCATTGCACCGCCCGCCACCGGAATAGAGTTCATCCATACTACCTGGAGCCACTGCGGTCATCCACAGTGCGTTTCCAAAGGTCTTTTTTGCCACGTACCATCCGGCTATGGAATGAGTTCCCCTCCACGGTGTTTCTCGAGCGCTATGACATGTCCTTCTTCAAACGAGGCTTGTGGAGAGTATTAAGCGGTAGGCAGCGGCTTTGCTCTGCCCCTGGCATTGCTGAAGTCCATGAGCGACGGTAACCACTCACCATCAGTTGGGCCGTATGCTCGTCTGTCCACAAGGGCAAAAAATAATAATAATAATTATATAACAATGGGAAAGTCTTTTGGCACGGCAGTAAGTTATTAATACTAAAATATGGATAGCTTGGAAATTCGGGTCTACGTAATGACTTTTGTCCTCTAGGGTTTTTATTCCGTATTGTCCATGGAGAGTGCTCTGGTGATTCGCGATGATCCCATCATCTCCTTATCGTTACATCACCCATTGCCGTAACCACCACCAAAATCCATCGCGTTCGTGCACAGTGCTTTTCCAGAGATCACATTTTTTCATGTGCCATCCTTCTCTGGAAATGACGCCCCTCTACGATAGTTTCTGGGCTATATCACATGTTTTATTTATTGTATAGCCGAGTGAACGAATTCACGACCACTAGTGGGAAGTGATTATCGGAGGCCATATAGAATACAACATGGATACCACCAACCACCTTGAGACAAAAGATTTAAGTCTCAATTGTACAACGTTTGCCCCAACCTCCAAGCCAGAACGCATTATTGCTTCGCAGCATAAACAGGCGGGGTGGTTGTATCTACCCGTACAGGGTCACAAGACACACTATCACGAGAAATAATTCAAAGGAGCTTTAAAAATATCTCTTAACTAAAGAGATTGAGAGTATGTTATACATCTGGCTTTGTCAGCATCCACGGGCGCTGATAACCATTTATCAGTGGTATAACTTGGGATATTAAAAAAGACCGTAAAATTAGTAATACTTGTCGAAATTTGCGTTATTGTTAAAGTTATAAGGGACATAATGTGGCTTTTTGTACTGATGAATAAAATGTATTGAAATTTTCTTTCACAGGAGGTCGTCATCAAGTCGAACACAGTCTTCAAGGTCCCAGAAGTAAATCGATATATTCTCGAATCATCAGTCAGCCTCTGTCACTCCTCTCTCGGTGCTGTAAGTGTTATTAACTTGATGGGAGAACGCGTGATTTGTCGTCAATTTTTTTTTTTTGGAAATACATTAATTCATGTACATCAGTTAAAAATTAGGTGTATGCATTGACATTGTATTTGCTGGGGAAGGACTATCTTAGAACTTACCCAAAAACAGAATTGGTACAAGCCCCCTATTCAGACTGGTAATCCACATTACCAAAGTTAGTGTCCGTAATATAACTGATGCAAATGCTAATAGTAAAAATCCTACGTATTATCAAGTGAATCCATTAGTCATCCTTAGAGTGTGGTTCTTTACATTCAGCGTATTATTATTGTTTTTATTGCTAAGATAGGCGGCCGAGCTCTTGGCTTACCTGATCTTAAGTGGCCGAAGCCCATAGAGATATGAGTTCTAAGTCTCAGTTTTGACAGTGCACGGCTGCTAAGGTTTTTGGGAATCGCCTAATATTTTTTAGTATAATTATATCGTACATTAGTATAATTTATGAAAGTGATGACTTCTTGTTTTACAGGACCGCGTCTCAAAACTGTTGTTAGATGTTTCACCAACGAAATTCGTTTTCTTGGTAAGTTATTTTAGTAGCTACATCGAATAATAAGACATTAGAGCTATAATGAAAATCACACTTTGAATTGTAATTGAAAAAAGAAAACCAAACATGCAATTTTTTCTCGAAAGAGGATTTTTATTTACAAAGATCTCATTTTCCAATTACAATTTCAACTAAACTTAAATATAACGGTGTCTAACAAGCAGCGCAAGGCCTCTGCATCCGACAGCGTCACAAACTGTAATGAGCTCGAATATTTTTCTTCCTACCTATGCTGATAGCCTTGAGAGGCTATTTCAGCTTCGCCCTAACGTGTAGGTGAGCTCACGCGGCTCAAACCGGAGTGTTGCTAACACTGGCCCTAGCAAGAGCAGTGCTTCGTAGAATCTACCACCGGATCGCAAACGCGACCCACAGAAAAGATCCGGCGAGAAACTCAGTGGGCTGTGTCTATGGGTTAATTCACTCGTCGAACCCTTCATCGCAAGCGACGGGTTCGGCGAGGACGGTGACCGGTTCTTGTGGTACCTAAGAGCACCGTTAATGGATCGGGAGGATCCGTAATGACGTGTTTTGGGCGACGTCGACTATTTACCATTCGGTCTACAGGATCGAGTATGAAGTTTCCAGCGGCCACGACAAGAGGGTTCTCATGTCGTGCCGCTTTCTCGAAATGGCGCAATGACGCCGACTGTAAATACTTACTGACAGAGGTCTCGAATGCTTGTTCGCTTTACTTTTTATAGGCTGGAACTATCTACCCGCACTTCAAAATTACAGATTAGCGTTAAACATCTGATAATAATAATGACTGTAATAATAACTGTTCTTTTATTTCTACAGGCCCAAACACCATTTGTAAAGGTTATAGACTTAGAAGGAACAGTGGACGTGCAAAGCAAGGCGAAGACCCAGCAAGCTAAGTTGAGGTTCAAGCTTCTGGAGGGCAAGGAGGTCAGCGTCCAGGCTCTGGCGAAAGACTTCCAGTATTTCGAGTTCACAACAGGTTATCTTGGTGATTATAAATTTCGAGTAACTTGACCTATAACAAAGACTAATCTTTTGGTTTATTATGTGAAGTTTGAATTGAAAGGTCCAACTGTGCTGATTGTGGGAACTGGTCCCTGTAGTCTTTTTTTCTCCTCTACAGACTAAGTCAGGTTTAATTATTTGGGACAACTCATATTTAACTATCAATCATTTTTGTATAACAGTTCATCAGAAAACACGGTCAGAAATATGTTTTCTTTTTTAATCCATAAATAGTTTTATATCTAAATTCACGGGTAAAAAAATGATAAAGATCTTTTGTTTTCCGAATTTAAATCTTATTAAATTAAATTTAAGGCTTCGTTTAGAACCAAACCTTGGTTATCAAATTCAACAGAATCGAATCAACCTTTGTTATTTGTTTATGTTAGTTGAAACACTTGTCGCATGATGAATTTTGTTATTTTGGCCCCATTGACCAATACCGCTTCATTCAGGCTTTTGTGCATGAGTGCTGGAGACAACTCCCCATCAAGCATCAGTTTATACTTGCTTAAGCAATGAGAAATCTAAATCAGGATTATCACTACCGAAGTGGCATTTCGGTTTCCACAAGTTGATATAATTGGAATTACTCTTTTATGATGTAATCTTGGCTTTTTTATTTATTGTTTTATTGCAAAAAGATGACAAATTTCGTTGTCATCGTCCGATGACCGCGAAAACTGTAAAGCATTTGAAACTTTGGAAAGAATATAATGACAATTATAATAATAATGTGAGATTAAGCCGTGAAAGAAATTTGATCTATATTATCATTGTACATATGTATATTATTTTATCAGAAGAGGCAGACCGCAAGCTCTCTATCGTCGGTCATTTGGTCCCGGAAAAGAGAGTAGATATAACCGCTGATATCATCCTATCTGGTGACAAGAAAAACATCGCCCACGGGGCACTTTTCCTGCAAGATAACCTGGTTAAAAGCGACTACGGACTATCCAAAGAAAACTTCAACTATTTCTTGGTAAGCTAGGAACGATTGTTAACTTACAGCGCCTTCCGACGTGTAATCCTCAATTTTATTTCTGACACAAATCCATTTGGTCCTTCTATCTTCCAATTCTTCTTTCACAGAACGCTCTGAAAAACGACCTAGACACATTAGCTGAGCGCATCAAAGAAAAAAGTGAAAAGGCCGGCCAGGAAATTTCAACGATATCCCAAAAAACAGCTCCTTACTTCAAGAAAATCGATGAAGACTTCCGCAGAGAATGGAGCAAGTTTTACCAGGAAGTCACTGATGATAAGACCCTGAAGGAACTATCGCATGCTTTGTGAGTAAAACTCATCTACTACGTAAATGCGCCACCCACCTTGAGATATAAGTTCTAAAGTCTCCAGTATAGTTACAACGGCTGCCCCGCCCTTCATACCGAAACGCATTATTGCTTCACGGCAAAAATAGCCAGGGTGGTGGTACCTACCCGTGCGGAATCACAAGAGATCCAGCCACTAATAATTACGCAAAATAAAATTTGCGGGCTTAATTTTTATTACACGATGTTATTCCTTCACCGTGGAAGTCAATCGTGAACATTTGTCAAGTACGTATTTCATTAGAAAAATTGGTCCCGCCTGCGGGATTCGAACATCGCTAGATACGAATGCAACGGACATCTTATACTTTAGGCCACGACGACTTCAAAATTTGTAATGTTCTAATAAGTATTGTGTGCTAAATAAATAAATAAAAAATAAGATATTTGACAAGACTCGACCGCGTTCCTGGAAATGGCATATAACACTCAGAAGGACTAAATAAAGTAATTCAGTCGGATAAGTTTATTGACGTCATCCTAACATAACATTCTTCTTCCAGCAACGAAATAGTCCAGTTCTTCGCTAAGATATTCGACACCATCTACAAAGGTACTGAGCCGATTGTGGATAGCATCATTAACACGTACGTCGAGACAGTCAAGAAGATTGCGGAATTATATGAGAAACAGGTAATTGAGAATTAGAATTATTAATCTATTGTGGGTAATCAGGGGTCATATACCGAGCAGCAGCCGTGCGTACCCGACCCTGTGAACCGAACGGTAAATAACTGCCGTTGCCCAAAACACCTCATTTCGTATCCTCTCGATCCACTGTGTGGAAACTCCCGAAATACCCTAATTTCGAATCGTACTGATCCACTGTGCTTTTAGGCATCCCAAGCATCGGTCACCGTTCTCGCCGAACCCGTCGATTGCCATGAAGGATTCGACGAGCAAATTAACCCTCAGACACAGCCCATTGAGTTTCCCGCCGGATCTTCTCAGTGGGTCGCGTTTCCAATCCGGTGGTAGAATCTACAAAGCACTGCTCTTGCTAGGGCTAGTGTTAGAAAATTGGCCAGGCTGATGTCCGTCATCTTGCATAATGGCTCGGTAAAGCTGGTATAACCTCTCGAAATTACCATGATAAGTAGGCAATAAAATAAAAAAGCCGAGCATTTGAAATGTGTAGTATCCAACCATATAGAATATGCCTCACCTAAATTGATTTGACCTAAAATTGATTAACTTTGTATCCTTAACAGCTCGAACCTCAAGTGAGACAGCTATACGAAACCTTGGCGGCCTTACTCAAGGAGTATTTAGATGGCTTGATCGACCTCGTGGCGCACTTCGCGGCTCTGATCACAGATTTCTTCGAAAAACACAAGCCTGAGCTGCAGGAATTCACGAATGTGATCACCGATATCTTCAAAGGTACCTTGCCCAACCACACCAAGCACACTGCTGATACTGAGTCTGAACTCGCTAATGCGTTTTCTTCATAAAGATACCTAGTTCATCATATGAGTTCTTAGTGGGATTTATGATGGTTTCGGATTAACTTTACCAAAACTGTTTCCATATTGAAGTTACTTTGTAGCGACCAATTTAAAAAAATGTTGTATTCATTGTAAGTAGCATTGGCTATTGCTTCATGTATATGTGCACTTCGCCTTGAGGTATGAGATCAAAAGCACATTTCTATTGAACAGATTAAAAGCGTGTTCACATTGCATTTCAATAATCTTGCCAATTTACAATGGCTAAATTAACATTTCTCATGCTTCTTAAGATTTCGCTCCTTAAAATGTTGCAGTTGGAATTATATATTTTTTAATAAATCATCTTTATTGTTTTCCAAAACGGTATCACAATTAGCTGTTATAATGGAATTAGAGCTGCGGCTGACTCTACCTACCATCTGGCAGCGGACCATTCAGAAAATCCAATGTGAGGTTTAAAATATATTTAAATAATTTCAGATCTAACCCGAATAATTGTCGCTCAAGTAAAGGAACTTCCTTCTCTGATAGCGCAGAGCTACAGAAACATTGTCGAACAAATTAGCGCGCTGCCTATATTGTCTAATTTGAAAGAGAAGGTAAGATGATCTTTATCATTCCAAGTATTGATATTTTAATACAATATCATTTTAAGCATGATTTTCTAATAAATAAAAACCATCATAAAACATTTTCACAATCATGTTTTTTAAAGGACAGTCGCTTGATAAACCTTTTAAGAACAGTAAGAATCTCTAGAATTTTATTTTTATTTTTTGGAAATACAAAAAAATACTTAATATGGACCCACAATTCAGATGTTTATGTTAATCTTGTTAATTTTTTAAGTAACAAAACGTTAATCGACATACGATAAGTAAAATTTGCCGTTCCTTTTGATTAATGATTAAGCAGTGAACGAATGTGACGTAATCACTTAGAGAACTTTTGTTGCTTATCAGAAAACAACTTTACATGCAGCTACTTCTATAGCCAATACTTTATTTTCATACGAAGCACATTATCAAATACACTTAAATGTCTAAAACTATTTACGGGAAACGGTGTTATTTCTTATATGATAGAGGAGTAGGGAAGGCGAAAACAAGTTGCGCTGACCCCAGGTGACTGGGAGAAGGGCAGGAGAATGATGATGATGATAGTGTTATTTCTTATCGGTATTCTTTAACGGTTCTCTTTACAGTGGAACGATCTGGTAGTTCCCGAGAAGATTCTAGAAGTGACCCAGATACTGTACAGCAATATCCAGAAACTGTTGCCAACGCAAGAAAGCAGAGATCTGGCCGAAGCGATCCACTCCTACGTTCAGAAGGTGATGATTTAAAATAAATAAATAAAAGAGAACAAAATCACGTAGGGTCATCCGGTCCCAATTTAGGATTCCAAAAATCGTTGTTGTGACTTAAAGAAGAGAAACATCCATTATTCGTGTATACTTCCATTTGATCAAAGGTCCTAATGGCAAGCTACTACTGTTGATTAATATAGTAATATTTTGAAGTCGTCGTGGCCTAAAGGATAAGACGTTCGGTGCATTCGTGTTGAGCGATGCACCGATGCTCGAATCCTCGGTAGGTCGGTTTGAAGGGTGGGGCAGCCGTTGTGACTATACTGAAACCTTAGAATTTATATCTCAAGGTGGATGGCGCATTTACGTCGTAGATGTCTATGGGCTCCAGTAACCACTTAACACCAGGTGGGCTGTGAGCTCGTCCACCCATTTAGATTTTTTGATTGCTTAGGCAATAAAAAAATATAAAGTCTTCAACCTCGACACGATCAGTAATGACAAGGATTTTCTTCTCTAGAAACTCCGTAACCAGAAATGCGATGATGAGAAGGAGCTGCGTGTGGTCTATCAGAAGTTGATCACAGCTGTTACATCTCTCGTCCAGTTCTTGAGGACTCAGCTGAACGAATTTGGCATTATCAACACGACGCCCGACTTTGCGAACGTGAGTATTTCCATTTTAAGTTTTATGCCTTAATATAAATTAATATTTACTTATTTAAATAAAGATAACAATGATACAAGCATTTCAGAACACATAGGTGTTTTTTTTTCTTCATTTCATATTTACGATTCCTAACAAAATTTCAAAGATAAATCACGCAAGAACATCACGTTTCAAAAATCTATATCTCAACAGTTCTTCGCTGCTCCAAGCTCAATTAAGTCCGCTCCGTCTCTTGCTGGAGAGGCAACGTGGAGCTTCTTCAAGCAGTTGTACTCCGGTGATTTCCCTGACATCCTGGCCCTTCTCAGAGCCTACAGACCTCGTAGCATAAACCCACTCGACGAAGTGCCGTCTAAGCGTAAGTCACTTTAAGCATTTATTAACAATGTCAATATCCTATGCGTATCCTCACCTTATAGGCAAGAAGAACAAATAATATAAAAATTATCACTTCGATAAAAAACCTCTCCTATCTCCTACTCCCTGAGTCGCATTCCTTATGCCTGAGGGTCGTGACCATATTCTCTCGTTATCCTTCTCTGGTGGATGTTTCGCCATCTTCCTCTACTCTCGCCGGTGTGTGTGGCATTGTAGAGTGTGGTATCCAGAGTGGTGCGGATTTTGTCAAACCAGCGCATTGGATTGCGGCCCCGAGAACTTAACACCAGGTGGGCTGTGAGCTCGTCCACCCATCTACACAATTAAAAAAAAAAGAGATCTTTTGCCTGCAATCGTGCCAGTTACTATCAATTTTTCAAGATTGTCACCGCTCTTTCTGGCAATTTGACCGAAGAACTCAAATATCGTTTTGAGGCCGATAGTAGAATTCCATTAAGATTCCAGTAAGAATACAGAACTCAACAAAATGCTGCCAAATAAATTACCGACCAATGCACCAAACATCAGTCTGTAACATACACACAGATTGGATAACAGAGTCCTTAATGTTTGTTTCCTTACAGTCCGCGCTGTTGTTGTGAACGGTCAACACATCTTCACGTTCGACGGTCGCCACCTAACCTTCCCAGGAAACTGTCGCTACGTATTGGCGCACGACCACGTTGATAGAAACTTCACGCTGCTAATCCAACTTCAAAACGGAAAACCCAAGGCTCTTATTTTGGAAGATAAGAGCGGAGCTATCATCGAATTGAAAGAAAATGGACAGGTTCGTAATCTATATAGGTATTTATAAAAATGAATTGCTGTTCGTTAGTCTCGCTATAACTCGAGAACGGCTGGACCGATTTGGATGGTTTTGGTCTTGAATTATTTGTGGAATTCCAGAGAAGGTTTAAAAGTTAGATAAATATGAAAATCCTCGAAATTAAATAAAAATAACAGTTTTGTTCTTCCTTTGATGTGTCCCCCGTCGGACGGATTCCTTTTGTTCGTGTAAGTTTATTTTATCCAAAAGTTTGGGTCTTTTATTTATCGATTGAGGCATTACGAAGTCTGCCGGGTCAGCCATAAACCAATTAAAACCATATTCGACGTAAAGTTTCATAACTTTTATTTAAGGCCAATCAAATCTCAAATAATAATAATTAGATCTAACAACAGTGGCACAATCTTGCAGAAGGATGGTTTAGCCAATTGCAGCTCATGCTCTTGTGGGAGTTGCAATTGGAAAACGTTTTACTCTATTTGGTTTTAGAATGTTACCTAAGGGTTTTCTCTTTGATATGCAGACTCATATAAGGAGCCTTATTGATAATTTTGCTAACGCCTTACTCATTTCAATACACATATCGTTTGCAAATTCTAATTCTAATTAATTTTATATGCCTCAAACAAAATATAATAAATCTAACTATGTTTCTTCCTTAGGCTATTCTGAACGGAGCTTCCAAAGGATTCCCGATCATCGAAAAGGATGTGTTCGCTTTCCGTCAACCAAGCAACCGAATCGGTGTTGGCTCATTGTACGGTCTCATGGTCTTCTGCACATCTAAACTTGAGGTAAAGTAAAGTTTGCTTAATATAAACTCGAAAAACATTACGGAAACAATTCAAAACAAGGATTTAAAAAAAATATCAACTACGTCAAACTAAAAATAATTCAAATTTAATAATAAAGCCAAATTATTTAATTGATATTAAAGGCACACTTGATATATGTACTGAGTCAATACAATAAAAGTGTGGAAGAGATAAAAAAGTGTATGAATCTACGTGGATTAACTACTTGAAGACACATTCCAAAATGATGACCTAATTACCGACACAAACGCATCAGCCATAAATAAGTAATTATTAAAGCGTTCAATTCTATTTCCAACAGGTGTGCTACATTGAAGCTAACGGCTTCTACTTGGGTAAACTTCGCGGTCTTCTCGGAGACGGTAACAACGAGCCTTACGATGACTTCAGGCTACCTAATGGAAAGGTAACTAGAGATTAACATCTTCAAACGCAATCCAAATGAATAATTACTAGTAACACTGGTTCTAAAATACCACGGAGGACACTTCCCCAGTTTCTTTTTTATGAATGTGGGATCACTGGTGTCCCAGAGGCCTTTCCAGTTTCACCAGGACATATGGGCAAGCAAAGGCTCAGCCAGGAGGGATGGGATTTGCTAACAGCTGCCCGAGCGCCTTCAAAGACCTGGCAAGTCAAGAGCAACTGCTTCGCGAATAAATCTACTACCGGATCGGAATCGCGACCCGCTGAGAAACTCAGTGGGCTTCTTCCCCAGTCAATAAAAGTGTTAAAGCGATATCTACTGGTGGTAGGACCTCTTGTGAGTCCGCACTGGTAGGTACCACCACCCTGCCTATTTCTGCCGTGAAGCAGTAATGCGTTTCGGTTTGAAGGGTGGGGCAGCCGTTGTAACTATACTGAGACCCTAGAACTTATATCTCAAGGTGGTTTGCGCATTTACATTGTAGATGTCTATGGACTCCAGTAACCACTTAACACCAGGTGGGCTGTGAGCTCGTCCACCCATCTAATCAATAAATATATATATATAAATAACTTTGGTGTATTCTTCTAGATCTGCACTTCGGAAAGCGAGTTCGGTAACGCGTACCGTCTGGCCCGCAGCTGTCCACAGGTGCAAGCGCCCGAACACTCCCATCACCAGCTGCACGATGCATCCCTCCCCCCCGCCTGCGAACAGGTCTTCGGGGGAATATCGCCGCTCAGGACCCTGTCATTGTTCATGGACATGTCGCCTTTCAGGTATTTTGAAACCACTTCTGTTTATCCGGTTCGTGATGACCCATATAAGCAATACCTCTGCTTGTTTATGAACGTTGTCTCAAAGAAAAATCCTTTATTTTATTTAAATAATTTCCAATGACTTTATCTTTTCATTGTTCATCAAGATTTTGTTTTTTGTTATTCAACATTATGAATTCACTGTCCTTTAGATAGTGCGCCAAGAACCTCCGATATTAATTGATCCGATGAATGATGAATAACAAATGTAGAGTACAAGAATTTTTAATGAACAAATTTAACTGAGGCCCTAATAAGGAAATTAATAAAAGCTTTTTTTGTCCATTTCTTAGACAAGCGTGTATTCACGCCGTCACAGGCACAGACGCCGCTAAAGATTTGCACGAAGCTTGTGATTTGGGACGAGGAATGGCAGCTCTAGCGCTGACCGGCCTTCTCCCTGCCGTACTTCCGAACGTATGCGTCAAGTGTACTGATGCAGATAAGCCGAGGGACATCGGAGATAGCTATGAATTCAAAGTTCCCAACAAACAGGCTGATATTATCCTGTCAGTTGAGACAACTGAAGTACGTACTCCAGAAATACTAATGTTGTGATTGGATGTAGAAAGATTGCATTTAGAAAAATGTTTCCGTATAAAACAATTTCGATCAACAATATTGGAACCGGACATCTACTAAGACTTTTACTGTGTACCACAATCATATCCCATAGAACTTTTTAACTTGGTAGGGCCTCTTGTGAGTCCGCACGGGTAGGTACCACCACCCCGCCTATATCTGCCGTGAAGCAGTAATGCGTTTCGGCTTGAAGGGTGGGGCAGCCGTTGTAACTATACTGAGACCTTAGAACTTATATCTCAAGGTGGATGGCGCATTTACGTTGTAGATGTCTATGGGCTCCAGTAACCATTTAACACCAGATGGGCTGTGAGCTAGTCCACTCATCTAAGCATTTTTTTTTTTTAGAAAAAATTATATATAAATGCTATGTTTCTTTGCATCGTCGACTCTGTTGTTGGCTATTATCAAATTTTGATAGATTTTCTGATGATCATCAGGTTTCCGCGAACTTCTTTGTATTTATGTAATTAATCCCTTCACTTTTAATAAATTATTCCTATAAGTTTTGATTACTCGAACTTTTATAATTATTGTTATATTAAATGCATAAGTTCTACTTAAATCTCTTCACGAATATCCAATTTTATATAGACGATATCATGATTTATTCAAAAGACCACGATGCTCACAAGATCAATCATATAATTTGTGTTTTTATTTTGTATTTACAGTCAAATGCAAAGACTTACAAGGATATCGTGGTACCGCTCGTGTCACATTTGATTGACAGTCTAAAGAGTAAACACATTACTGACGTCAAAGTGTTCCTTGTAGGACACACCTCCAAATATCCATATCCGATCTTGTATGACACTGACCGTAAGTATTTGTTATTTAACTCAAAAATATCTCGTTTCAAATATCTTTAGCTTCATAATCAAAATGCCTAATATCATAGCCTATCGCTAACAGATTTTCAAACCTGAAACTTTTTCTCAACGCCTTACTAAAGTTAGTTGGGAAAGCATTGTACATGTAATATAATAGGCAGCGGTTTGTCCGTACTTCTGGCATTGGTGATGTCCATGAACTATTTATCCGTATGCTCGTTTGTCCAGGGCAACAAACGTAAACAAAACAACAAGTTACCTACTCGATCTAACTACTATCGCTAACTAGCTTAAGACTCTGAGTACTGTGAATATTCACGATGAACTAAAAACTTTTCGCAGTCAAACTGAAAAACGCCCACGTACACTTCGACGACAAGGAACGCTACAATAACATCCCCACCATCAAGACTGGGTATGAATCCTTCGACAAATACGAGGACCAAATCATCAGTATCATCAACGACTTGAAAAATACATATGGTAAGTACCGATCAATGGAAATTTATTCAAGATGGAAAACGAAAAATTATATTTCCGATGATTTCCGCGCGCTAATACATATCCTTTTTCAAACGAGACTTGCAGACAGTAGGTATTAAAGGGTAGGCAGCGACTTGGCTCTATCCCTGGCGTTGCTGACGTCCATTTCAGCGAAGGTAACCACTGACCATCAGGTGGGCCATATGCTTGTCTGCCTAAAAAGAAAAAAAAAAAAATTACGGTTTGTCCAAACATACCTCTGATGTGATAACAACTCTAATGTTTTGAGAGATTGTTTACTGATAATCTTATAGTAACTGATCGATGTTTATATGATACGAATTTGTGAGTACGCGATGCCTTGCTGATGACGGTACACGAACCAACTCGAAAATGAATGACTTCGGGATAAAATGTATGCAATATAATGGGCACGCTTGCTCGTACTATAAGTTTCCGATGTCATGGTACTCGTCAACTGTGTTTATGTTTTATTATATTCATGTGAGGAGGCTACTTGACTCCATATACACAAAACGCTGCCACCCAGCTTAAGACATGATTTTCAATTCTGTTGTTTATTAAATATAATTATACATAAGCGCTGCCGACTTTTCAAACTAGAACGTGCGACTGTGTGACAGGTAGGATAATATTGATCAATTCGGGTCATAATCAGTGAAATAAGTTTGGTTAATAAGGATGCTTTTCTACAGGATTCAACAACATCGAAGCCAGCAAGCAATCGTTGTTCGATCTTCCTGTCAGACCGGGTGCTATCAAACACTTGGTCTTCGCTATTGGTGAACCGTGTATCGGACGATGCTTCCTGGTAAGAACTTAAATTGTATCTCATAAGCTCGTAAACATTTTTTGAAGCTAAGAGTTTTCATCATCTCTGCCTATCCACTGTTCGAACAATATCTCCATCAATATGTCCATTTCATCCGGTCTGTTACTACCTGCATCCAACGTGACCCAGCGATTTCTATCAGTTCATAGGTCTATTTGGTGGGTAACCGTCCCACACTGCGCTTGCCAGTACGTGGTCTCCACTCGAGGATCCTTCTGCCCCCTTGTTTAAAGTTTTACGGGGTCCTATATTTAGTCAGAGAGTTTTAAAATTTGTTTTTGTTTTTAACCAGCTCGACGCAATCGAGTCAGCCATTTACGATGTGATCTTCAAGAACATGGCGGTTACGACATCGCTGATCACGGCCACACCCGACCTCAAGATTGGAGGTGGAAAGAATTTGAATCAAGTCGTTGGTAAGTTGGTTTTAAAACAGTAACTTGTTAATAAGCTTACTGCAATGCCTTAAGGGCGTGTACCAGAAAACATGATTCGTCTACTTGAATTTCCAAAGACCTTTTCTTTCATGTTCCATTAAGCACTAGATATGTTCCTAGGTCTTATGTAAAGGCGTAGTCGAATTCCTAATGAAGACAACCACCTCCAGGCGGGCTTGTATTTGTACAGCCATTTCACGATTCGTTCGCCAACAAACAGTAAATAGTCGATAGAAACGACAACTTAAAATATATTAGGATAATAAGGATAATTTCCCTGTATGTGCTATTTTTAATTGAAAACTAATTTAAAATTCAATTTCTAGGATTCAGTGAGCATTCCGTCGTGCTGCTTGGCGAGAAGAAACAAACTAAAGATTCTGAAACTTTGAGAGGAACGCTCCAGAAGACCGACGATTCATGCGTAAACTTTGTTGAAGGCGTAAGTATTCAAAAGCATTTTCAAGCCCACACTTACAAGTTTCTAAAAGAGAGGCCAAAATCTGAACAGAATCTTCTTTAGATTAGCCAAGGGCACTTTCTGCTTCAGTGATTTTCGGGGTCTCCCTGTACTACAAGGAATCTTGACTCTAAAATTTTAATCTTTCGTTACCCTGATAACATTGCCACTAGTTTTTTGGTCATTACTTGCAAATTCTGATTTTAGTGAATCGTTGCATCATTATTATCCAAATGTGATAGAAGCAGTATCTATGTTTAAATTTTATCAGCCCTACAGACTTCGTGATAACTGTTGTTGATCGAAGTCATGACCTCAACCATGACTACAACCAGATATGATAGGCTTAGAATCGGAAGGAATGCTCATGAGGATATACAGTGGCTTGAGTAAGTCGAGGCACCATTCCCGGCAATGCATGAATTATTAACTACCGCTAGGGGCTCTTTTTAAACCTCTTATGAAATGATAATTATAATGTTAAGGACACAGAAGAAGTGCTCCTTCCAAAGCCGAAAAGTTCGTGGTAAATGACGTTCTTTGAACTCACATTAATGCACTGGTACTATCTAAAATGGTTCCTTACTTCGGTGACGACTATTGCACTGATAAAGAGTATACGATGAGATTAATTCAGAACATCTCAGCCTGTTACCACATATCCTGAGACTCCACTGGCATTACGGCAAAAGAATATGACCGAGCAATATTTTCTCTATAGACCGGAGGCTACGTTTTCTCGTCGACCAACTTCGAGAAGTTGAATGCGCCACAGCAGAAGCAGTTCATCCAGACGGCCGCCAACACGATCACGCACAAGCTCCTCAGCGAGCAGCTGTCTCAGCTATGTACCTGCACCTACGTGGATCCGTTTAGGGTTCGCTCTGTCTGCGTAAACAAGGATAAGAAAGACGCTGTAAGTTTTTTTTTTTTTTGCCCATATGGGCATTCGAGTATACGGCCCACCTGATGGTGAATGGTTACCGTCGCTCGTGGACGCCACAAATGCCAGGGGCAGAGCCAAGCCGCTGCCTACCATTTATTTTGATCTAGAAAGAGCTATTAAGATCGAGAAAGAAGTATTTTTTTTATTGCTTAGATGGGTGGACGAGCTCACAGCCCACCTGGTGTTTAGTGGTTACTGGAGCCCACAGACATCTACAACGTAAATGAGCCTTGATATATAAGTTCTAAGGTATCAAGTGTAGTTACAGCGGCTGCCCCACCCTTCAAACCGAAACTAAGAAGAACTGAAGAAGTACTTATTTTGATCTAGAAAGAGGTTACGATCTGTTTTGAAACTTTTATCCAGCCCCATAGATGTCACAACACAAACGCTGTCACCCACCTTGAGGCATGAGGTCGTCTAATAAGCCCCTACTGGTATTTGTATGTACCGGAGCCTTAAAACCGATCAGAGAAATATTAAGCATATCTTAAACATACACGAATTCTGCTTTTTTTTATTGCTTAGATGGGTAGATGAGCTTACAGCCCACCTGGCATTAAGTGGTTACTGGAGCCCATAGACATCTACAACGTACCGCCCACCTTGAGATATAAGTTCTAAGGTCTCAAGTATAGTTACAACGGCTGCCCCACCCTTCAAACCAAAACGCATTACTGCTTCACGGCAGAAATAGGCAGGGCGGTGGTACCTACCCGCGCGGACTCACAAGAGGTTCTACCACCAGTAAAAAAGTTGTTTTTCAAAGTCCGTCTGTGTGTTTGTCGACAGTCGCGCAGGAGGAAGTAGGAGCATCGTGAAGTCAAGATCATCTCATCTTAATATTATCACACCGTGAGACGTGCGACCGTCCCGCCTCGTTCATATGTAATGGTATTAATAAGTAACCACGTCATAGTAATAATAAAAAAATATATTAGTACATCATTTGTTTCACTTAAGCCTTTAACAAAAAGGTAAAATTGAGTCCTCCGTGACCACTTTCCTAGTCTAATAATAGGTTTTGCGAACCCATTTGATCCTCGGTCCGGTTTGGGACATTATCTTGACTGACGCACTCGCTGCGGCCTTCACCACATCTTGGATCTGGAAAACGAATTAAGCTCAAAGCTTACTAATGCAAATTTGTTGTTGTCGTCATCATCGCCCTAATATGCAAAACTCCCGGTGTGGTCGTATAGATTTCGTAGGCACCATTTTTTTTAATGCTTAAATGGGTGGACGAGCTCACAGCCTACCTAGTGTTAAGTGGTTACTGGAGCCCATAAACATCTACAACGTAAATGCGTTATATCTCAAGGTGGGACCTTGAGATATAAGTTCTAAGTTCTGAAGTATAGTTACAACGGCTGCCTCGCCCTTCAAACCGAAACGCGTTACTGCTTCACGGCAAAAATAGGCAGGGTGGTGGTACCTACCCGTGCGGACTCACAAGAGGTCCTACCACCACTATTCCTGCGTCGATAATCCTCAATGCTAAGGATCCTGGGTTTTTCCTAGGTTATCCTGCGTCACTCCTGCCTATCCTCGGCTTTGTAAATAGCAACGTAGACTGAAGTGTTGCGAGTAAATCGTATCTGGTTCAACCAGCGTAGGTCGTAGGTATCATAGCCCGTCTATTTCGGCCGCTTTTTTTTTGTTTTTTCCTACCTAAGCTGATGGTCTAGAGAGGTGAGCTCAGGGGACTCAAACTTGACGACGCTGCTAACACGAACCCTAGCAAGAACCGTGCTTCGCAGAATCTACCACCGGATCGGAAACGCGACCCGGTAAGAAGATCCGGTGAGAAATTCAGTGGGCTGTGTCTATGGGTTAATTTACTCGCCGAACCCTTCGTCGCAAGCGACGGGTTCGACGAGAACGATTACCAGGGCTCGGCCGCAAAGTAATACCCGTATGGAGGGGGTGGGACAAAGGTTTTCTTTTTGTTCACGAAAACGCCCCCTATCGGAGCCCATGGACATCAGGGCGTGAATGCCAATACTCATTATAAGACGTAAACTCTTCTTTTACATGATATTTAGTTTAAAAAAACCACAAAATCGCGGCTGCGTTGTTCCGTAAACAGACCAAACAGTTGCATCAATAATTTTGGCTACTTACGCTCAACATAAGGCTCTGGGCATTGCCGACCAACATGTTCATGGCTTCTTTGTCTTCTTCTGTGCCTAAAAACAAAAGATTAACAACAGTAATTGCGCCGCAATGGACAGTGCCGTTGTTATTTGAATCGTTGCTTATTTCTAAATTTTGGGTGTTGAGAATACAGAACTTCTTCTTTTTTAGTCTAAAATTAAGTAAATATTTAAAAATAAATTTATTAATATATTCCTTTTAATACTTTATAAACTATTATATGTTTGTATCTATGTATGTATGTATGTATATGTGATTGTGTTTAATTATGTAGGTATATACTTTTGTTTGTGTATGCATTTGTAACTTAATATACTTAGTCTGACCATAAATACTGTTACAATTAAAAATAAACAAAATATTACATTTGAATTTGGAATCTGTCATTTTTATATGATTGCTCATTGAGTTTTCTCATTTTGGCGCCAATACATTGTACAATATTTTGCGATATTAAAATGGAGTGGGGTGATAAAGATAACCGAATCGCTGTGATTGCATTACGCAAAGTAGGTATGGAGCCAAATGCAATTTTTAAAACTCTCCATACGCTTGGTATTAGTAAAATGTTTATGTACCGGGCTATTAATAGGTGCAATGAGACCTCCTCTGTTTGTGACAGAAAAAGATCTGGCCGTCCGCGTAGTGTTCGTTCGAAAAAGGTGGTCAAAGCAGTATGGGAAAGAATTCGAAGAAATCCTGTTCGAAAGCAAAAGATTTTATCTCGGGAGATAAGATACCATTCTTGAGAAGGTAGTGAAGCCCCTTAACAACACCATGTTAAATAATCAAGAATGGTCCTTCCAGCAAGACTCGGCGCCAGGTCATAAAGCTCGGTCTACGCAGTCTTGGTTGGAAACGAACGTTTCGGACTTCATCAGAGCTGAAGACTGGCCGTCGTCTAGTCCCGATCTTAATCCGCTGGATTATGATTTATGGTCAGTTTTAGAGAGTACGGCTTTCTCTAAACGCCATTATAATTTGGAGTCCCTAAAACAATCCGTACGATAGGCAGTGAAAAATTTTCCCATGGAAAGAGTGCGTGCTTCTATTGATAACTGGCCTCAACGTTTAAAGGACTGTATTGCAGCCAATGGAGATCACTTCGAATAAGCTTTTTATACTTTAAATTGTTTTATATTTATATATTAAACTAACACACTGTAAAAGTAATAAATGTTATTTGCCATAGATTTTTTTTTGTTTTCCTTTGTAAAAGTATTTATGGCCAGACTAAGTAAATATCATTGCACCTACCACTAATTACTCTGCACTACCTTTGGTTTACTGCTACCCTACAGAATGCCCTGCATTAAGGCCGCCAATGTAAATTTTACATGTTTGATCACTTTCGTTTAAGGAAGTAAGTTGTTACCTTGTCGTCCTAGCGAGGATCCTTTCACTGTCGTCAGCATTTTCAACTGAGCGCTAATCGTTGGGATTCTCTCGCATGCGTTCAGCAAGTTCTACGTCGAACAAAACAACTACTTTAATAGCATAAAGGGGTTAATTAATTCACGGCATTGTGAGTCCGCACGGGTAGGTACCACCGGCCCGCCTATTTCTGCTGTGAAGCAGTAATGCGTTTCGGTTTCAAGGTTGGGGCAGCCGTTGTAAAAACTGAGACCTTAGAACTTGTATCTCAAGGTGGGTGGCGCATTTACGTTGTAGATGTCTATGGGCTCTGGTAACCTCTTATCACCAGGTGGGCTATGAGCTCGTCCACCCACCTAATCAATAAAAAAAGAAAGAATTAACAACAGTAAAAAAAAAATCTAGCAACTATGTATCGTCATAAAATACTTCACTTACTGCCAACTTTCTAAGGGAACAAATAAAAACTTACTGTCTTAATTCTGACGTCGGTACATTCTCCGGCTAGCTTCTTCGCCAGATAAGCGACCTCGTGGGACTCCTCGACAATCTTCTTAGACGTAATTAGCAAATTACGCTTCTTATCTGCAAACAGTGGGTTTATTATAGGCACTTTCAGTTTTTGCTTATGGTTTGAGTGGCGATGTTTTTGTCACGAAAACTTTTTATGTTACCCGTGTAGACAGACGAGCATACGGCCCACCTGATGGTGAGTCGTTACCGTCGCCCATGGACGTCAGCATTGCCAGGGGCATTAAATACTCTCCACAAGTCTCGTTTGAAGAAGGACACGTCACAGCGCTCGGGAAACACCGTGGAGGGGAGCTCATTCCAAAGCCGGATGGTACGTGGCAAAAAAGATCTCTGGAAACGCACTGTGGATGAACACAGTGGCTCCTAGCAGTATGGATGAACTGTATTCCGGTGTAACTATACTTCAAACCTTATATATCTCAAGGCGGGTGGCGCATTTACGTTGTGGATGTTTATGGGCTCCAGTAACCACTTAACACAATGTGGGCTGTGAGCTCCTCCACCCATCTAAGCAATAAAAAAAAAGATAATAAGCACCTAGACTAAGAGCAAACAAACCTGTTCATCACAAAAATGTTTGCCCGATGTGGGAATCGAACCCACGACCCTCAGCGGAACAGTCAATGGTGCTAACCACTCCACCGCCGAGTACTGCAGTCCAAGGCACTGAACTGAGACACTATATCACGTCATGTTGGTACCGATCCGGTGGTAGATTCTGCGAGGCACGGCTCTTACTAGGGTTCGTGTAAGGAACGTCGTCAGGTTTGAACCCCGTGAGCTCACCTACTAGTTAAGGTTACGCTAAAATAGCCTCTCAAGGCTATCAGCATAGGTAGGAAAAAAAAAGGCACCAAACCACAGACCTGTGTTCATATACTCGGACAGCTTCGCCATCAGCACGGCCATACGTTTGGCCACGCCCACGATCTCGTTGTCGCGTGACGACCAGCCCCGCACCGCCGTGTGGAGATCCAACGCCACGCTCTGCAAAAATAAACCTTACAGGAGCATATTGAGGGTAGGATGTCTTGTGTAGACGCAGTAATTCCGTTTGAAGGGTGGGGCAGCCATTATAGTACAGTTGTAGATTGACGATGCTAATGTCTATGGCCTCCGATAACCACTTAAGACAGTGAGCTTGTCCACCCTTGTAAGCGATAAAAAAGACCCTAGAGTTTTTTTTATTGCTTATATATTTGGACGAGCTCACAGCCCACCTGATGTTAAGTGGTTACTGGAGCCCAGAGACATCTACAACGAAAATACGCCACCGACCTTAGATATAAGTTCTAAGATCTCAGTATTAGTAGTTACATATAGTTAGATTCTGTATTTGTTTTTGTTTTTTTTTAATAAACCTAACCTCTTGTTTGTTTTATATTCCTACCTATTCGCCGGTAGCCTAAGAGACTATTCCAATTACGCCCGGACGAGTAGGTGAGCTCACGGGCTCAACTGGAGAGAATTTCCTAACACCAGCCCTAGCAAAATGGCTGCAACACACTGTGGCGGGTAGCCATCCAGGTGGTGCTGCAACAGTCCGACTTGTGACAAAAAGATTGGTATGGCCCAGAATACATCGTGACTGCAGAGATTGGTCGAGGCATTGTTTGCACTCGCATCGATGCAAAGCTATCCGTTACACTTTCCCGTTTTCCTATCGTTGTAAACCTTTTTATTTTTGGAGTTTACTCCTTTAGAATCGATTTACATATATAGGCCCGGGGTATGAAAATTATGGGGACCAAAATCGTACTAGCATGTCACACGAAATGCGTTATGCGCCTGATTGCGCATGTCACACGAAATGCGTTATCGCAGGTGACGCCGGGCTGCTGCGCCGGCAGTCCGCCACAAAGCCTCGTACTGATCGCGCGTTTCTCTCATTATTGTATTTTCATATATTTGTTAGTCGTTTGTTTTGTGTCTCGTTAATTTGTTAATAATCTGTAGTGTATCGTGTTGTCGTAATATAGAACTATTTCTCGTATTGTTTCGTTTAATTTTTTATATCCAGTAAACTCCAGTCGTGCGTCGGAGCGGACACACACACTTTTTTTTATTGCTTAAATGGGTGGACGAGCTCACAGCCCACCTGGTGTTAAGTGGTTACTGGAACCCACAGACATCCATAACGCAAATGCGCCACCCACCTTGAGATATAAGTTCTAGGGTCTCAAGTATAGTTACAACCTACCTCAAGTATACCTACAACACACATGGACCGAAAAGTTGGTAGTGGCCACTCACGTATATAGGCTGGTCTGGTTCCGGCTGTTTCTTAAATATCCCTTCGCCTCCAAGCATGGATTCCACTTCGCCAGTCGTCCGGAGAATCTGACAAAAAAAAGTTTTTAGTTTTGGACTTGACAACATCAAAATATCAATTAGATACACAAAGCTTTGAATTGGAACTTTCATTTCGGTTAGTACGACCGCAAGTGGTCATACCTTCCTGTTTAAAGGTTAGGAAAGTCTTTATACAGTTTAATTGCTACTTAGAGTAGTCTGCCAATGTCAATCCCAAGCCCGGATGAAAAAAGACGAGGGTTGAGTTGGAGTTCAACCTTTCCACCGTAAAACAGTCAACACCGAATGTCTGACGTCGATTAATCAATCGGACCCTGATAAGGCTTCAGCAGCCTCAAAGAGCTAAATCTCTTTCAAAAGCACGTGGAAGACCGCAGAACCCCACCATGTGTATTTTCCCAAGAAAGTTTCATGAGGCCACGACTCTCAGCATTTAGTTATATATTTTATTTCTTAGGTGTGGGACGAGCTCACAGCTCATCTTATGTTAAGTGGTTACCGGAGCCCATAGACATCTACAACGTAAATGCCGCCACCTAACTTGAGATATAAGTTCTAAGGTCTCCGTTTTTACAGTACAACGCCTGCCCCACCCTTGAAACCGAAACGCATTACTGCTTCACGACAGAAATAGGCAGAGCAGTGGTACCTACCCGTGCGGACTCACAACACGTCCTACCATCAGTAATAACACAAATTATAATTTTAGCGGGTTGGATTTATATTACACGATGTTATCCGTGGAAGTCAATCGTGAACGTTTGTTGAGTACGTAATTCATTACAAAAATCGGTACCCGCCGGCGGGATTCGAACACCGGTACATCGCTACATACGAATGCACCGGGCGTCTTATTCTTTAGGCCATGACGACTACAGCATTGAGGCTTATCGATGCAAGGAAGAGAGGAGTAGTCTTTAGAGTTGCAGTGCTTGGGAATACTGGTGGTATGACCTCTTGTGAGTCCGCACGGGTAGGTATCATCACCCCGCCTGTTTCTGCCGTGAAGCAGTGACGCGTTTGTAAATATACTTGGACCTTAGAACTTATATCTCAAGGTGGGTGGCGCATTTGCGTTGTAAATTTCTATGGGCTCCAGTAACCACTTAACAACAGGTGGGCTGTGAGCACGTCCATCCATCTAAGCATTAAATAAAAATTGAATAGGGGTGCAGGAGTGAGCGCGGTACCTGAGCGGTGGCATCCTTCCAGTCCGGGAGGCGGCTGGCGCGCGGGGGGGCGGCGGCGGCCGTGAGGACACGTAGCGCCGCCGCCAATTCCGGGTCGTCACGGACGTCGTTAGACTTCATGGTCACCGATATAACGCGCCCGCCCAACCTGACACAGTATTACGCTCTCAACTGTAGGTACCGAATAATAAAATAATCCAACAAAAAAAACCTACCCTCAGATAATTAAGAAATAAATAATAGTTTAAAAAACTAACAAAATACGCTTTTATAGAAAATCCAAGTAAAAAATAGAAAATAATTTTAATAAATTTGAATTAAAAATAGTGTAAGAAAAAATGATTTTATTGTAAAAAAGCCCCCAGTTATTACGAAAAATCATCCCTCACAGATTGTGTCTGTACCAACAAACAACGTCTTAAATAAATAAAAAGGACCACAATAAAAATCACAAACTTTGAAATGACATATGATGTTTGGGCGCCCTTCAATGTGTCATTGGTTAGAGCCGATTCTTCTCTCAAACGCTGCATAGTCTCACCTGGGAGATAACAGAAAATACATTTAATATTAATCATCCGCTTGAAAATTAACTAGAAGCTAGGCAATGAAAAGAGTCTCAGAGTCTATATTAGAATGCTACCCGAAGCTCTAAAAAGTCCACCATCTTACAATGGATTTAATAATCAATTTATGACTTTAATTGGAAAAAGCTGGAGGAGGTCTTAGCTCGAGAAGAGGTTTCGATCAATGGTACTGAATAAAGTAACGATAGCGGGTAAAAGAAAATGAAAGAAATTATACATATTTAATTATATTATAAATATAATTATCGCATGTAAATTGATGGATTGGAAATAAACGGGCTTTATTTAAGCTATTGCATAGCTTTTATCGCTGGTTTTGAGCGCGGCGACCGAATCAAGAAATTCCATAACGAAAATAAAAACTAAAACCCCCCACTCCGCCTACCATGTAGCTCGCGTTCAACACATTCACACGTTGCGCTTGTGTAGGGTTTGTGAATAAGCGCGCGGCGTGACGTCGCACTGCATGCGCATCATCAAAGTCTACCCAACTCTCGGTCTTTTTTTTTATGATTGAAGGATTCCTGGTGGCCCGGAGGCCTTTCCAGTTTCACCAGGACAGGTGGGCGAGCAAAGGCTCAGCCAGGAGGGGTGGGATTTGCCTCCGAAGGAGACCTAACAACTCAAGAGTAGCTGCTTTGCGAATGAATCTACTACCGGATCGGAATCGCGACCCGCTGAGAAGATCCGGCGAGAAACTCAGCGATCTGATTCATGGGTTAGGTTGCACCGCGAACTCTTTGTCGAGTTCGACGAGTACGGTTACCGAGGTCCCTAAGCCTGCTCCTAGAGCTGAAGGCGTCTAGTGCAAAGGTTATTGGATCTGATGGATCCGTAAGGACGTGTCTAGGGCGGCGACGGTGACTGGCTCCTGCATGATCAGGATTCGGGGAGTAGTCAGCGGCGGCTACGATAAGGCGATTATCATGACGCATAGCCTTATCGAAGTACCGTTCCGACGCTGACTTCATATATTTCTGTATAGATTCGAGGCCCAGGTCGTCGTGTAGGTCAACGTTCCTCACGAACCACGGAGCCCCGACGGCTAACCTGCAAAAGCGGGATTGTAGAGATTGAAGAGTGTCTATGTGTGTGCGGGCCGCGTGAGCGAACACCATACTCGCGTAAGTCATGACGGGCCTTATGCAAGTTTTGTAAAGTGTCAGCTTGTTCCGAAGGGACATTTTACTCCGCTTACAGATCATGGGGTAGAGTCTACCGAGAATAAACGCGGCACGGTCACGGACTGAGCAACTCTCGGTCGTGCGGTCTAGCTTATGAGTGTGAAAGGGACAGTTAATGTTTTCCTTTTGTTAGTGTTTATAAATATAGCGTAGTGTTATTTTATTATTGTTTTAATATTAAATTATTATTGTCTAATTATAATTGCGTAAGTTGATAAAAAATGCTATGCAATAGCTTTACTGCGACAGTCCCCGAGTGCCGCACGTGTTTTTTTATTATTATTGAAGTTATACTTCTTTAGGCGCGTTATGAAAAATTGACGAGAGTGAAATTTTACGATGCGCGCGCACCGTGACACAAAATTAACAGAAATGAAGTTGCCCACTAAATCGCTCATTACAATACGACCGACGTAACTTGGCGAGTCTGAATATAGCCGCAGGTGAACTTTCGCGCATGTACACTCGTTAAAAAAAGTGTTATTAGCATTCAATTTTGAACGTTAAATATTTATTATTAATTATTTAATATAAAAAAAAAATTAAATGTAATAAAAATCAAGTATAACTTCTTACGCGCGTACATAAGTACACGCACCCTTTTTTTATTATCTGACTTTAATCCCATCTCTTAGAGGGAGGCTTGATGAGGACATGAAGTTTGTGGCCAGGCCATCGCAAAACTCGCTTACCACTGTCATTCCTGCTCCGTTCCACGACCCTGGCGTGACCGGATTCAACGTTTTATATTCGTTTCAAGGTGTTTTTTTATTGCTTAGATGGTTGGACGAGCTCACAGCCCACCGGGTGTTAAGTGGTTACTGAAGCCCATAGACATCTACAACGTAAATGCGCCACCCACCTTGAGATATAAGTTCTAAGGTCTCAGTATAGTTACAAAGGCTGCTCCACCCTTCAAACCGAAACGCATTACTGCTTCACGGCAGAAATAGACAGAGCGGTGGTACCAACCCGTGCGGACTCACAAGAGGTCCTACCACCAGTAATTACGCAAATTATAATTTCGCGGTTTTGATTTTTATAACACGATGTTAGTCCTTCACCGTGGAAGTCAATCGTGAACATTTGTTGAGTACGTATTTCAGTACAAAAATTGCCTGCCTGCGGGATTCGAACACCGGTGCATCGCTCAACACGAATGCACCGGAATCCTTTAAGCCACGACGACTTCAATTGCTCAAACCGACTTTCAGATTTACAATTTGAATTATCCATAGTTTGTGTTTACCAGCGGTCTGGACGAACTCCATTGGGTCCACAGCCTGATCGCAAAGGTCCCGGACTTTGGAAACGGACTCGGCGTACTGCGCCAACATCGACTTGTAGTTGTCTATAATAGCCTATAAAAGAATAGTTTAATTTAATATTATATACAATACTAGCTGTCCCGGCAAACATTGTTTTGCCATATATAAGATTTCTAGGGAATTTCTAGTGTAGAAACAAAAAGTAACTTAATGTAGCGCTGTGAACGTTGAGGGAATATATAATAAAAATAACAAAACCTCATTCAACCACATAATACTTCATTATAAAATTAAAAAAAAAAAAAAAAAAGTCCAAATAAAAAAAAAAATTTTAGGTGGGACAACCCTAATCACTTAGGGGTATGAAAAATAGATAGTAGCCGATTCTCAGGCTTACTGAATATGCATAAAAAAATTCATGAGAATCGGTCAAGCGGTTTCGAAGGGGCGCCCACGCGCCCACAACCTGTCGATGTGGAAACCGAGGCCGAATGGTTTCGGGGCGCGATGCACCGCATATGTGATGCCTCAATGCCCTGGGTCGGCCCTCGGCATTCTGGACGGCGACAGTCGCCCTGGTGGTCGCCCGAAATTGCAAGACTGCGTGCGGTCTCCATTCGGGCGAGCCGCCAGTGCACTAGACACCGCCGTCGCCGCCGCCTGCGGCGCGACGAGCCTGTCGCGTTCGCGGAGGAGGAAGCTCGGCTGCACCGCGAATATCGCACTGCGAAGGACGCCCTGCGGCTGGCCATCAGGCGGGCCAAGGAGCAGAACATGGAGAGACTCTTGGAGGCGCTCGAAGCGGATCCGTGGGGGAGCCCATACAAATTGGTACGCGGCAAGTTACGCCCGTGGGCCCCCTCTATGACTGAGCGCCTCCAGCCTCAGCAGCTGCGGGACATCGTTTCGGCGTTGTTCCCGCAGGAGCGGGAGGGTTTTGTCCCTCCTGCTATGGGCGGGCCGTCTGACACCGTCGACGGCCAAGCTCCTGCTGAGGTGCCTCGTATTACCGAGGCAGAGCTCCGGGTGGCCGTTGTCAAGATGACTGCGAGAGACACGGCCCCCGGCCCGGACGGAGTCCACGGCCGGGTATTGGCCTTGGCCCTCGGTGCCCTGGGGGACCGGCTCCTTGAGCTATATAATGGCTGCTTGGAGTCNTATGGTTCAATTTAAAGTACAGTCCACATATAACTCTTTTAGCTATCCCGTTCAAGCCTATGTTTTAAACTGCCTAACATCCACTCTTCCTTCACAGCAAATTCAATTTCAGGATTGGCCGGTATTGTTGCAATTGCAGATGGCTGATCCAGGATATGGTACACCAAGCAATATAGATCTTCTACTAGGCGCTGATGTGCATGGTCAGGTTTTGTTAAAATAAAGTCGATTTTTATTCGAGCACGTCTTATCATAAAGTTTTCTGTGAGTTTCTGTTACGACTTACTATGAGTTAGGTCGCGGACTTTTTGGCGGGAGCGCGAGGAGTGAAGTTGTGTGATTTGTTTTATTTTGTCTATTTAGTGTTTCTTCGGGTTTAAATGTGTAATAATGGTGGTTTATTAACTGTTTAATATCTGTGAAAGTGCACAAATGTAGGAAAATGAAACAAAGCCGCTGGACGTAACTTCTTGGGATCCTCCGAAAAGTCCACTGAAAAAATCTTAGTAAATGATCACCATTTTACTGAGATCCCATATTATCTCATTTCATTTCATTTAATTTCATCCCAGCTGATTAATGTCTCAAATTAATCATCTTCATTCCATTTCACTCCATATTATCATTTTTCATAAAAATAAGAATATAAATTAAAATAAGACATGACTTAAAGGTCTTAGTTACCAGGTCAAAAAATCCCTTTAAAAAAGTTAGGTCGCGCACTCCATCTTTAACTGCAATTAAAATTATAATTATGAACTTTATTGCTATTTCAAAGTTGTGCGGCTTGATTTACATATCTTCATTTTCAAACTTTCAATGTTGAAATCGTCGAAAAAAAAGAAGGAAAATTACATATTCAAAACTATGCTAATCCTTATTGTGTTATGAACACTTTTATTCAAAACTAGCCGTACTCGCCCGCTTCGCTGGGCATTTAAAATTAACATCATTATTTATTGTCATTATTATTTATTATCATTATTATTATGGAGTCCAACACTCATATAAATATTAGCCTATCCATTAAGTACTTGTATTTTCTACATGAATACCAAGTTTCAAGTCAATCGGATGCACGGTTCAGTATTTATAACGGAATGTCCGTAAAAACCACTGTAGATTTATATATGTATTAGTATAGATTAAACACTAAATTTATTATCAAATTTTTTTTTGGTAAAATCGTGGTAAGAACCTGTTGAATGAAAGAGTGAACACACATATTGCGTTTCCAGACAAAAAAAGCAGTATTTACAATAGTATTATATAAAAAATTATACGTCTTTGGCGTAATTGAATTTTCATCACAATTTTGCTAAAAAATTACATTTAGATAAATATACACATGATAATAATACCGAGCCGTATCCAGAAGTTATAAAGTGTCAAAAGTGAAAAAAAATCATCAACCCAAATTCCCAACTTACTTGATCATTGGGTTTGGCCAATCTCTCTTGGGCTGCCTTCACCAACATTGGAGCCAACAGTTCAGTCTGAAAAGACAGTATTACATTAATCATCCACGTCGTCTTTCTCCTAGAGACAGGATATTATTCCAGTTAAAAATTAGTGGAAAAGGTGTGGCAAGGGAAAATTTCAGTACTTAAACTAATGGTTATAAAATATAATTTGCTTACCTCTCGCAACTTCAACCGTGTGGACCACACTTAATAAGACGTACCAAACGTTAGGCATATAAGCGTATCGAAACTGTTTTTTTTAATATAATGTTTCAATCATTTTATCCAAAATGTCTACGAATTATTTACACAAAGGTAGCCCATATGTCGCTCTTTCTATTAGACAAAATCGTATCGTATTTTATTATAGTTTAGAATTAATTAATAAGCGAAGAAAGTGACAGAAGTAGGCAGCGACTTTTTTTATAATACTATCACCGTTGCATCGCTCGATACGAATGCACCGGACGTCTTATCCTTTGGGCCACGACGACTTCACTGAAAACTTAGTGGAAGAAGTTTACCTGATTGCTGCACTGCTTGAGTTGGTCAGTCAGCGCCTGGTCCCCGGTGCCTGTGTCCGCCACGAACCGCGCAGTCCTGGTCACTCTGCCTAGTTGGGCCAGGAGTTCAGCTATTTTCTTTTCGAGCAAATATTGACGTTTCTTTTCGTCTGAAACAGATTGAATTGCGAATGATTTTTCATCTCAATCGTGTCACTCTTGACAGAGTGGTCGTGATTGTCATGTAGTGTTGGGGCAGACTTGATGCATCTCACGATGTTCCGCCATCACTTCCTGTACTCATTTAGAGAATCCTTCACTATGGTTTGGTCACTCCATCGCATTAAAGACCTCTTCATAGGAATGATTAGGTAATCCCAAATAATTTAAACATGGTGCAATTGAAACATTTTTGTTGGATGATCTTTATTGACATAGATGAGTTGGCTGATGGGAGAGTTTAAGTGCTGCTACCCACCATGAGATATGAGTTATAAGGTCTCAGAATAGTTACAACGGCTGCTCCGCCCTTCAAACCGAAATGCAAACGAGCTTATATGTCTTATATTTTAAACTGATATAGGTAGGTATCATCTTGGCTTTCTGGATGTGAAGGTTTAGACAGCCGTTAAGGAATTTAGAATTGAATTTTTTTATCTCTATTCTATCTACTATATTCTCATGACGTCGACATCACAACCCCATCATCTTAAGGCAGACGGATATTTAAACATGACAATCTAAATTCCGTCACCCACCTTGAGATTCAAGGTAGCACAACCAGAACCTTAAATTTTCATAACTGGAAGAAATTCATATTGTAGCAGCAGCTGACTTCTTATTTTAGACATTTTGGTATAGTCATTCGTCCCAAAGCTGTGACTAATGTAGGTTCTAGAAAATTTTGAATACCTTTTTCAGAATCCACTAATATATCTAGATCTGCGAGAGGTTCCTCCTGGTCCATAAAATCTTCCACCACCCTCGTAACGACACCGCGCTCTATCAACTTCTTTAAGTCCTTAAGGCGGTGACTGAATATACTGAAAAGAAAACGCGTGAAGGAATATTTTATTTATTTGTTGATAAAGTATCACAAACATGCAATGGTGGATTCAACCGTTCTCAAATGTTTAGCCGACACATACAGCACTGTACAAATAGCTTGACACTTGAGATCAAAGTTTCAATTACATTGTTTTTTTACTGCTTAGATGGATGGACGAGCTCAGTGCCCAGCTGGTGTTAAGTGGTTACTGGAGCCCATAGACATCTACAACGTAAATGCGCCACCCACCTTGAGATATAATTTCTAAGGTCTCCGTATAGTTACAACGGCTACACTTTTTCTTTCCTCCGCGGCGGCGCGCGGGTTATGTGAGACTCAACGATCTGCATGATGTTGTGAGAAGACCGCGAGCCCAAGGAGCAACGGCAACCCCGCCTTTCAAACCGAAGCGCATTACTGCTTCACGGCAGAAATAGGTGGTGTGGTGGTACCTACCCGTGCGGACTTTCAAGATGTCCTACCACCAGTAATATACACTCTTCTAGATTAAACACTGGCACGTGATTTCTTCAAAACTTGCTTGTGGTTCTTCGATACCAAGGCGTCAAATATCAAAACATAAGCCTCAAAATCTTATTAGAGCCATTACTAACCTGTACTTCTCTTGGTCGTATCTTTGGCAGCAGTCGTTAAGCAATACATCCGTTTCGTGGAACATCTGTTTCCATTCCAACTTTTCTGCGGGGGTCATATCTTCTGCCATCTAAAACGTATAACTTCAACTTAGACATTCTCTTAGGCTATGAGTACATTCAGATCTGATCAGATCGAGACTGACTCGGTGGTGCTGTAGTTAGTTTAACGGGTCGCCATTATAGAACACAAGATATTTGACAGATCGGACTCTGCATCACATGGACTACTCACAATGCTCACGCAACACTCAAGCTCAGTCTCGAATCAACGCAGACTTTGAGCAGCACTTGCACGGACAACGCTAACTAAATGACAGGACCTCCGGTCTCAGAGGGGAGTGATGTGGCGGGTAGCCATTATAGAACACAAAATACTTGATCGATGCCTGAATCTCGCTTACGACATTTTCAAGATAAGTTTGCATATATACAAGTTCCAAACAACAACATTCGGACCGTCGGTCTACCGAGCAGTATCGCCCGCGCGGTGGAAGATCTTCCCTTTGTCGTATACGAGGGCTGCACTAAAAGTATCGGGAATGGAATATTTCCACTGTTCCTGTCATATTAAAATCTTTTTAATTGTAAACTCCTTGGTTTTGAAAATCGAATACCATTTATTTATTTAAAAAAAGATTCTCGGTCTTGTCACGAGGTTTTGTCAAACTTGTTTAGTCGTTGAGAAAATGGAATTGACTCGAGAAAATTCAAGAGCAATGATTTATTATGACTTTCGAAGTGGTTTAACACAAAAACAGTGTGTTGACCGGATGATTTCTGCATTTGGTGATGAAGCCCCATCCAAAACCACAATTTATCGCTGGTTTGCTGAGTTTCAACGTGGACGTGTCAAGCTCAGTGATGATCCCCGTCAAGGTCGTCCAAAAACTGCAGTCACCCAAGAAAACGTTGATGCTGTGCGTAAGCTGATTGAGGAAGATCGACATGTGACATACCGCGAAATTCAGGCAACTTTAGACATTGGCATGAGTCAAATACAAATAATCTTGCATGAACAATTAGGTGTAAAAAAGTTGTTTTCCCGATGGATACCGCATTCGCTCTGTGAAGAGCAAAAAGCGGCTCGCGTTACTTGGTGCGTCAGAACTCTCGAAAGATTCCACGCAGGATCCTCAAATGCTGTATACAACATTGTATCAGGTGACGAATCCTGGATATACGCGTACGAACCCGAAACAAAAAACCAGTCACGAGTTTGGGTGTTCGAAAATGAGTTAAAGCCAACAAAAATTGTTCGTTCACGGAGTGTTGCAAAAAAAATGGTGGCCACGTTTGTCTCCAAAACCGGCCATGTTACGACTATTCCTCTTGAGGGACAAAGAACGGTTAATGCAGAATGGTATGCTAGCATTTGTTTGCCACAGGTCGTTTCTGAACTCCGTAAAGAGAACTGCAACCGCCGCATCATCCTCCATCACGACAATGCGAGTTCTCACACCGCGCACAGAACAAAAGAGTTTTTAGAGCAAGAAAACATAGAATTATTAGACCATCCGCCGTACAGCCCCGACCTAAGCCCTAATGATTTCTATACTTTCCCTAAAATAAAGAATAAATTGCGTGGACAGAGATTTTCATCACCTGAAGAAGCTGTGGACGCCTACAAAACGGCCATTTTGGAGACCCCAACTTTCGAATGGAATGGTTGCTTCAATGATTGGTTCCATCATATGGAAAAATGTGTCAAATTTCGCGGAGAATACTTCGAAAAGCAATAAATACATTTTTAAAAAGTAATGTTGTGTCACTTCGTTAATTCCCGAAATTTTCAGTGCCGCCTAGGTACCTACAGTTGACGCCCTTGACTATTGCGCCGAGGGTCATGGGTTCGATTGCCACATCGGAACACTCTTTTGATGAATAGGTTTGTTTCCTAATTGTCTGGATTTTTATTGCCTATATATGTATATATTTAAAACATATTTAAGTATGTTAATCACTCCTTGGTACCCATAACACAGGGAATCGTAAATTGGGGCCGGATGCCCGTACCTGATTTGTTCCCAGTTGTTATTACAAATCCCAAAGATACTGAGCAAGACCGAACATCAGATACAGATTCAATAAGCTCACTGGATAGGGTACAAGATATAGATGAAATATCAGCATAGATGCTTTAGTTAGGACTTGGGATATCATTGACATCAAATCGTAAATGCCGCCGTTCATAATAGGCGAAAGGGCATCAGCATTACTAGAGTGAACTCTAATCGGAAAATAGAGACTCCACAGCAATCTTTGGAATTTTTACATTTTTAAGATTAATAAGGGTAGAGAGCGGTATAGTCTCATGAGCAGTGATTGATTTTACTGTTACGGTTAAAATCGCGTTTATCATTTTTTATTACGAGTAAATTGTTCCTAATATTAGAATACTTTATTACAGTTTGCATGATTATAAAAAAACTGAGGTGTTACTCATTGAAATTTTAATAATATGCCAACTACCTTCTAATTTTCAATAAAATACTAAATTCGAGATTACCGAAATTCGATTCGCTAAAACCGAACGAAACTCTTTCAGCAGCTAATGATTCAGCATACCTTTTCAGCAACATCGATGATCGTTTTGGCCGCTTTCTGTCCAGCCGACTTGGTAGCAGCCTTACACGTTGGCTTGTTCAGCCATTTGTTGGCAATCTCCAATCTAAAATTGTTATTGGATGTCGATATGAATAAATCTACAGCTAGCTGATCACAGAGCGTGGTTATAAAAAAGAACTACCACATAGATATCTGATCCAATTGATCTGGTGAAATGCCAAGTCGGATTTTATTTATGGAAATCAATCCACAAAAAATTCAAAACATTATGTTAGTATTGAATTGTTTGTGAACTTTTATGTTAATATTGGTATTCATCATTAATACGATTACAATTCGTTATGCTGAATTATATATAATAATATATATAATAGGTTATACGCAATCAATCAACGCTGGTGCTCAGCTGAGACCGGCCTTTCTTTTTCCTACCTAAGCTTTCTACCTAAGCCTTGAGAGGCTATTTCAGCGTAACCTTAACTAGTAGGTGATCTCACGGGACTCAAACCGCAGTGATGCTAACATTGACCCTAGCAAGAGTAATGCTTCGCAGAATCTACCACCGGATCGGTAACGCGACCCACTGAGAAGATCCGGCGGGAAACGCAGTGGGCTGTATCTATGGATATCCAGCCTGGACGACGCGACTGCACTGAATTGAGCTTCTCTGTATAGTGTGTCCTGAGCATTTTAGCGTGTCCTTCATACAACGAGGCTTGAAGAGAGTCATCTGCAGTAAGCAGCAAGCTTACCTATTCTTTTAGCATTGCTCACATCAATGAGCGACAATGACCATTCGTCACCAACTATTGCGTCTGCATTTGAGAACAATAAAAAAGACGTTGACTTCTTAAAGTACATGACCTGCATTGAAGTTTAAGACCAAATTATCAATTACATTTGCCATGACTTACATTCAGCAAATCAGCTGAGATTTGTAGACCTAATCAAATTTCTCCAATTAAAGACTCCTTTTTTTTGCATAAAGTAACTTATTTTATCAAGGAATAAAAAATCTTTTAATATATACGGTATTGAATGAAAAATACGTACTGCGTATCGAGGAAGCTCTTGACTGGAGAATCAGAAATCTGAAACCAAAGGATTATATTAGATTTTGGTAAACGTATCACTCGCACGTATAAGTGCAACTGTCTTATTCTGATTGCGAAACGATCGTGCGTTCCAATTCGAAAGGTGGAACACCTGGTGGACCATCCGTCAACTCGGTAATAAATCCTTACTATTTTAATATTACAGCAATTACTATTATTCCACTTGGCTTCTAATTTATCGTACTTGTTGTCATTTTTGTCCAAGTCGGGACCACACTATACAGAAGAAGGTGATTGAAATCTGTGTAGAACTATATACTTTATCAATTATTCACACATTTACCTCTGATGTGTCTTCAGGGGATCCTAAAATTATACCAGCGCGTTGACCGTTGATTCTGGAAATGGTTATTATAAGTAAATTATTAACTCTATTCATTAGCCATAAAGCTCCTAATTCTGATCTATTTGAATTCTTTGATTTATAGCCTGATCATACACTGCATTCACTGCTTCCTAATACTTCTCTATCCAGAGACGCTTTGAACGAATAAATAATTAACGTTTCCAACAGACACAAGTCAGGAATTCAATAGCAACAAACATTATTGTAAAGATCTTATTTGAAATTGAAACTGTTACGGTCTTGTCCTGACTTGCGAGGCCATAAGACATTGCAACTTATTGGATTAGTTACAGATCAGTTTTTTGGTCTGAGTTGGACCTTCTTTATAGTTTTTGCTTTGGCCATCCTCGCCAATTTAAAATATTCGCCCTGTATATTTACAAGGCGTTGGATTATTCTGAAGATTGGGTTGTTGATGGCAGCAATTAAAATATGCAGTCAAGTCAAGCAACATATTGGAGTAACTTACTGTACAGTTTTAAGGAGCTCATCAAAGGCTTTGAGCACTTTCTTTGAGTTGCTGCCAAACATGACCCAGGTCATCATCTCCGGCTCCTCGGGACTTCGAGATACCTCGTCAACCAGATCTTGGGTGATACTGAGAAGAACCCTGGAACGCAAATTATGTTTAAGAGTGGTATATAGTTAAAGCTTTTTATTACAATCGAGCTAATCGTTTTTTTTTTATTATTGCATTAAGTAGCTGGACTAGTTCATAGACCATATGGCGTAAGGTGGTTATCGGAACCCATAGATATCACGACGCGAATACCTCCAATGCCTCTCAAGAATGGAAAGTAGTCGACGTCGCCCCGAGCAAGTCATTTCGGATCCTCCCGATCCACTAACGGTGCTTTTAGGTACCTCAACCACCGGTCACCGTTCTCGTCGAACCCGTCGCTTGCGACGAAGGGCTCGACGAGTAAATGAACACTCAGACACAGCCCACTGAGTTTCTCGCCGGATCTTCTCAGTGGGTCGCGTTTCCGATCCGGTGGTAGATTCTGCCAAGCACGGCTCTTGCTAGGGTTCGTGTTAACAACGTCGTCAGGTTTGAGCCCCGTGAGCTCACGTACTAGTTTAAGTTCCGCTGAAATAGCCTCTCAAGGCAATCAGCTGAGGTAGGAAAAAAGAAAAAAGCGTCCTTCGGGTCAGAAAGCCGTTGTAACTACACTGAGACCTTAGAACTCATATCTCAAGGCGGGCGGCGGCCTTTACTTGATAGATGTCTATGGGCTCCGGCAATTATTCAACACCAGGTGGGCTCTGAGCTCGTCCACCCATCTGTACAATAAAAAAAATAAAAAAGTACGGCTGTGTTGCGACAGAAATAGGCAGATTAAAATGGGCCATCTTTGCACATATGACCATTTTAATACGGTGGACGGTTACTACATACAGACTGGTGATGGGGAGTATTGCGAGCCCACGGGATTAGGTAGCATCACCCACCACCCGTTTACATTGTTTGCTGTCTATGGTCTCCGATAACCACTTGACAACAGATATTCACGTCCCATCTGGCAATAAATTACACCCATGGCCCCCGTAAACTTCAAACCCGAACACATTATTCCATCAACATAAAATTGTAGATATTTCATAATTAGACGTCAAATTACTTTGAGCTATTGGAGATTTCTTCACATCTTTGTCTCGTGTCGGCAGATAAAGTCTTTGGTGTTGGAATCAAGGCTGGATTTTCAATTATATTATCAGTATTCTTCAATACACTCATAAGATCCATTGTGAGAGGTGCTATTTTCGTCTGAAATACAAATACAATTAATTATAAATTTTCATAATCAAATTCCTATGAATTGGTCAATCGAGGTGCCCCCGATATTGTCGCAGACAAGAGAGAACGAATAAAGAAATCTAGTTTAACATTACTTAACCCCTGAATTTAGTCCATTTTTGTCCGACAGTGCCTTAAACGTTGAAAATACAATGTAAGCTTGTGATGTAAATAGGCTGAAGTTGCTTATAGTCTGTGGATGTCATAGGTATAGCAATTTTCTTTTACACATAAAATACATTAAGAAAATTTTTACGCAGAACTCTTGTGGTATGAAGTTTGGATAAATATCCGAGTAACTCACTGAAAACTAAACCCTCATCATTTCGCCTCGTCATCATTAAAAACTACTCATCTTTATAGTAAGACTAGCCGTAGTCGCCCGCTTCGTTGGGCATTTAAACTTATTATTATTTATTGTCATTATTATTAGGGAGTCCAACACTCATATAAATATTAGCCTATCCATTAAGTACATGTATTTTCTACATGAATACCAAGTTTCAAGTCAATCGGATGCATGGTTCAGTAGTTATAACGGAACATCCGTAAAAATCACTGTAGATTTATTATATATTAGTATAGATATATTAGTATAGATTAAACACTAAATTTATTATTAAACCACTGTAGATTTAGATATTAGTATAGATTAAGATATTACCTCTTCATTTTTATCCAAAGCCCGACAAATGGCACCAAAAATAGAATCTACTTCCGTCTTTGATTGAGCCAAATCCTTCGACAGCTTCTCGTCTTTGATCTTGTCCTGGGCTTCAGTCAAAGATTGCGTAAGATCTTTCATTTGATTCTTCAACTTCGGTATGTCTTCTTTGATCTATATAGATGTTGAGTAATAAGAATCGAATAAGAAGTCGTGGCCTAAAGGATAAGACGTCCGGTGCATTCGTATGTAGCGATGCACCGGTGTTCGAATCCCGCATGTGGATAACAAATTTTCTAATGAAATATGTACTTAACAAATGTTCACGATTGACTGCCACGGTGAAAGAATAATATCGTGTAATAAAAATGAAAACCGCAAAATTATAATTTGCGTTATTACTGGTGGTAGGATGACTGTGACCTTAGAACAGATCTCAAGGTAGTTGGCGGCCTTTACGTCATAGATGTCTATGGGCTCCGGTAAACACTCAATACCAGGTGGGTACTTGAATATAAGGTATCAATTAATACTCCCATGATACATTAAGTCATTTATCTATACGGTCGTTTTTAAATAAATTTTGCCAATCCGACTGTCCAAATAAACGATAAAGCGAAAATAGTTCTTATTATATCCGATTTAAGATTCATTCCGTAAGGCAAGGTAAGAAATGCAATCCATTGAAATTTGTGAGGTATAGAAACAATACAGGGTGCTGTTCTTTAGAAGCATTTGATGGAAGATATTTCATTTGAAATAAGCATTACATTTGTAAAAATTTCAATTTTTAGTGCTCTATAATGAATATTATAAAGCATACATTAGAAAGCAATCAACACAAATTTAAGACGGAATTAATTACCACTCAGTAATGGCCCTGAATGTATAACCACAAAAATAATCGGCTGTTATAACGTGGTACCGTACAAGACGCGTTACCTACCCAGTGGTGGTACTTACCCAGGCACCACCACCCTGGCTATTTCTGCCGTGAAGCAGTAATGCGTTTCGGTTTGAAGGGTGGGGCAGCTGTTGTGATTGAGACCTTAGAACTCATATCTAAAGGTAGGTGGCATTTCGTCCACTTATCTAAGCAATTTTTTTTTGTTTAGTAGTAAAAATTATAGTTGCGTATATCAGTTGAAATTACTTACATCATCAATATGTTCGGTTCTAATGAGGCGTATGCAAGAGTCGCGGACAGCCCCGATGGATTTCTGAATTTTTCGTATATCGACCAATCCTTCCTTCGCTGCACTCAAATCCTGTTCTGATATCGACATCTGGAAATTAGAGACAGCTTACACTTAATCCACCGGAATAAATTTAGCTTATTTAATAACTAGCTGACCCGGCAGACTTCGTAGTGCCTCAATCGATAAATAAAAGACCTAAACTTTTGTATAAAATAAACTTAAAACAAACAAAAGGAATCCGTCCGACGGGGGACACATCAAAGGGAAAACAAAATTGGTATTTTTATTTAACTCCGAGCATTTTCATATTTATCTACCTTTTAAACCTTCTCTGGACTTCCACAAGTAATTCAAGACCATAATTAGCCAAATCGGTCCAGCCGTTCTCGATTTTTAGCGAGACGAACAGCAATTACTGGTGGTAGGACCTATTGTGAGTCCACACGGGTAGGTACCACCACCCCGCCTATTTCTGCCGTGAAGCAGTAATGCGTTTCGGCTTGAAGGGTGGGGTAGCCGTTGTAACTATACTGAGACCTAAGAACTTATATCTCAAAGTGGGTGGCGCATTTACGTTGTAGATGTCTATGGGCTCCAGTAACCACTTAACACCAGGTGGGCTGTGAGCTCGTCCACCCATCCAAGCAATAAATAAAAAATATATATATATTTATAGATGAAGCCAAAACCGTAAGTTCGTTTTTATGCTGCATAGATTCTTGTGAACGAGTTCACAGACCACTGGAATGGGTATTGAAGCATGGAGGTAGCACGACACGAATCCCAACACCTTAAAAAGTGAGGTTAAAATCATCATTGAGTTACAACAGCTATCCCACTGTTCAAACCTGTTTTAGGGCAAAAATAAATAGAATGTCGATACCCACTCGCGTGGACATATCATATTATGCTTAGTTTTCATTAAAAATAAAGGTAGGTAATACCACCAATGCTTAACAAACAGATGCAAATATAGCATGACAGTAGTAAATTGGGAAACGTGGTCATTATTCAGAGCCGTAGAAAGAAAAAACAGCCAAACAGTGAAAAAAGTCGTCGTTTTGAAGCCGTCGTGGCCTAAAGGATAAGACGTCCGGTGCATTCGTGTTGAAGCGATGCACCGGTGTTCGAATCCCGCAGGCGGGTACCAATTTTTCTAATGAAATACGTACTCAACAAATGTTCACGAGTGACTTCCACGGTGAAGGATTAACATCGTGTGATAAAAATCAAACCCGCAAAATTATAATTTGCGTAATTGCTGGTGGTAGGACCTCTTGTGAGTCCGCGCTGTGAAGCAGGTCCAAGAGGTCACAACGCATTAGCATTTCGGTTTGAAGGGTGGGGCAGCCGTTGTAACTATACTGAGACCTTAGAACTTATATCTGAAGGTGGGTGGCGCATTTACGTCATGGATGTCTATGGGCTCCAGTAACCACTTAACACCAGGTGGGCAGTGAGCTCGTCTACCCATCTAGCGAATAAATAAAAAAAAAAGCAATCATGAACATTAAATGACTAAGATCGAAGAAAGAGTTAGATTAAACCAATGCATGTTGTTTTTAATCAAGTACTATAAAATGGTAGAGCTATTTTTTGGGAAGCAAAGTGTTGACATAACAAAGAACAGAGTTAAAAAAAACTATAATTCAAAAGTCCTATGGTACAATGCACACAAAAAACCACCGTTGAAAACTTAAATTTGTTTTTCCTGAAAATAAATCAGTAAGCGATTGACTGATTTAAACTTACCAAGTAAGCGCATTGCTGGAAGTATTCGGAACTGTTGCACACGGCCGAGGTGATGTAGCCAAGGTCCTTGATAAGCTCGTCACGCGGCATAGCTTCCTCGTTTTTCAATTTCGCTATTATGAAAACATTTTTTTTATTTTTATTGCTTAGATTGATGGACTAGCTCACAGCCCACCTGGTGTTAAGTGGTTACTGGAGCCCATAGACATCTACAACGTAAATGCGCCCCCCACCTCGAGATATAAGTTCTAAGATCTCAGTATAGTCACAACGGCTACCCCACCCTTCGAACCGAAACGCATCACTGCTTCACGGCGGAAATAGGCGGGGTGGTGATACCTACCCGTGCGGACTCCCAAGAGGTCCTACCACCAGTAAAGGTCGGTATTTTCGTTAAGACTTTCGCAGCTTATTCATTTAGAATGTAATCTTGTGATTAGTGAAATGTTTGGAATGGAATGAACGGAATGGACGGAAAAAGACCACGAGGTAGAGACCCGACAGGTTAGGCTGACCATATCCGCATTACTATCGACAGCACAGTTCACGATGGTCTACACTTGGCGTCAGATAAGAACAAATGGCGTAGAGTGATCCAAAATACACTCTTGTTGCGAAGGAGGTTGTCACTACCTTCAGCATTGAGGAAACCGAAGCGAGAAGAAGAAGAAATGAAATGTTGTGTTTAATATTTTTTTATGTTTTGAGAGATTACTGGTGGCCCGGAGGCATTTCCAGTTTTACCAGGGCAGGTGGGCGAGCAAGGGCTAAGCCAGGAAGGGGTGGGATTTGCTAACAGCTACCCGAGCGCCTCCAGATTAGACCTAACAACTCAAAAGTAGTTGCTTCGCGAATGAATCTACTACCGGATCGGAATCGCGAACCGATGAGAAGATCCGGCGAGAAACTCAGCGGGTTGATGTTTAGGTTAGGTTAATTTTGTCATAACAGTTACCAGGCCTTTTGCAACATTCAACAAAACCTTTTGTGATGCTGGTAAAGTTTCTAACAAAAATCCGTAATCTGAGCTGATAAAGATTACTAGTTTCGTAATTGTTTTAAAGTAATTCCAGCAAAATTAAAATTTTAATCTCCTTTGTTTTGTCTTTATCAAGATAGGTTGCGACATCCATGTTGTTGTAAGCTGGGCGTGTGACGCATGAGTGTTAGAACATATCGCTACTGTTTTTCTTATAGATTGGTGATTGGAAACCATAGACACAACACCGTAAATACCAGAACATACCTGAGTCATGAGGTGTAGCATGAATCTTAAGTTGGCTGTGATTTCATTGTCACTCGCATTTGCCTATCGCAACTGAACATCAAACGTTTGAAGAAGGATATGTCATAGCTCTTGGGGAATTACCAAAGAGAAACAAATTAGCCAGATACTGAAGCTATAAATCTTAATATATATAAATTACGTGTCACGTTGTTTGTCCGCGATGGACAACTAAACTACTGAACTGATTTTAACTTTTTTTTTTATATTTTCTCACTCAGCTGGTGACACAGCCCACCCGTGTCCCAGATATTGAGGGGCACGAGCCCTCTCTGTTGGACCTTCTGCTGACCACCGATCCGGCCGGATACAGTGTGGTGGTCGACGCTCCACTTGGATCGTCTGATCACTGCCTTATCCGAGCTGAGATACCAATCTCTCGTCCTGGTCGTCGAACGACGACCGGGTATCGAAGAGTTTGGCGGTATATGTCAGCGATTGGGATGGATTGCGTGAATTTTACGCATCCTACCCATTGGGGCGGCTCTGCTTTTCCTCTGGTGATCCTGACGTCTGTGCGGACCGACTTAAAAACGTGGTGCTTCGGGGGATGAAATTGTTCATTCCTTCTTCCAAGGTGCCCGTCGGGGGTCGCAGTGAACCTTGGTACAACAATGCCAGTCGGGACGTTGCACGCCTCAAGCGGTCCGCATACGTGGCATGGAATGATGCCAGGAGACGTCGGGATCCTAATACCTCATAGGAAAGGCGGAAATTTAACGCCGCTTCTAGGTCTTATAAGAGGGCTATTGCCAAGGCGAAGTCAGAGCACGTTGCCAGAATTGCCGAGCGAGTGAAGAGCTATCCCGCCGGGAGCCGTGCTTTCTGGTCGCTCGCTAAGGCTGCAGAAGGTAACTTCTGCAGGTCTAGTCTCCCACCACTACGCAAGTCCGATGACAGTCTGGCCCATAGTGCGAAAGAGAAGGCTGACCTTCTGGTCAAACTCTTCGCCTCGAACTCGACCGTGGACGAGGGGGGTGCCACACCACCGAACATCGCCCGGTGTAATAGCTCCCTGCCTGAGATCTGCTTCACGCAGTGTGCAGTCAGGCGGGAGCTCCGACTCCTGGACGTCCATAAGTCGAGTGGGCCAGACGGCATCCCTGCAGTGGTTCTGAAAACGTGCGCCACGCCTGCGCTAACGCGTTTGTATCGCCTCTCTTATTGCACTAACAGGGTTCCGTCTTCATGGAAGACTACCCACGTCCACCCTATCCCCAAGAAGGGTGACCGGTCGGACCCATCGAGTTATAGGCCTATCGCGATAACTTCCTTGCTTTCCAAGGTGATGGAGCGAATAATAAATATACAACTCCTGAAGTATCTGGAGGATCGCCAGCTGATCAGTGACCGACAGTACGGTTTCCGTCACGGTCGCTCAGCTGGCGATCTTCTTGTATACCTTACTCACAGGTGGGCTGAAGCCTTGGAGAGCAAGGGCGAGGCTCTTGCTGTGAGCCTTGATATCGCGAAGGCCTTCGACAGGGTCTGGCATAGGGCACTTCTATCGAAGCTACCATCTTACGGAATCCCCGAGGGTCTCTGCAAGTGGATCGCTAGCTTTTTGGATGGGCGGAGCATCACGGTCGTTGTAGACGGTGACTGTTCTGATACCATGACCATTAACGCTGGCGTTCCACAAGGTTCGGTGCTCTCCCCCACGCTTTTCATCCTGTATATCAATGACATGCTGTCTATTGATGGCATGCATTGCTATGCGGATGACAGCACGGGGGATGCGCGATATATCGGCCATCAGAGTCTCTCTCGGAGCGTGGTGCAAGAGAGACGATCAAAACTTGTGTCTGAAGTGGAGAACTCTCTGGGGCGAGTCTCCAAATGGGGTGAATTGAACTTGGTTCAATTCAACCCGTTAAAGACACAAGTTTGCGCGTTCACTGCGAAGAAGGACCCCTTTGTCATGGCGCCGCAATTCCAAGGAGTATCCCTGCAACCTTCCGAGAGTATTGGGATACTTGGGGTCGACATTTCGAGCGATGTCCAGTTTCGGAGTCATTTGGAAGGCAAAGCCAAGTTGGCGTCCAAAATGCTGGGAGTCCTCAACAGAGCGAAGCGGTACTTCACGCCTGGACAAAGGCTTTTGCTTTATAAAGCACAAGTCCGGCCTCGCGTGGAGTACTGCTCCCATCTCTGGGCCGGGGCTCCCAAATACCAGCTTCTTCCATTTGACTCCATACAGAAGAGAGCCGTTCGGATTGTCGATAATCCCATTCTCACGGATCGTTTGGAGCCTCTGGGTCTGCGGAGGGACTTCGGTTCCCTCTGTATTTTGTACCGCATGTTCCATGGGGAGTGCTCTGAGGAATTGTTCGAGATGATACCAACGTCTCGTTTTTACCATCGCACCGCCGGTCACCGGAGTAGAGTTCATCCATACTACCTGGAGCCACTGCGGTCATCCACAGTGCGTTTCCAGAGATCTTTTTTGCCACGTACCATCCGGTTATGGAATGAGCTCCCCTCCACAGTGTTTCCCGAGCGCTATGACATGTCCTTCTTCAAACGAGGCTTGTGGAGAGTATTAAGCGGTAGACAGCGGCTTGACTCTGCCCTTGGCATTGCTGAAGTCCATGGGCGACGGTAACCACTCACCATCAGGTGGGCCGTGTTGATTATTGTTATTAATTGTAAGTTTCATATCTCTAAAACACATGGCGTCTTAAATCAGTTTTTACAAACAATTGTAAAACTGTCTGACATTAATATCTCATAGATGGCGCTGTGTTAAAAATACCAACGTTTCACATAAGCTACAATTGAATAGCTTAAACACCACGTGTTGCTGAGGCTAAAGTATAAGTGAAATTTATTTCGTAGTAAACGCAATACAGTGAAATCCACTTATTCTTACTTTGTTAATTTTTAGTAGTAGTATAACCGGCCACGGGTTATTTAGAAACAAAAACCTTAGCCACAGCAACGTGTGGCCGGGTCTGCTTGTCTTACATAAAACATCCTTCTGATTGTTCAAAGCATCAACGCAGTGTAGATACGGCAATCCGCATGTTGGGTGCTGGAACTGGCTGGTAGAGGTCTGCAGTTGTAGATGCCTTTTCATTCGAGTCATCTCGCTGCTCGGTCCGGGGGAACAGCATCGAACCTAGGGAGATAATGATATTGCAGAGTTTTACCTCTGATCTGATGAAATTTAAGCTGCGAGCCGTATTACCGGTAGGCAACGGCTTGGCTCTGCCCCTGGCATTGCTGAAGTCCATGGGCGACGGTAACCACTCACCATCAATAGGCCGTATGCACGTTTGCCCACTAGGGCTATAAAAATGTAAATAAAAATAACAGCTACCAACTTTGTGCAATCATGAACACATTTTCTCGTTCCATTAGAAGTGGGTGAAAATTTATAGAACAATAAATAGAATTTTTAATTTTTTTTTTATTGCTTCGATGGGTGGATGAGCTCACGGCCCACCTAGTGTTAAGTGGTTACCGGAGCCCATAGACATCTACAACGTAGATGCCGCCACCCACCTTGAGACATGAGAAAGTGAACCCGAATAGAACTCACCAGCGTATTGATGCTTTCGTTCAGTTGGCGTAAGGCATCCAGAAGTCGTCTTCTGCTTACTGGATGATCGAGATCCTGTGAAAAGATCTAATCAGTATTATGGAAAGATAAAAAAAAATCATGTGCGGTTTCTGGGGTACAATTTTATTCTGACAAACAATAGGTTCAACTTATGTGTTTACAAGCTTCGAACAACAACGGTCCAAATCGTCGTTCCTCCGAGAAATTTCACCCTAAGACCTTTCTTTTGTCGTTATTTCCAAAACATTGTTAAGTTATAAATGTATTCAATTAATTGTATATCTGACGAAGCATGTTGCGGATAACAACATGTACTTTTAGGTTAGGAATATTGTGTTCTTTTTTTTTATAATAAATACATTAAATATTAATTGCAACAAATGCATGTACTTAAATACAAAACTTGGATGTATGTACATCCAAACGTGACTATTCTATTATATTATAATATTAATGTTTACCCGACTAGCATACTCGGCGGTCTTAAGGACATTATAAGTGGCGAAGGACAAATCCTGTATTGCGTCTTCAATTCTGGAGTTGTGTACGGGATCCTATGAAAAAGACTAGATTAATTTCTCCGTTCTAAGCCGTTGAACTGATTTAGATCATTGTTAGTTTTTTCTTAACTTTTCACTTTCATTAGGACTATCATAATGACGTATGAAGTTTAAATAAAAATGACACCATTTGATTTTAGCTTAAAAGAAACGCTTTTTTTTTACTGCTTAGATGGGTGGTCGAGCTCACGGCCCAACTAGTATTAAGTGGTTACCGGAGCCCATCTACAACGTAAATGCCACTACCCACCTTGGGAAATGAGTTTTGAGGTCTCACAAGAGCTCACAGCCCACCTGGTGTTAAGTGGCTACTGGAGCCCATAGACATTTACAGCCGTAAAAGCGCCACCCACCTTGAGATATAAGTTCTAAGGTCTCAAGTATAGTTACAACGACTGTCCCACCCTTCGAACCGAAATGTATTACTGCTTCACGCCTGAAATAGGCAGGGTGGTGGTGGTGGTGGTACTTACCCGTGCGGACTCGGATCTTAGAACTTATATCTCAAGGTGGGTGGCGCATTAACGTTGTAAATGTCTATGGGCTCCAGTAACCACTTAACACCAGGTGGGCTGTGAGCTGGCGCACCCATCTAAGCAATAAAAAATAAAAAAAAACTCACAAGACGTCCTACCACCAGTCAAAAGTAGGATCTACCAGTGCCCTTGAGTGCCCTACCTTCGTCCTATGAGCACGTGCGACGTCCCCCAGCTGTGCAGCGCTGTGGACGGCACCAGCCAGGACTTGCGGCAGACTTGAGGGCTGGGACAGACTCTGGAGAATATCGGTGCACGTCCCGCTTAGCTTTGACGAATACTGATGAAGTTTCTTGTTCAATTTCCTGAGGTAGAAAATCTTGTCAGAGAAAATGCGTGTAGTACTAATTTTATTTTTTATTGCCAGTCGCATTATTGGCAGTCGGGCGAGCATGCGACCCTGATGCTGAGAAGTTACCGTCGGTAGCACTATTAGAAAATGATAGTGACGACGGCGACACATAATTTTTAATATTAAGTACATTTTTTTAAATAAACTTCTTAACTTTTAATTGTATTTTATTTATAACATCTAATACACTTCACGAATTCCTCTCTTTTCTTTAACTTTCCTCTAAACACACATGCTTAAAAATAAATTATGGCAAATAAAATTTTTTATAAAATTAAATTAAATTATATGCGGGCAATAAAAGTGACCATTTTTTTGTTGCAATGTGCACTATGCGCGACATTACCCCCACAACACCAAAACCTTGCCAACTTACGTGCCGCTTACTATACGTATAGGAAATAGCCTAGAAATATAGAACTATTTCTATCATCAATAGTCTCAGATATTAGATGGTACTATCTGGCCAGGAAGAAAGCTGTTTACATTTTTTGTTTTTTTGCTTAAATAGTTAGGAGCTCACACCCCAGCTGGTGTTAAGTAGTTACTGGAGCCCATAGACATCTACAACGTAAATGCGCCACACACCTTGAGATATAAGTTCTAAGGTCCCAAGTATAGCTATGTACTTAGCTACTAAGGATAGCACTGAATACCCCTACTCACTGTTCGTCAATGATCTTTATTTTGTCGTTGGGCAACAACATCTGGTAGGCGTTGTCGGCGCTGAACAGTTGGTTCTGTGTCGAGGACTCGGCTGCGGAAAATTTACTTTCGGGATTCTCAATTTCCTGTAAAAAGAACATTCAAACTAAGAACAGAGACTGACTAGTCCATGTGATCTGAAGTGGTAATTGCGTTGTTAAAAAACCGGATATCGAATGCAGCAATAAATTAAAGGCTATTTTGATTTTGAAGTTACGCACAATTCCTTCGTAGCAAAATCCGTGCAAGCACAAAACCCTAATAGTGAATTAGGATTAGTCGGGTGGCAGAATCAACTAATCCAAATGAATGATGTGCAGAATCGAGCAAAGTCAAGGGAAGCAAAGTAAAGTCTTCTGATTTTGATAAATATGAACAGATAAATTTACCCGTAGGATTTGTTCGGTAATACGGCTCACTTCGGGATCTTCAACTGGTTGCCATGTCGCAACTCTTTTGTTGACGGTCAGAGAGAGTATCTTCATGAGATCCACCAATTTGTATAGATGGGCTAGGAGTCTAAAAATGTATGATTGTTAAGTTTGAGGCACCAAACGTAGAACTGGTTAGATTGGGCTTCTTGTGCCTGTTAAATTGTCTCTGGGGGCAGACAAACTTTTAGCGCACCTAATGATTAAGTACCTCGAGCAAAGACCTTGCAAGGCCGAGTGATACGTAATACTTCATATTCTCTCCACACAGTTACAAAACAACTGACCCAGGTTCTATTAGCCCTTAAAGAGTTAAGAGCCAATATAACTTCAGGTCCTTTTAAAACCATGCCACGCACGCTCAATCGAACTTTTGGCCTTCAAATGTGAAATTTAAAAAGCTATTCTAAAAAAAACTATTCGAACTAAACTTAAGAACCCAGAATCCAATGATACTTACAGATCTCTTTTTTCTCCATTACTTCCGTAATCAGAGCTAGCTATATCAGCAATGTAATCAGTAAAGGCCGCAGCCAGGTGCTCTGAATTGCTGGCTTGTTTCGCTGCTGCAGCTACAGCACCCGACAGCTTGGCTTTCATCTGCGGCTTCGGAGGCACCGGTGGTCGCTTACGCTGCCAATGTTTTCAGATGGTATAATTTTGATATTGATAACAACCACACAAAACTGAGAAACATTTTCTAGTTTCTCTCAAAATTTATGTACCTGTGTTTGTTCATTCTGTTACTTTTTTCATTGCTGAGATAGATGGACGAGCTCACAGGCCACGCGGTGTTAAGTGGTTACTGGAGACCATAGACATTTACAACGTAGATACGCCACCTACCTTGAGATATAAGTTCTAAGGTCTCAGTACCTATAGTTACAGCGGCTGCCCCACCCTTCAAACCGAAACGCATTACTGCTTCACGGCTGAAATAGGCGGGGCGGTGGTACCTACCCGTGCGGACTCACAAGAGGTCCTACCACCAGGTATAATTTTGATATTGATAAAGCCACACGAAACTGAGAAACATTTTCTAGTTTCTCTTAAATTTATGTATCTATGTTTGTTTGTTCGTTATCTACATGCTAGCGCTTTTAATTCGGTCGAACATTGAACAAAAATTATGGGTATCTTAAAAAGACTCTAAATTTAGTACCAGCAATGTACCACTCGTGACTAATTTCGACAATATAGTGTATTTCATGACCATGTCAACTAGAAGAAACAAAAAATGTTATTAATGTATTGATCTAAGCAAAAACAAGTTACATTTTTAAACCGTAATGCACAGTGTAAATAGTTAATTGCCGCTACACGTTCGCAAACATTGACCTTGTACCTCAGTTCTTTTTACATTGCGTTTTGTAAATGTGTGTATCGTACTCTGTATCGTGTGTGTACTCTGAATTTTAATGGAGGAACGCGAGGAGTGAAGTTGTGTGATTTGTTTAATTTTGTCTATTTAGTGTTTCTTCGGGTTTAAATGTGTAGTAACGATGGTTTTGGTGGTGGTGGTGGTGGTATTAATATCTGTGAGAGTGCACAAATGTGGGAAAATGAAACAAAGCCGCTGGACGTAACTTCTCGGGATCCTCCGAAAAGCCCACTGAAAAAATCACAGTAAGTGACCACAATTTTACTGAGATTATATTATTTCAACCCATATCATCTCATCTCGCTCCATTTCATTTCATTTCACTTCATATTATCATTTTTCATAAAAATAAGAATATATCTTAAAATAAGACATGACTTAAAGGTCTTAGTTACCAGGTCATAAAATCACTAATAAAAAAAATAATGATGCACTTCTTTTCATAGCACATCAGTCATTAGCTACAGCATGTAATCTGTATTATCATAACCTGCCACTCACCATGGTGACGGCGCCCTGGACTTCATTAGCAGGTAACAGAGTTTTGATGACGCGTCGTTGGATATCGTTCAGATCGTTCAATGTCGCATCTAAGGCTGCGCTTCGGGCAGTGGACAAATTGCACTTGGCTGCGAACCTGAATAAGAAGAATTATAATTACACTTACTGGTGGTAGGACGACTAGTGAATCCGCACGGGTAGGTACTGTTACGGGGTTGATCCAGGAGCTTTTTTCTTTTTTTATTGCTTAGATAGGTGGACGAGCTCACAGTCCACCTGGTGTTAAGTGGTTACAGGAGCCCATAGACATCTACAACGTAAATGCGCCACACACCTTGAGATATAAGTTCTAAGGTCTCAAGTATAGTTACAACGGCTGCCCCACCCTTCAAACCAAAACGCATTACTGCTTCACGGCAGAAATAGGTAGGGTGGTGGTACACAAGAGGTCCTATCACCAGTAAATTACACATGTTAAGGACATGTTAAGGACATGTTAAGGAATAGTCCTATTGGTGTTAAGTGAGGAACAACACAAGTGATTTCTGCCTTTCGCCTCAACACATGAGGTTAAAACTTCCATTATAATGCAATAGGTAACTGCTATTGTAGCCTTCATATGACTGCTTCGCACAAGAGAACCAACCGGCTAATGGAAATACAATCGTGGTCATTGTAGGTGATTTGATTTGAAAATTCATCATTGGCTATCTTATCTTATATTTATCTTATATAAACAAGTTTGTTTTTGGACTAGGACTAGGAGTCGTGGCAAGGGAGAGTCTACCTCAAAATAGATCACAACATTTTACTGGTGGTAGGAGCTCTTGTGAGTAAGCACGGTTAGGTACCACCACCCCGACAATGCCTGCCGTGAAGCAGTAATGCATTTCAGTTTGAAGGGCGGGGCAGTCGTTGTAACTATACTGAGATCTTAGAACTTATATCTCAAGATGGGTGGCGCAATTACGTTGTAGATGTCTATGGGCTCCAGTAACCACTTAACACCAGGCGGGCTGTGAGCTCGTCTACCCATCTAAGCAATAAAAAAAAGAACACTCTGAGATCGTGGTCAAGGAATTATAAAAAAATATATTATTTTTTGTACGTTATTACAAAGTTAAGTCGTACACTGTGTATATTACTAACAAAAATCTTACGTTACGTACGTTTTTTCCCGGTTAGGGTACCCCTCCGCATCGCCCCATAAGGTACTTTCGTTCCAAAAAAAAAACTTACCAGTATAACTTGCAACTTTCCTCCAAAGCTTCAAGTCGATGCTCAAGCTCCTTCGTTTTCTGGTCTTGGCATTTCTCCAGAACTGATCGTAATGTTTTGATACGGTCATTGCATTCCTGTTAAACAAATTCGTGTATTAAAATGAGTAAACACCTAGTTTTTTTACAGCATCTATGCTACTATACAAAAACGCATACAATGTACCTATAGCTAGATAACACATTTATATAGATAAATAGGCATAAGTACATTGAGAAAACAGCAAAAGATATAGATATAAAATTACTATTACTAAATTTAATACTCTGTTGTCGAAGAAAAGTTCTATAGCGTTGTGACAATATCCATGACAGAGGAACCTATATAATAATAGTGGTCTATTTATCAAAATGTCCGGAAGCCACGGTGATCTCTTGAAACTTCTCTATGATGTGTGGACATTGAATAACTCATTTTTACTTTTCTCTTAAAGTTTTTTTATTGCTTAGATGGACCAGTTTACGACCCATCTGGTGTTAAGTGGTTACGAAGCTCATCGATATCTACAACGTAAATGGCAGGGTGGTGGTACCTACTCGCACGGACTCACAAGACGTCCTACCACCAGTAAAACCAGTCCTACGCCAGTTTTCTGGTGGTATTACTAGTACACACGGGTGGATGCCATTATCTCGCCATGCCATACAGCAATTGCGCTATGATTTCTATAAGATACGGTAATCACTTAGCACCGGGTAGACCGTGAGCTCGCGCTCACTTAAGTACGATAAAAGACTCGTAGGATAGTTATTAACACTGTCGATTTTAGTAAACAAAAACTTAAAGAAGTTGTACTTCTCCGAACTGCTCTAAGACTTCTCCGTCCTGGTTTCCTTCGTGCATCAGCTCGAACGCTTTCGACGATATCTCGTGACAATTTTCTTTTATTTTCTGTTAAAAAATTATATCTTAAGAAAACCACGATTAACGTAATACAACAGATCGCTACAAAAGTCACTGACTGACTCGGTGGTGCTGTAGTTAGAGCCCCTTACTATTGTGCCAACGGTCGTGAGTTTGATTCCCATCGCGCAAACATTCGTGTGATGAACAAAAGTTTGTTTGTTCTTTGTCTGCGTGTTTATTATCTATATATGTATATATCGGCACAACGTCACTATTTAGTTAACTAAAAATTTAGTTAGTTTAGTTAAAGTTAACTGTTTCCTTAATGTTCCGCATGTCAACAACTGTTTAAGACGGTATGCAGAACAATTCATGACTAAGCTACCCCCCCTTTATACTATAAATACAAGTGACTTATCGCAAAAAAACAATTAGACTCGAGCAACCGAACGGAGCGGAGCTCTCTATTGTTATCGTTGTACATTTGAAATGTAATAAATGGAATTCATTGGTCAAATGCTTTAATTACTGTCACTATGGTAGGCAATGATAATGATGAAGAGAATCATTTTAAAAACACCACGGAACCAGCCTCTCCATCATATATTTCAGTTCATATTACATAAGTTTGTTTGTCAGACTCTGGTACCCATAGCACAAGTAATCTTAATTTAGGGCCGGACGACCGCGCGTGATTTGTTCCCAGTCTCGTATTCATCAACTCTTGCCATTTAAAAGCAATATGACCGTGAAGACGCATATCGGTCGAGTTAAAGAGTACATTTTGAATGTCAAGGATAATCCGGTTATGAGCTCTAAAGTCGGTCAACATGCTCAGGGCACCAGTATCATAAATATTTTATCCATAAATATAGTTATGAAAACAAGCTATTTCCAGAACGAGAAGCTACCAACCATATATAGAAACCAAATATACATAGATCAAAACAGGATAATCAAAGAAGTCAAACAAGTAGATGGATTTAGAAGCTCATGGATATTAACTGCGACTTCCAAAATTCTAACAACTCCCGGCAAACAACCCCTGGTGCTTTGAAAGGATTCAACCCTATCTATGCCTTTCAGACTAGAACACGGACTGTTGAAAAACGGGGATATTTAGGCGTTTGAACGTCACATATTCCACCTACCACCTCCAACGTGTTGGCAGAAGTCTGCGATTGCCTTCGACCCGAAAAAAATTGCAAGATCTTAAAAAAAAACTAAAAGCCCCAATAGCCAATAAAATTTTCCTAAATCTATAACTTACTTCTATATTATCGTGGTCACACTCTGAGTGAATTTCCGATGCTCTTTCAGTTAACTTGTCCGCTTCAATGGTTAGATCTTGCAAGAAGTCCTGTTTAAACACAAGATTTCGGTCAATCACCTACATAACATAATATCTATTTGGGTATTTTGTTACAAAAATATACACACCCTTATATCCACTACGTTGCTACTCTCCGCATCATTTACTTTAGGTCTAGTTTGTAGCAGGGAGATCTTCATATTTTCAATGGCACTCTCCAAATCGATAGCGCGATCGGTGTCCTAAAATAAAAACAAGCATTACTTTTTAAATGCTCAGTTAATAGCTAAAGGATGATATTGTCAAATGTTTAAGCTCTACTTAGTCAGTTAGTTAGTTAGTAACGTCCCGAACTAAAAGACCATACTACACTCCATAAGACGGCTAGCGTGTCATAAAATATCCAGAGAAAACCTATAAATAAAAAATTCAAGAGGAAACACATTTCCCAATTTATGTGGAGAATAGGTAATTCATAATTTTGTCACTGTATCTTTCAAAGCTATTGGAATTTTAATCCAAAAGGTAGCTGGACATTGGATTGAAAATACCAACATGGATATAATGTATAACAAAAACCAAATATGGCATCTCGTAATAATGTCTTGTCTTCCGAATCGGCTGCACAATTGCTGTGCAGAATAGGAAGTAGCACTCAACCAAACGGGCTGACAATCCAATCCAAACAAACAGTTGTATTTGATGTGGAGATAGGAGATAGCTCTACAATAAGTCAAATTCACAGTGTTGTCATCTATATCCTTGTTCAAATGAGGTTAAAGCAAATTTTCCAGCGAAAATCAGCTTGGCTATATTTGAAGCATTGCTGTTCTTAGGCGATAGTAACTACACATTATCTGCGCTACACGCTCGTCTTCCATCGAAAGCCATTAAAAAATGCATGATGTTTCAAAACTGCAAAGAAATAATAACTAGGCTGTACTTACATAAGGTGCTCTGCGATATCTGTCGTTGGCTAAATCTAAGTCCTTCAACGCATTTTTGAGGTTGTAAGCGTAGTCCTTATATTTCTGCCTCATTGATACAGGTAGCTCCATACATTCGGATGATTTCTAACCGATAAATACAGATTTTATAATAGGGCTTGAATAGAAAGAACGGTGACTTCTATGAATTGACTACCGAAGCAACTATTTCTCTTATTATGAGTGTGCAAAAGTAGATAATGCGGCTATCTCAACAAGATTGGTCTGTGGCAGAAACAGGCAAAATGAGCCCTACGTGTATTACGTAATGGTATATACTTATATACATAAGTCGTCGTGGCCCAAAGGGATAAAACGTCCGGTGCATTCGTTAGTAGCGATGCACCGATGTTCAAAACCCGCAGGCGGGTACCGATTTTTCTAATAAAATACGTACTCAACAAATTTTCAGGATTGACTTCAAGGGTGAAGGAATAACATCGTGTAACAAACATCAAACCAGCAAAATTATAATTTGCGTAATTACTGGTAGTAAGACGTGTTGTGAGACCGCGCGGGTAGGTACTACCACCCTACCTATTTCTGCCGTGAAACAGTAATGGGTTTCGGTTTGAAAGGTAGAGAGACCATTTTACTGTTAAAAGTGAGACCTTAGAACTCGTATCTCAAGGGACGTGGGGGCATTTACATTGCAGAAGTCTATAGATGTATATGGGCTCCGGTAACCATTTAATTCCAGGTGGGACATGAGCTCGTCCGCCCAACTACAGAATATTTTTTTTTTTTAAAAAGAGAAAAAAATTATATCCATCACCAGTATACCTACTTAAGACTTACTAAATAGACTGTACGTTTTTCGGCCTTTGGCAATGTGATATTGATTTTTTTGCGTCTGAATCGGTAAAAGAACACCCTTTCTTCGTTACAAAATTGCACAGAATAGTATAAAATAGTGGGCCACTTTGTTCGAGATGGCCTTAAAAATAAATAGTGTATTATTACCAAAGCTCCACTCAAGATTTCACAGCTCAGTTGTCTGAGTGGAGAGCTTTCTATGACCAGCTTTTCTTCTTCCCGGGCTTTCGCTATCTTTCCATCTTTCACATCTCCCCTTAAGTCTTCCAGAAGTTTTTCTAGATTTTGGGCCTCCTCGTTCAGTTTGTAGACGTCTTTGGCCTGACGAGGGTCGCTGGATAGTGGCTTCCAGACGCTAGAGAACGTCTTGAGGTGTTCGGAAACCACATCAGCGGAAGTAATCAGGGCTTCTTGGCTGTACTTATTGTTGATTGTTGGAGATACGAGCTGTTGAAAACAAGGCGTCAAGTTTTAAGCTTGTAGCAATGCCTAGCTACAAGTAGACATCGCGACCCCTACTGTATTTTTTTTTTATTGCTTAGATGGGTGGACGAGCTCACAGCCCACCTGGTATTGAGTGGTTACTGGAGCCCATAGACATCTACAACGTTAATGCGCCACCCACCTTGAGATATAAGTTCTAAGGTCTCAGTATAGTTACAACGGCTGTCCCACCCTTCAAACCGAAACGCATTACTGCTTCACGGCAGAAATAGGCAGGGTGGTGGTACCTATCCTAAATAGCAAAAACAACTCCAATAATATTCATATTTCAGCTTCATACATATATATTGCTGCCTATTGTTATATCGCTAGTAATATAACGTAACTTGAATGCAATATAAATTTCAGTTGATCGTCTTGTATATAAGCTTAACTGTAGGCTGCGGCTTGGCTCTGACCCTGGCACTGCTGACCTCCATAAGCTACGGTAGCTAGCCACTCACCATCAGGTGACCCGTATGCTCGTCAGTGAATATTGGGTTGTGGATTGGGAATGTGGTTTGAATTTGGTATTTAGTGTGCAATATAACAATAATATAATTTTTTTACGGCTATTTCTTCATCTCCAAGATCTATCGTATCTTCTTTATCTGAAGCGTTACCTAATATGTATGGTAGTATAAGTATAAATATCTCACTTTAGAAGTGTAGACTAGTTTCCCGACTGCATCCACGCAATTGGCTCCGCCGTCGCATATGTTCTGCAGATTGACGCCACCGTCACTCCAGTCCTGAGCGAAGTGCGCGGCAGCCATGGCTAGACGGGACGCGCTGTCGCCTATTTGCTTGGCGCGGCTTATTATCTGGATGATAAGATACATTTTTGCTTGTCGCATATTATGGTACGATCAGTGAAAGCGCTACGTATTTTGTTGTCGATGAACCATTCGACTTTGGAACGAACCACTTCTAAGCAGGTCCTTGAGCATTATGATAAGTACTGATTCAAAAAAACAGTTTGAAAAATGTCAACAGCGATTACGTCACGACTGTCTTCTATCAAGCAAGTGACATTGACGCATATGGTAAGTTAAGTTGGTAGATAGATAACTTTCACATTTTTTTTCATAAGCTGATGGTTTTGAGATACCATTTCAGCGTAACCATAACAAGTAGGTGAGCTCACGGGGCTCAAACCTGACGACGTTGCTAACACTAACCCTAGCAAGAGCAGCGCTTCGTAGAAACTACCACCGGATCGGAAACGCGACCCACTGAGAAGATTCGGCGAGAAACTCCGGCTGTGGCTGTGGGTCAATTTACTCGCCGAGCCCTTTGTCGCAAGCGACAGGTTCGACGAAAATGATGACCGGGCTTTCACTTTGAAGCATTCAAACCTTCAAACTGGAATGTATAAGAGTTTGTATAGCTCTTATGTTAATTGAGTATCAATTATCCTGTTTCGGTGTATTTAATATCTAGTAACCCCACTGACGCCGGATTGTCAGAGAGTTCACCTATCAACTTCGTTTTGTATATTTTTTGTAGATTCCTCTGATTGATTTTCAGATGCTACATGATGATATTATGATGATTAACAACGAACATTAGCACACTACACTCGGAGATCAAATGGAAATTGAACTAAAACTTAGTAAATATAGTTAATATTAAAATGTATTATTTAATTTTATTAATATTATAATAAATTCGAATACTGAAATTTGGTCCCCCTTTTTTTCTTACCTCCTTTTCCAAAGCCGGGTCAGCATCACAGCTGATACTGTACAGTAATTTGGTGGACTTATCACCAAAATCGATGGCAGCTTCATTGATTTTCTGTTATCAGAAATCATCGACTTTTAAAGTCTTAAAGTCTAAAGCATAGATTATCAAAAAAAAAAACGTATCCCTTAATTTTTCGTTAATATAGTCTTTCATTTGTATGAACAGAATTTGATCCTAAAAATATCACTCTGCAACTGTTGCACGTGTTAAGATGTATTTAATATACTATCAACACCATATTATAGTATTGAGGTAAACTTGTTCTCGAGTGGAGACCGCGAATTGACAAACGTAATGCAGGATTCCCTCAGACTCTGTGGAGTGATGATCTATGCAGTCTCGCTGGCAAGAGCTGGATGAGAGATGCCGAGTATTGTGCAATTGGGGAGAGCCCTATGTCCAGTTATGGGCTGATGTTGGTACGGAACTTTATTTATTACTAGTATGACTATGACCAAACAAGCTATTCTAGTTCAAAAGTATGAACAACAGCAATTTATAGGATAAAATCAGGAATCGTCTTTTGAGCGCTTATGGCACTATGGCATAAATTGCCAAAATGCCAATAACAAAGATAAATTTGATGCCAATCAGACAAAACATTTGCCAACGTATAGACTTTATACGACTAGGTAATTAAAAAAAATCACACCAATGAAATATAAATCAGTTTTGTACACAAGATTACGGGAGATTATCGAGTTTTAGTTTTGGTATTGGCGTATTAAATGAGTTTGTATGTGTTTGAAAATCACTTTTATATGAATTCGTATGTGCTCGTCTATCAGATACAAATTAGATATTTTCTGGAATTTCGTATTAAATCTAATATATAAAACAATTATAAAACTTGAAAATACGTTATGCATCTAAGGTTTAGAAATGAGAAATGAAATAGAAGAATACCCCTCTATCATTTTTGGCGGTATCACAAAGTTGCTTCGTAGCTTCGCAATAATTCAGCATGTCATCCAGAAATGCTTTTCTTGCGTCAGTCTTCAACGTGTTACTGGTTAATATTCCATCTAGAAATATATATTTCATTAAAAGTGTCTTGCTGCAAAGAGCTTTAGGATTTTAACAACTACTTAGGTGTCATCATTAGCGTAAAGAGACTAAGTATTATTCAAAGAGTTTTCTAACTAGGTAGGTACATACTACTAACCGGAACGTATTTTTTTTATTGCCCTTGTAGGCAGACGGTCCACCTGATGGTGAGTGGTTACCGTCGCTCATGGACTTCAGCAATGCCAGGGGCAGAGCCAAGCCGCTGCCTACCACTATAGCAATCACAACCTGCATCTCGAAATATAAGATCTAAGTTCCATTTAAATTGGGTAGAATGACAATAACTGTTACTTTACAGTGCTTTTACCACCAACCAAAAATTAGGTAAAATAGAAATTTTGGAGTTTATTACACGTTTATATTTCATAAAATTTACAAAGAAAATCTTGCGGGATTTGAACCCTGGCATAGTCACATCGCTCAATAACTATGCGCGAGCGTTTTATCTTTTAAGCTACGGACGCTTCTATTCTATTTTTGACCTCTTACCCTGTACGATATCAGAAGTCAGTTGCGGTAATGATTTTATGGATTTCTGTGCCGTCTCATAATCTATTTTATCAGCATCTGTGGAAGATTAATTATTTTTACTTATTATACTAAGCAGAGTGCTCATGATCCAAATGTTAAAAAGGCGAATCACTTAATGAAAACTGTCCAACTGAAGACTTTAAGCTAGAGCGAATGCAACGATAGCATCTATATGATCTTGCACAAGTTGTAGTGTCCATGAACCTCAATTAATGGTAGCTAATGTGAGGATTGCTTCCGAGTTGCCTTATTTATTTATCAGAATAGTTTCCTCAACATTTTCACCAACATTACATACTTACAATTTACAGCCACCAAAGACGCCACTTGAACACTCGCTAACGCTAAGTTGTCCTGGATTTTCTTTTTCTTATTGGAGAGTTCACTTGAGCTAATATTCAACAAAGGCTTGACCTCGCCAAACTCGTTTGCCTAAAATGTAATGTTTCTTGAATTGAAAACCATTCCACTGTCATCCATTTTAAGCCTTGACTTACGAAGAGGTTTTAGTACAATAGTACGCTCGAGGATTTTTTTGAATTCAGAATAAAAAAAAATTTTTTTTAACTGAAATCGAATCTCACAGGCACTTTCACTCAGCAGTGATTTAGAATTCAGTCTAAACACCGAAAGTAATATCAGGGCATTTTCTTTTTACATAATATATGTATTATACATAGATGACCTCATCTATATCAATCGCCATACCACCCTTTAAGGAAACAGAGTCCATCCCAATATCACCACATTCACTACCGCGGCGAAGCTTGGGTAAGGGTGTCCACTGAAATCCACCCTACATAGGTGGATTCCGCAGTCAAATTAGCTATATCTGTAGAATTACTAAAACAGCAGTGAATAATCTCTGTCAGGCTGGTCGTACGTGTCTGTCTGCAACTAAGGGCTGCACCACCTAATAATATTGTTATACGTATCTTATGTAATTAGCTAATGTACACAATTGTGACTCCGCACAGCAGAGACCTAGACCTAAATTCATATGGTATTATTAAGGTTTGGTAATTATCTTTTTCATACTCTTTCAACGGTACATCCTAGAAATGCCGATGTCACTACCGATGGTGACCACTCAACACCATATAGCTGAACTATAAAGTTTGAGAACCAAGATCTACCTCTCATTAGCCACCATACCTGTTTTATTTTATCTTCCACTTCTCGTATTTTTTTATTCGCTTCATCTACAGTCGTCTTGAGTCTTTCGAGAAGTTTCTCTTGGTCTGCATTCACGCTCGATGACTGTACGTGTGACGCTGCCACCGGAGACTTCAACTGATTTTCCCGAAGTTTATCTACATACATTTGGGGTGTTACAATTTATCAATTGTTTAAGTCACGAACATCTTTCCTACATCGTCGTTGGTAAGAGCTATTCCAGCTACGATAACATAAGATTATGCATTTCCTATCATTAGGGAGAGGATGAAGTTGATGTTGCTTATTCTACGATTAGCTTTTTATTTCTGCCAAAAATTCGCAGCAAAGAAAACATGAATTCCTATTTGAAGTGTAGCAATAGAAGCTATTTTATTGGATCTAAAACATCGAGTTTGGAAGTTACAATTACCAAACTGTAAGCTGGTAAGGTTATTACCTGATTGATAGTAGCTCCAATGGTCATAATAACTAGCTTCTTCAATATTGATATTAAAAAAAAAACCACTTACCAACACTTCCGTCGCTGGTCTGCATAACTGGGCCAGTAAGCGGCTTGGCTTTCAAACTTGGTTTAGTCGCNCGGCAGCCCGTCGGGCCGCCCAGACGGTGCCGCTGGTGTCCCGGAATACCCCGCTGGACCAGAACCAGCCTGCCGGGTCGGGACGCGATACACCGTCGACCGGTCGCTCTATTCACTCCACGGCAGCGCGCTAGAGTGCTGGTAGCGCGCCGCGCGGCCTCACCCCCTCAGGTCGCCCCTTGACCTTCACCGGGGGGGGTGAGGTTATTACCTGATCGATAGTTTTTTTTTTTTTTTTTTTTTATTGCCCTTGTAGGCACACGAGCATACGGCCCACCTGATGGTGAGTGGTTACCGTCGCCCATGGACTTCAGCAATGCCAGGGGCAGAGCTAAGCCGCTGCCTACCGCTAGTAGCTCCAATGGTCATAATAACTAGCTTCTTCAATATTGATATTAAAAAAAAACCACTTACCAACACTTCCGTCGCCGGTCTTCACAACTGGGCCAGTAAGCGGCTTGGTTTTCAAACTTGGTTTAGTCGCAATACCAGGTTTGATTGAAGATGGCTTCTGGAGTACCTTCGGCTTTTCCGTTATGGGTATTTTAGTAGGCTCTACAACCAAGCAAAACTTCTCTATCACGTTCACCGTAGACATTCTGATTTAATAGATCAATTTATAAATTTCCTACACTAAACCAATTTGAAGTTATTGCCTCCACATGATAGACCAGTTTGGGATTTCCTTAGCCGCATCGCGAGGAAGATACGGACGAAGCGTAATAAACCTTGTTTTACGCATTCAAGGTTTAGGCTCAAGTGAGAACACATGTTTATAGTTAACCAAACATTATCTGAGAAATTGTGGTCTGATTTTCAGAAAAATGAAAATACGAGTAGGTATAATGCAACATTCCCCTGCAAGTAATACACAAAACCATGGTTTAAATTGCGAGATGCACTTGTGGCGGCTTACAAAAGAGGTAGACTTTAAACAGAGAGAATTTAAACAATCGTACCTTGCAGGTCGGCATCTTGGCAAGCGACCCGGATTTGTTCCAGTTCATCTTCCAAGAGTTTGTGTTCGTAATCCAATACCCCTATTTGGGGATGACGAAGTTGTTTCCAGCAATCTTGCAACTCCTGGCTCGAGTTGGAGACTCCATCGACCGCCGCGAGTAAGGCTGACCGACACGACGGCTCTTCAATGGACGGTGACGTTAACTGGAAGAAAATGTCTAGTTTGGGAACTTAGGAAAAAAAAAAAAAAGGTGAATTATAGGTTAGTTAAAATTACTTTGTTTTATGCTGTGCAGAAATATTAATTTTCATAAGATTGTTCCTACTAGGTTCTCTCACCTAAGGGGCGAAGATGATATTAACCGAGGTCGAAGAATTTAATAACATGCCTTTAATGAGTCTCCCGAACATTACCTTACGGGTTGTGCCTATAAGCTGTACAGTTAAACCCAATAAGTGACTCCTTCGTTGCCTTCCAAACAGAGAGCTTGATCTAAATATCTAATTTAGTGACCTCTCCGACGACCCAAATAGTGGTGGAACCATGTTAATATGAATATTTTGCAATGGACTGTATGTTGCAGTAGTTAGCGCTCCTGAATGTTGCGCCGAGGGTCGTGCTTTCGATTCCCACATCGGGCAAAATTCATGCGATGAACATCTTTGTTTGATCTTTGTATCTATCTATGTGTCGGAGACGGTAATTAGTTTGGTAGCTAAACGAAAAGCAGCACGATTCCTGAGAGCGTGCTGCCAACTTCGTGCTACGACAGAGTTTAGATGGAGACGCGTAGACGCCATGACACTTACCAACCAGCCTTCTTGAAGAGCGGTGCCTCCGTCCTAAGAACTGTCATTCGTTTTCGTTTGGTAACGTCAAGAGAAGATTTCTAAATTGTTCTAAGACAACAAACGTGATTGGTGTACTCAATATTTTTCTTAGCTCGATCACCCTATTCGCCCCTACGATGTCTGACGATGGTTTTAATAATTGTGGCTTCTGGGAAACATGTATATTTTCAAATGTATATAAGTATGTATATCAATTCCTGGTACCCATTACACAGGGAATCCTAGTTTGAGACCGAATGACAGTGCGTGATTTGTTCCCATTAATTTAGTTTAATGTTTCAACTTATTGCTTGTACCACCTAGTATCCAAGAGGAGATGATGGCATTCATATCAGTTTCATCATTTCAATTTTCAAAATCTCCTATACCTGTGCAGTGGTCAGCATGTTCTTTGTAGAATCGACTACTCTAGTTCCAGCCACGTCTAGCGTCATTCCCGCATCTCCTCCTATCTCTTCCGATATCTGCTGCACTTTACTTAGCATCTGAGAAGCTGTGCTGCACGCTGATGATGCTAGATCTATGATCTGATAAACAAAGGATTTACTTTATTCGTTATTAATATTAGGCCAAGAGAAGAAAAATACCAGATTATCATTATAGCTGAGTCCATGGTTTGTCTTAAGATTTGACAATTCCAAAACTGCCAGGGGCAGAGCCAAGCCGCTGCGTACCGTTTAATACTCTCTACAAGCCTCGTTTGAAGAAGGACATGTCATAGCGCTCGGGAAACACCGTGGAAGAGAGCTCATTCCAAAGCCGGATGGTACGTGGCAAAAAAGATCTCTGGAAGCGCACTGTGGATGAACGCAGTAGCTCCGGGTAGTATGGATGAACTCTACTCCGGTGGCGGGCGGTGCGATGGTAAAAACGAGACGATGGTATCATCTCGAACAATTCCTAATTGCTGACTGCCCCTAATTGCTAGGTGAACAGGTCTGTTTGCTCTTTGTCTGAGTGTCTATCTATATATCGAGGGATGAAAGGCTATTTAGTATAAGCAACATTTTTGCAAAGGACATGGACCACTCTCCATACATTGCACGGCCCACTAACCGAAGTTCAAGGACAGTAATGAAATAAAGTTTAAATAACAGACTTATCCCTTTTACTATAAACAAATTTAAATCAATATTGTTCATGGGGATACAGAGATATTTAAAAGATTTTTTAAGAAGATTTAATGTGAATTGTTTAAAATATAAATATATTTTATCTATGGCAACTCCTTCAATATTATCAATGTAGCTTAGTAATGCTAGTTTCTTTTTATTTAGGATTTTAATTATGCCACCATTAAAATACCCTTAAATTTTATAATAAGTATGTAAATATGAAATGTTTTTTTCTATAAATATTTCATTAATGTCCTTGAGAGCACGAGAAGCTGGGCCGAAAATGGCCCGTGTCTTTTACAGAACAGCCGTTTAAAGTTTAAAATTTGTAAAAAATATCATAACAAAAAACTTCTTCAGCTATTTTTAAACGGAGTAAACTTGATTGAAGTTCAATTAAAAACATCGAACTGTTGATGCTAATCTATATACATAAAAATGAATTGCTGTTCGTTAGTCTCGCTAAAAGTCGAGAACGGCTGGACTGATTTGGCTAATTTTGGTCTTGAATTATTTGTGGAAGTCCAGAGAAGGTTTAAAAGGTAGATAAATATGAAAATGCTCGGAATTAAATAAAAATAACAATTTTGTTTTTCCTTTGATGTGTCCCCCGTCGGACGGATTCTTTTTGTTTGTTTTAAGTTTATTTTATACAAAAATTTAGGTCTTTTATTTATCGATTGAGGCACTACGAAATCTGACGGGTCAGCTTATACAAAATAAAACGCATTTTTATTACAAAGACAAATGTCGCTTATTAAGCGAAATGTCGCTTAAAATAAAAACCCCTGTCGCTCCTCGATATGTATGTAAATCTCTGGTTCCCATAGTACAGGGAATTCTGATTTAAGACTTGATGACCGTATGGGACATGTCCAAAAAAATTATCACGGATCACGGCTGAGATTCGAATATCGACCCCATGGTGCTGTAATAAGAGTCAGAAGATACATTAGTTTAGACAACGTTATTAACCAGGAACATTCTAATTGACGTCATTACCTTTTGCTCTTTCTGTAGGCTTGTGGGATCTCTGTTGGAGCTGAACACAAACTTGAGTTTCTGTGAAGCATCAGACAACTTGGATGTAGACTCCTTCAATTCCTGGAACGCACCAATTCATCTTATATTTATCCTCCGTATACGAAATCAGAAGCGAAAGACAAAATGAGTTTCCAATTTATTTTTATACCATTACTAACCATCGGATCTTCAGCATAACCACATAAAGACTTGGTAGCTTCACAAAGAGCTTTAATTCGTTCTAATAGGGCTTTTCTACTTTCCCCATCTTGAGTACAACTTAGTGCCTTTGCATCTGTAAACAATCATACCATGAATTCGAGATGAATTAATGTGACACTTTAAGCATTAAAATCTCGAATTTGACACAAACCTTCCACAATTATAGGCATCGTCTCCGTTATGATCTTGATCGCTTCGTTAGCTCTTTCGTAATCTGGATTCTCAGCATCTAGACAGTTAAATGATTTAATATCGGCAAGGGTTTTATGAAATAGCTTATACGATTTCTTTTATTATCCACTAGCGGCCCGCTCCGGCTCCGCTCGGGTCTTTAACAAAAATTTCAACGACATTTGACGTTGTTTTATCTTTAAAAATAAACGAACACTTATTGCCACATAACCATAATAGTTAGACATATCCTGTCACGACACTTTTTGTAAATAATGATGTGTTCTACAAAGTCGTAGTACATGAGTTTATTCTATCATCAATAGTTTTCGCAGGGTACGCGATGTAAAGAATATTTTAGGTAAGAAGCCACCTACCGGCGGTGGCGGCGAGGAGATTGGCAACGTTGGCGTTGTGTCGCGCGACTGACTGCTGCAGACGATGCTCCAACGAGGGGACGTCGCGGCTGGACACTCGCTTGTTCACCGGCTATACCAACATAAAGTTCAAATGCTGTTCAGCTAACAATTAATCGCATTAATAACTCCACTGTCTCACTGTCCACCTTAGCCCACAGACACAGCCCACTGAGTTTCTCGCCGGATCTTCAAAGTGGGTCGCGTTCCCGATCCAATGGTAGATTCTGCGAAGCACTGCTCTTGCTAGGGCCAGTGTTAGCATCACTCCGGTTTGAGCCCCGTGAGCTCACCTACATGCTAGGGCGAAGCTGAAATAGCCTCTCAAGGCTATCAGCACAGGTAGCAAAAAAAAAGTGCTCACCTGGACTTTAAGTCTTTACTAAAACCACATACATATTCAGTGCTACCGTGTAAGGTATCACCGTAACTGGATTACCATTATTTTCGGGAAATTTTTATCGCAAGTATTTCAGTATACCCTATATATATAGTTATATATACCCGCACGAGTATGTACCACATATGTCTGCACGCGTATGTCTGCTGTGAAGCAGCTATGCGTTCCGGTTTCAAGGATGAGGTAGTCATATACGACACAGGGAAGAAGTCCGCCTCTGGTATCAATGTGAAAAGGGACATTCGAATCGTCACCTCTATGCGCACCGGTAACCCCTTAATCACAAAATAATCTAAACTACAAAATTGCGACTTGTCTAGAATAAATTAAAAATTTATTTACCTCATTAAGAAGATTTTCGGCAGCTTGTAGATTGTGCCTGGCCGAAGGTAAAGTCCTGATGAATTTCAGGCGTTGTTGCTCTCGTCGAGATGGAAGCTGTTTTTCTGTAGTCGTATCTGTCCGAACGAATGATTTAAATACCAAAATTATTTACGGAATTTAGGCGGGAAAATAATTTTGACCTGATGACCGCACATGTCGATTCATGAGAATTATAAAAATAGATTCATAGCAGTGTAGAACAGGTGTTTCAAAAACCTTCCTTTTAGGGGACTAAAGAGAGATGAGAGTTATAGCTTTTCAGCAACGGAATTTTGTAACGTAACGATTGACAATGTCGGCAAAATGGCAAATGGCCCAGATAATATTAGTGTGAACGTTAATAAGCTTCTTTAAAAGATACTTGTGGAGAGTATTAAGCGGTAGGCAGCGGCTTGACTCTGCCCCTGGCATTGCTGAAGTCCATTGGAAACGGTAACCACTTACCATCAGTTGGGCCGTGTGCTCGTCTGCCTACAAGGGCAATAAAATAAAAATAAAAAAACGTGCTTCTATCTACTACAACAAAAGTGTGTTGCCTAACAGAAGTGTAGTTTTCAAAAGCCAATTTTAAGGTTGTTGCTACTTTTAATGTTACATCACTTTGGCGTCAAGGAACAAATGTGTTACTGTTAGCATTAATTAGTACTAAAAAATTGGAGGAACCTGTACTTGGAACCCAAATGAAGAGAAAAAACAGTACTAGATTCTATTAAAAATTACAATCGTTAATCAAAGAAAGCCTACAGTGGGAAGTACTTATAATTTTAAAATTTTTGAAAATCTTCTAAGACCAACCATCAATGGGAATTCTGCAAGCTCTCCTAACGTGTTCGAGATGGTCTTCGAGCTGCTTACAGTCCTGATTCAGCTGTACAACGTCAGGATGTTGGAGTTGTCTCCAGCAGTTCTGCAGCTGCTGGCTCGATCCCGACACGGTATCCACTGATGACAGTAGTGCTGACTGACAACGAGCATCCGAGATTGATGGAGCTGTCAACTGAAATGTCAAATAGCGATCAGATTTAGAGCTTTGATAAGGCTTTTGAACTGGATTTAAAAGGACATTTAATCAATGCTCCATTTTTCACTATCACCATTGAACTAGACTACTGACCAATCAATTAAAAATGCAAAAGAGTCTGGAAGTACAATAAACGCATCCGTGGCTCGGGTCCGCAATGGATTAGCAATACAACGTTAATCTTTCAAAAGTCTGACACAACAATAGTCTATCGGCGTCGTGTACCTGTGCAGTGGTCAGCATGTTCTTAGTCGTCTCAGCGACTCTAGTCCCCGCCCCGTCCAGCCGCTCTCCTGCATCTCCTCCTACTTCCACCGACATCTGCTGCACCTTGCTCAAAAGCTGTGATGCTGCACCGCATGCTGATGATGTCAGGTCCATAATCTGATCAACAAAATGTCGTTAACATTTTCAAGGAAAAATATTGCAAGTACTTGAAATTACTGAACCCCATGGTGTATGTAACTTGACACGGTCAGTACCTCTTGCTCTTTCTGTTGGTTCTTGGGACTCTTGTTGGAGCTGAATACAAACTTCAGTTTCTGTGAAGCTTCCGACAACCTGGCAGCGGACTCCTTGAACTCCTGGAAAAAAATTTATTAGCTTGTCGGCTGTCCTTTGCATTCAGGGTCGAGAAATAGAAAAACGAAATTTCATTGTATAATTTCTATCATAGTACTGACCTTAGGATCTTCAACACTTCCGCATAAAGCTTTAGTAGCCTCACAAAGTGCTTTAATACGATCCAACAGAGCTTTCCTGCTTGTTTCATCTCCAGTGGAACTTAGTGTTCGTGCGTCTGAGAACAAACGTGCAGCTGTGAACATTTCTAATCTCTCTAGACTCAGAGCTGGAGGTATTATCAATTGGACATGTCACGAGTCAGTTTAGTTAATTACAAACCTTCTACCATCTCAGGCATCGTCTCGGTGATGCTCCTGATTGCTGCATCAGCTCTTTCGTAGTCTGGATTATCACCGTCTAGAACATTCATAGTAGTACTTTAAGACCTTACAAAATAATTAACCACTATAGAACTATCAGAATCTATAGCTGTGACAAATTGTTCTACTAAGTACAGAAAGAACTTAACCTACTCTTTTGCTATCTTGTCATATAGTGTTCCAATGAAGACACCTAAAATCAATTTTAGAGAGGATTTGGGTGATTAAAAATCGGGTCATTAACGATCAGGGTTGTCACAGCAATGCGCCATTGCACCACGTTACAGCAGGCACCTACCGGCGGTGGCGGCGAGGAGGTCGGCCACGCTGGCGTTGTGCCGCGCCACCGACTGCTGCAGACGATGCTCCNAAACTGTGAACATTTCTAATCTCTCTAGACTCACAGTTGGAGGTATTACCAATTGGACACATCACGAGTCAGTTTAGTTAATTACAAACCTTCTACCATCTCAGGCATCGTCTCGGTGATGCTCCTGATTGCTGCATCAGCTCTTTCGTAGTCTGGATTATCACCGTCTAGAACATTCATAGTAGTACTTTAAGACCTTGCAACATGATTAATTAACTGTAGAATTATCAGAATCTATAGCTGTGACAAGTGTTGTTCTACTAAGTACAGAAAGACTTTAACCTAATTCTTTTTTCCGAGATATATAGATTTCCAATGAAGACAGCTAAATTAAATTTTAGAGAGGATTTGGGTGATTAACAATCGGGTCATTAACGATCAGGGTTGTCACAGCAATGCGCCATTGCACCACGTTACAGCAGGCACCTACCGGCGGTGGCGGCGAGGAGGTCGGCCACGCTGGCGTTGTGCCGCGCCACCGACTGCTGCAGACGATGCTCCAGCGCCGGCACGTCGCGGCTGGACACTCGCTTGCTCACCGGCTACACCAACATGCAAGTCAGTGGTCAACAACATAATACAAACAAGAACATACAATGAACATAGTCAATGGCCAAGAAAGAAGCAAACCTTGTAGATCAAGTCTTCAGCAGTCTGCAAGTTCTGTTTGGCTGAAGGAAGTGTCCTGATGAACTGCAGGCGCTGCTGCTCATTAGGCCCTGTTGGAAAATTAGTGTCATTCATTAATTGAATCAAAAAGCTATCGTAATTTTTTGTTAGGAAGCTCAATATTCATGTAAGGTATATAGATCTTCCAACCCACCTTTAGGATCTTCACGACAGGCTTTCCTGATGTGATCTAGCTTGTCTTCGAGCAACTTATGGTCGTGGTCCAGTAGCACCACGTGGGGGTGTTGGAGCTGTCTCCAGCAGTTCTGCAGCTGCTGGTTCGATTCCGACACGGCGTCCACTGATGACATTAGTGCTGACTGACAATGAGCATCCGAGATTGATGGAGCTGTCAACTGAAATATCAAATATCTATTAGAGTGAGGAAACCTTGGCCATAGTTCAAATAAATATCTATGACAATGCCCGTATTTTAGCTGAGGTACAATTTTTGCGAATTTAATTCCCACTCACTTGCTCCACTGTAATTCCTACTTAGCCAGAATCTACAAAGATTATCAAACGAATGTACTGTAAGGGTCAAGGTTAGGATTAATCGAGGAAAAGCTCAAATATTGAATATATATTTGTAACGGGATCTTGGATCTGTAATACCACGGACGGATCCCGTTACGAACTTAATCAGAAGAAAATAGGGCCCGTAGGAATTTAGGTTCCCATTTCGCTGCCATAAAGCAGCAGACAATAAGAACTGAAACGGGTCTAAGCCAGAAACTAAGCAGAGCTTTAGGAGATAAAAGCTCAAATGTTATGTACCGTGCCGATTTTCAAATACCAGTACTTGCCCAGTAATCGAAACTATCAGACAAAGATTTACACATTTTTAGTGAGAATAATGGATCATCGATAGTTCCTAAACAAAGAAAAGAAAAAGAAAATAGATTCACAAGTAGAAGTGAATTGTAATTTAAGTTTTCTATCTTTGCTTAAGCATGCAGTTATAAATAGATAGTATGGGTATTATGTTAAAATCCAAAAGATTAGTAATTTTTCATTTACACTGTGAGCGCATCCGTGGCTCGAATATGGCATTGGGATGGATCTCCAGTACAACATCCGTATTCTCTAAATTTTCCAGATTCTTCCAAACATTCTTGTGAATGTTTCAAAAGTCGCACACAACAATAGTATATCAGCATCGTATACCTGTGCAGTGGTCAGCATGTTCTTAGTCGTCTCAGCGACTCTAGTTCCCGCCCCGTCCAACCGCTCTCCTGCATCTCCTCCTACTTCCACCGACATCTGCTGCACCTTGCTCAAAAGCTGTGATGCTGCACCGCACGCTGATGATGTCAGGTCCATAATCTGATCAACAAAATGTCGTTAACATTTTCAAGGAAAAATATTACAAGTCCTTGAAATTACTGAACCCCATGGTGTATGTAACTTAACACGGTCAGTACCTCTTGCTCTTTCTGTTGGTTCCTGGGATTCTTGTTGGAGCTGAACACGAACTTCAGTTTTTGTGAAGCTTCCGACAACCTGGCAGCGGACTCCTTGAACTCCTGGAACAAAATTTATTAGCTTGTCGGCTGTCCTTTTCGTTTAGGATCGAGAAATAGAAAAACGAAATTTCATTGTACCATTTCGATCATAACACTGACCTTGGGGTCTTCAACACTTCCGCACAAAGCTTTAGTAGCTTCACAAAGCGCCTTAATACGATCCAACAGAGCTTTCCTGCTTGTTTCATCTCCGGTGGCACTTAGTGCTCTGGCATCTGAAAACAAACGTGAAACTGTGAACATTTCTAATCTCTCTAGACTCACAGTTGGAGGTATTACCAATTGGACACATCACGAGTCAGTTTAGTTAATTACAAACCTTCTACCATCTCAGGCATCGTCTCGGTGATGCTCCTGATTGCTGCATCAGCTCTTTCGTAGTCTGGATTATCACCGTCTAGAACATTCATAGTAGTACTTTAAGACCTTACAAAATAATTAACCACTATAGAACTATCAGAATCTATAGCCGTGACAAATTGTTATACTAAGTACTGAAAGAACTTAACCTACTTCTTTTCCTATCTTGTCATAATTATAGTGTTCCAATGAAGATACCTAAAATCAATTTTAGAATGTATTTGGGTGATTAAAAATCGGGTCATTAACGATCAGGGTTATCACAGCAATGCCCTATTGCACCATGTTACAGCAGGCACCTACCGGCGGTGGCGGCGAGGAGGTCGGCCACGCTGGCGTTGTGCCGCGCCACCGACTGCTGCAGACGATGCTCCAGCGCCGGCACGTCGCGGCTGGATACTCGCTTGCTCACCGGCTACATCAACATGCAAGTCAGTGGTCAACAACATAATACAAACAAGAACATACAAGGAACATAGTCAATGGCCAAGAGAGAGGCAAACCTTGTAGATCAAGTCTTCAGCCGTCTGCAAGTTCTGTTTGGCTGAAGGAAGTGTCCTGATGAACTGCAGGCGCTGCTGCTCATTGGGCGCTGTTGGAAAATTAGTGATATTTATTAATTGAATCAAAAAGCTATCGTAATGTTTTGTTATGAAGCTCAATCAATATTCGAGTAAGGAATCTTTGGACCTACCTTTAGGATCTTCTTGACAGGCTTTCCTGATGTGATCGAGCTTGTCTTCGAGCAACTTATGGTCTTGGTCCAGTAGCACTACGTGAGGGTGTTGGAGTTGTCTCCAGCAGTTCTGCAGCTGCTGGCTCGATCCCGACACGGCGTCCACTGATGACAGTAGTGCTGACTGACAACGAGCATCCGAGATTGATGGAGCTGTCAACTGAAATATCAAATATCTATTAGAGTGAGGAAACCTTGGCCATAGTTCAAATAAATATCTATAACAATGCCCGTATTTTAGCTGAGGTACAATTTTTGGGAATTTAATTCCAACTCACTTGCTTCACTGTAATTCCTACTTAGCCAGAATCTACAAAGATTATCACACGAATATACTGTAGGCGTCAAGGTTGGGATTAATCGAGGAAAAGCTCAATTCTTGGACATTTATTTGTAACGGGATCTCGGTTCAGTAGTATCACGAACGGATCCCATTACAAACTTAATCAGAAGAAAATACGGGGTTTGGAATTTAGATTCCCACTTTCCTCCCCACAAAATAGCAGACAATGAGAACTGAGAAACTAAGAAGAGCTTCAGGAGAGAAAAGCTCAAATATATATATATATATAAATATATATTATTCAACATCGTGCACAAAGGTACAATGGCGGACTTAATGCCTGAGGCATTCTCTACCAGTCAACCAAGTGTGTTGTAGAGAGTCCTGTGGTAGGTGCTTTACTTATTGCGAAAATAACAAAATTGATAATATTATTACATATACTATATACAAACACATACACGGTACACATATAGGTACTCGTATATATCATCACATACAACAATTACAAATATGATGTACCATAGCCGATTTTTAAATACCACTATTCGCCCAGTAATCAAAACTGTATCATAATCACTAACAGACCAAAATTTACATACTTTTAGTAGTGACATTAATGGATCATCGATAGTTCCTAAACAATGAACAGAAAATTAAAATAGATTCACAAGTAGAAGTGAACTGTAATTTAACTTTTCTATCTTTGCTTAAGCATGTACTTATAAAAAGATGGTATGGGTATTATGTTAAAATCCAAAAGATCAGTAATTTTCCATTTACATTGTGAGCGCATCCGTGGCTCGAATATGGGATGGATTTCCATTACAACATCCGTATTCTCTAAATTTTCGAGATTCTTCCAAACATTCTTGTGAATGTTTCAAAAGTCGCACACAACAATAGTCTGTCAGCGTCGTGTACCTGTGCAGTGGTCAGCATGCTCTTAGTCGTCTCAGCGACTCTAGTCCCCGCCCCGTCCAGCCGCTCTCCTGCATCTCCTCCTACTTCCACCGACATCTGCTGCACCTTGCTCAAAAGCTGTGATGCTGCACCGCATGCTGATGATGTCAGGTTCATAATCTGATCAACAAAATGTCATTAACATTTTCAAGGAAATATATTACAAATCCTTGAAGTTACTAAACGTCATAGTTTAACTTGACACGGTCAGTACCTCTTGCTCTTTCTGTTGGTTCCTGGGATTCTTGTTGGAGCTGAACACGAACTTTAGTTTCTGTGAAGCATCAGACAACCTGGCAGCGGACTCCTTGAACTCCTGGAACGAAATTTATTAGCTTGTCGGCTGTCCTTTTCATTTAGGGTCGAGAAATAGAAAAACGATATTCCATTGTATCATTTTTGTCATAAAACTGACCTTAGGATCTCCAACACTTCCGCACAACGCTTTAGTAGCCTCACAAAGCGCCTTAATACGATCCAACAGAGCTTTCCTGCTCGTTTCATCTCCAGTTGCACTTAGTGCTTTAGCGTCTGAAAACAAACGTGCAACTCAGAACATTTCTAATCTTTCTAGACTCAGAGCTAGAGGTATTATCAATTGGACACATCACGAGTCAGTTTAATTAATTACAAACCTTCTACCATCTCAGGCATCGTCTCGGTGATGCTCCTGATTGCTGCATCAGCTCTTTCGTAGTCTGGATTATCACCGTCTAGAATATTCATAGTAGTACTTTAAGACCTTACAAAATAATTAACCACTATAGAACTATTAGAATCTATAGCTGTGACAAATTGTTCTACTAAGTACAGAAAGAACTTAACCTACTCTTTTCCTATCTTGTCATATAGTGTTCCAATGAAGACACCTAAAATCAATTTTAGAGAGGATTTGGGTGATTAAAAATCGGGTCATTAACGATCAGGGTTGTCACAGCAATGCGCCATTGCACCACGTTACAGCAGGCACCTACCGGCGGTGGCGGCGAGGAGGTCGGCCACGCTGGCGTTGTGCCGCGCCACCGACTGCTGCAGACGATGCTCCAGCGCCGGCACGTCGCGGCTGGACACTCGCTTGCTCACCGGCTACACCAACATGCAAGTCAGTGGTCAACAACATAATACAAACAAGAACATACAATGAACATAGTCAATGGCCAAGAAAGAAGCAAACCTTGTAGATCAAGTCTTCAGCCGTCTGCAAGTTCTGTTTGGCTGAAGGAAATGTCCTGATGAACTGCAGCCGCTGCTGCTCATTGGGCCCTGTTGGAAAATTAGTGACATTCATTAATTGAATCAAAAAGCTATCGTAATGTTTTGTTATGAAGCTCAATCAATATTCGAGTAAGGAATCTTTGGACACACCTTTAGGATCTTCTTGACAGGCTTTCCTGATGTGATCTAGCTTGTCTTCGAGCAACTTATGGTCGTGGTCCAATAGCACCACGTGAGGGTGTTGGAGTTGTCTCCAGCAGTTCTGCAACTGCTGACTCGATCCCGACACGGCGTCCACTGATGACAGTAGTGCTGACTGACAACGAGCATCCGAGATTGATGGAGCTGTCAACTGAAATGTCAAATATCTATTAGAGTGAGGAAACCTTGGCCATAGTTCAAATAAATATCTATGACAATGCCCGTATTTTCGCTGAGGTACAATTTTTGGGAATTTAATTCCCACTCACTTGCTCCACTGTAATTCCTACTTAGCCAAAATCTACAGCAATCATCACACGAATATACTGTAAGCGTCACGGTTGGGATTAACCAAGGAAAAGCTCAAATATTGGATATAGTACATTTGTAACGGGATCTTGGATCTGTAATGTCACGGACGGATTCCGTTACGAACTTAATCAGAAGAAAATAGGAATTTAGGTTCCCACTTCCCTGCCATAAAGCAGCAGACAATGAGAACTGGAACGGGTCTAAGCCAGAAACTAAGAAGAGTTTTAAGAGATAAAAGCTCAAATATTATGTACCGTAGCCGATTTTCAAATACCAGTATTTGCCCAGTAATCAAAACTATCAGACCAAGATTTACAATTTTTTAGTGAGAATAATGGATTATCGATCGTTCCTAAACAAAGAACTGAAAAAGAAAATAGATAGACAAGTAGAAGTGAATTGTAATTTAACTTTTCTATCTTTGCTAAAGCATGTACCTAGTTATAAATTAATTGTTATGGGTATTATGTTGAAATCCAAAAGATCAGTAATTTTCCATTTACACTGTGAGCGCATCTGTGACTCGAATATGGGATGGATCTCTACCACAACATGCGTATTCTCTAAATTTTCGAGATTCTTCCAAACATTCTTGTGAATGTTTCAAAAGTCGCACACAACAATAGTCTGTCAGCGTCGTATACCTGTGCAGTGGTCAGCATGTTCTTAGTCGTCTCAGCGACTCTAGTTCCCACTCCGTCCAGCCGCTCTCCTGCATCTCCTCCTACTTCCACCGACATCTGCTGCACCTTGCTCAAAAGCTGTGATGCTGCACCGCATGCTGATGATGTCAGGTCCATAATCTAATCAACAAAATGTCGTTAACATTTTCAAGGGCATATATTACAAGTTGAAATTACTGAACGCCATAGTGCAACTTGACACGGTCAGTACCTCTTGCTCTTTCTGTTGGTTCCTGGGATTCTTGTTGGAGCTGAACACGAACTTCAGTTTCTGTGAAGCTTCCGACAACCTGGCAGCGGACTCCTTGAACTCCTGGAACAAAATTTATTAGCTTGTCGGCTGTCCTTTTCATTCAGGGTTGAGAAATAGAAAAACGATATTCCACTGTATCATTTTTGTCACAAAACTGACCTTAGGGTCTTCAACACTTCCGCACAAAGCTTTAGTAGCTTCACAAAGCGCCTTAATATGATCCAACAGAGCATTCCTGCTTGTTTCATCTCCAGTGGCACTTAGTGCTCTAGCGTCTGAAAACAAACGTGAAACTGTGAACATTTCTAATCTCTCTAGACTCAGAGCTGGAGGTATTATCAATTGGACACATCACGAGTCAGTTTAGTTAATTACAAACCTTCTACCATCTCAGGCATCGTCTCGGTGATGCTCCTGATTGCTGCATCAGCTCTTTCGTAGTCTGGATTATCACCGTCTAGAACATTCATAGTAGTACTTTAAGACCTTACAAAATAATTAACCACTATAGAACTATCAGAATCTATAGCTGTGACAAATTGTTCTACTAAGTACAGAAAGAACTTAACCTACTTCTTTTCCTATCTTGTCATAATTATAGTGTTCCAATGAAGATACCTAAAATCAATTTTAGAATGTATTTGGGTGATTAACAATCGGGTCATTAACGATCAGGGTTGTCACAGCAATGCCCCATTGCACCACGTTACAGCAGGCACCTACCGGCGGTGGCGGCGAGGAGGTCGGCCACGCTGGCGTTGTGCCGCGCCACCGACTGCTGCAGACGATGCTCCAGCGCCGGCACGTCGCGGCTGGACACTCGCTTGCTCACCGGCTACACCAACATGCAAGTCAGTGGTCAACAACATAATACAAACAAGAACATACAAGGAACATAGTCAATGGCCAAGAGAGAGACAAACCTTGTAGATCAAGTCTTCAGCAGTCTGCAAGTTCTGTTTGGCTGAAGGAAGTGTCCTGATGAACTGCAGGCGCTGCTGCTCACTGGGCCCTGTTGGGAAATTAGTGACATTCATTAATTGAATAAAAAGCTGTCATAATTTTTTGCTGTGAAGCTAAGTATTCCTGTAAGGAATATAGATCTTTCGGCCCACCCTTAGGATCTTCTTGACAGGCTTTCCTGATATGATCGAGCTTGTCTTCCAGCAACTTGCGATCGTGGTCGAGCAACACCACGTGAGGGTGTTGGAGTTGTCTCCAGCAGTTCTGCAGCTGTTGGCTCGATCGCGACACGGCGTCCACTGATGATAACAAAGCTGACTGGCACCGAGCATTGGAAATCAATGGAGCCGTCAACTGAAAAAAAAATTAAGTGTTATAGAACAAATTTTGACGACCTACAACTTGAAGACACTCTCGCGAAGAAAGACACCTTGCCAAGCACCAGTCACTGTCCTCGCCGAACCCGTCGCTTGCGACGTAGGGCTCGGCAGTCGGCGAGTAAATTAACCCATAGACACAGCCCACTAAGTATCTCGTCGGATCTTCTCAGTGAGTCGCGTTTCCGATCCGGTGGTAGATTTTGCAAAGCAGTGTTCTTCCTAGGGTTAGTGTTAGCAACACTCCCAGTTTGAGCCCCGAGAGCTTACCTACACGTTAGGGCGAAGCTGATATAGCCTCTCAAGGCTATCGGCATAAAGAAAAAAAAATGCAACTGGACTCAAGAATGGTGGCATTAACGGTGTTGATATCTATGCTCCAATAACCAATTAATACCAGATAGATAGTTAACTTTACTGTGCATCTAAGTATTTCTACTTGAGAATTGATTACCTGTGCAGCTGTAATCAGATTCTGTGTGGCATCAGCTACTTTTATTCCTTCTTTGTCCAGCTGCTCCCCAACATCACCACCCACGGTTTCGGATAATTGCTGAACCTTGGTCAGGAGTTGAGACGCCGAGGCGCACGCCTCCGATACGAGGTCCTTGATCTAATGATATCATTTATTTAATCAAATTAAAATCTGATCACGAACATATTAACACAGAAATTAATTAAACAAATTTAATTGTTACCCTGAACACTTAATTGATGAAATAATTTGATTGACGAGTGTCTGAGTGAGTTGTTAGTTTTTATTTTTATTGCTTAGATGGGTGGACGAGCTCACAGCCAACCTGGTGTTAAGTGGTTACTGGAGCCCATAGACATCTACAAGGTAAATGCCGCCAACCACCTTGAGATATAAGTTCTAAGTTCTCAGTATAGTTACAACGGCTGCCCAACCCTGCGAACCGAAACGCATTACTGCTTCACGGCAGCAATAGGGCATACATGATTACTTCACTTTTTCTGTCATAATAGCAACTATGAGTTTTAGTGTGATGGTTCGGACAAGCAATTACTATCGTAATTAAGGGTAACACAGCACTAATTAATTCTAGTTTACTTTGCTTAATCTCACAGAAGCATCATACCCTGTTCTCTTTATCCGGATTAAAATTGGAGTCAGTTTGGCATGCCATTTTTTCTGACGCCTCAGCGAATTGCACCGCACCTTCACTTAGGCTCTGTAGAAATAATATTTCACTCATGGGAATCTCGTATGGCGAGTTAAACAGTAATTCAATAAACTTTGGCATCATATTACAGCGTAGACAATTTAACAGGAAAAAACTTTTCTTTTTATTTCCCTTGTAGGCAAACCAGCATACGATCCACCTAATGGTGAATGGTTACCGTAGCCCATGGACGTCAGCAATGCCAGGGGCAAAACCAATCTACTGCCTACCATTAAGCACTCTCCACAAGCCTCGTTCGAAGAAGGACATGTCATAGCGCTCGGGAAACACTGTGGAGGGGAGCTCATTCCAAAGCCGGGTGGTACGTGGCAAAAAAGATCTTTGGAAACGCACTGTGGATGACCGCAGTGGCTCTATGTAGTATGGATGAACTCTACTCCGGTGGAGGGAGGTGCGATGGTAATAACAAGATGATGGGAAACTATAGTTATTGGAACCGTTCTCAAAACCAATGTACAGGATATATTCTAAAGATCAAAATAGTAAGGTCATATGAGGCCGTCAGCACAAAAGTGGCCTATTCTACATTTTTTCATATTCGTGGTTCATTTTGATGCAATAATAAATTTTTATGCAAAACCGGCCTATCCCTAGTTTCGCCCACAGATAGCAGATGGCTTTGTCAGAATTATTTTTGCGCGTTTTTTTGCCTATGAGGCAGTGTAAAAGTAAATTCAGACCTCATTGTCGCCATGCTTACTATAGTAAGCCCAGGTAAGCCTAGGCCACTTTTGCGCTGACGGTGTCATGAAGTGTGTATACTTTTATATATTATAGCATAGTATTAGCATAGCATTTAGTATATAACATTATGAATAGGTGTAATCTCGTATGTCCCCCTAATAAGGCGGACCACCCAGAAACATAGGCTTCTTCATAATTGTAAACTAGGATTAAGATGATAATTAAACATGGAATACACGCAAGAAGACGTTTTCCTTTTGTATACGACTTGTATATTATAATAATAATATGTACTACTTTTTTTACTTATTAAAAGTAGTATAATGATCATTTTTGCAAACCAACCTTCCCTTGTTCGGCGCTCTCGCAAATGCTCCTGGAAGCGTCACACAGAGCTCTGATGCTGTCCAATAACGCTTCGCAATCTTCGGGACTTTTGTTCGAGCTTAGCACTTTAGCGTCTGCATAAATAATAATAATAATAATAAGCCCATTTTATTTCCAAAAACAAAGAAAGAGGAAAAAAAAACACCTTATCAAATAAAAATTACAAAATTAAATATAAACTTGTGTTATTGGAACCCCATTCGGGTATAGGCCTCCTCCAGCTTACTCCACTCTTTCCTGTCCTTGGCTTTGTTTCTCCATTCTTTTCCACTTTTCTGCACAATAAATACGGCTTTGAAATTACAATTGAATTACTACTACTACTGCTAATGCGCCTTGTGAGCCTGCACGCTTGTACTATAGCTCGTACTACTGCATCTTCTACCACACGTACTACCTCTCATATTAATAATGGGTCCAGTTTGCCTATTATCTTTATATATAAAAATGAATTGCTGTCCGTTAGTCTCGCTAAAACTCGAGAACGGCTGGACAGATTTGGATAATTTTGGTCTTGAATTCTTAGTGAAAGTCCAGAAAAGGTTTAAAAGGTAGATAAATATGAAAATGCTCGGAATTAAATAAAAATAAAAATTTTGTTTTTCCTTTGATGTGTCCTCCGTCGGACGGATTCCTTTTGTTTGTTTTAAGTTTATTTTATACAAAAGTTTAGGTCTTTTATTTATTTTATCGATTGAGGCACTACGAAGTCTGCCGGGTCAGCTAGTCATTAATAAAAGACAGACAATGATTAAGGCCTGACGATAATCATACTTATCTCGACTTGCCAAACTCTTAAGGAATACTACTTATGAATTTATCCCCCATTTAAGTAAATAAGTTCACAGTCCACACGATGGTAAAAGGTCACCGGGAAAAAAGTACAGCGGTTGACCCGCCTTACACTGAAACGCATTACTGCTTCTCGCCAGAAATAAGCAGGGTGGCGGTATCTACGTGTGCAAGCACATTATACGCCATACCACCAATAAATCTGTTAAATAATTAAATTTTAATTTTACCGTAAACAACTTGCGGCAGTAGCTCGCTGATTGTGCCAACAGCTAAATCAGCTGTAGCGTAATCAGGATTATCACGATCTGTTCAAAATAAAATTGATGTAGTACCAACAATTGAATAACAACTTTAAGATGAACATAAAACAAGACGGCACTTAAGATACAACTCTCAAAATGACCTATAGAGTTGCGGTGGGAATTTGCCTTTAGAAGCAAGATTGCCAAGTTGAGTCGGAGAATGTGATCGATTATGTTAGTTATTGTTACACCGATAAGAGTAACGCCATCTATCGCCGAATAGTCGAACGAATATCGAAGAATCTAGTAGCATCTAGAACGCTCGAGAAGTACAACGCCATCTATTGTCAGTTAGCGGAAACACATAATAGTCTTGTATGGAATATTCTTGATAATTCTAGGGATGTGGCTATCGGTTTTAAGTTGTATTTTGGTGGAACATTTATTTATCCCGAACCCCAGCGCGTAGCACTATCAAATCAATAGAAAATACGTTTGTATCTTTCTTTATTGCTTAGATAATTGAACAAAACTACAGCCTAGTGTAAAATACTAACCGACACTTATAGACATGACAAAGTGAATGCCAAACTACCTTGACACATGAGGTCGAAGTCTCAAATATAATAATTACCTATCCCATCCATCAGTCAGGAAAGCGTGACCACTTTGCAGAAGAAATAGATAAGTTTATGATACCTAGCTAATACAACCCGTAAAATGCCGATTGGTTCCGGTTCCTGGTACACTGGTATAGTACTCAGAGAACGCTATTTCTCGTTCTCCGCTGAATCGGTTAGTACTCTTCTTTTACGGACATGGAAAGAGATAGGGTGGTGCTATTCCAGACTAAACAGCCAAACCATACCTGATGTGGAAGAAATGAGAGCAGCAATCGCGGCGTTTAATTGCGCCAACTTATCCGCTAGGCCGCTTTGCAATCTCGCTGCATCTTCTTCTCTCATTAACTGGCATATAGCTGGCTGAACAGTAATTGGTTGTTTAAACAAACGCCTAAGTCTGAGACGGCAACATGACAGACGTCATGTGCAATAGTGAATAGAAACGATAAGTGATGATTAACTTTTGAGTAGTATAGTTTTTTTACCTACCTAAGCTGATAGCCTTGAGAGGCTATTTCAGCGTAACCTTAACTAGTAGGTGAGCTGACGGGGCTCAAACCTGACGACGTTGCTAACACGAACCCTAGCAAGAGCCGTGCTTCGCAGAATCTACCACCGGATCGGAAATGCGACCCACTGAGAAGATCCGACGAGAAACTCAATGGGCTGTGTCTGTGAGTTATTTTACTCGTCGCGCCCTTCGTCGCAAGCGACGGGTTCGACAAGAACGATGACCGGTAGTATCAGAAGTACATGCGGGTACTTCTAAGCTCCGAATACTTTACAAGCTCAATAGTAATAATAATACTGACTCCAAACGAGAATCGAATCTGGACCCTGTGATAAATATCTTAAAGAGATAATATACTTCTGATGCAGTTAATTTTTTTTCTTTTATTGCCCTTGTAGGCAGACGAGCGTACGGCCCACCCGATGGTGAGTGGTTACCGTCGCCATGGACTTCAGCAATGCCATGGGCGGAGCCAAGCCGCTGCCTACCAGTTAAGTTACCTAAGTTAAGAGACTAGCCTCGTTTAACTCATTCCTGGCATCCTCCAAGTTCTTCTTAGCTTGTGCTGCACTGTTGATGAACTTCAATCTTCTTAATTCACGCTGTTTCTGATCATCTCCGGTATCGGAACTCTCGCTGTCGCCTAAAAAACGAATACTCTTTCATTCATCTTTGCCTCTCTCACGGTCTCAAAGCCCATCTGGTGTTAAGTGATTACTGTAGCCCATAAACTTCAATAGCGTAAATGACGCCACTAACCTTGAGACACGAGTTCTAAGTCTTAGTTTTACAGTACAACAATTGCCCTAACCTTCAAACCTTAACGCATTACTGCTTCACGAAAGAAACTGGGTGGTGGTACTTACTCAGGCAGATTTCACATATTGCCCTACCACCATCAAATAAATGTGATGGTACTTGTGAAAAGGAGAGCTTAGTCAACAACTAGGGTGATAATTTTAGTTTAAACTAGCTGACCCGGCAGACTTCGTAATGCCTCAATCGATAAACAAAAGACCTAAACTTTTGTACAAAATAAACTTAAACAAACAAAAGAAATTCGTCCGACGGGGGACACATCAAAGGAAAAACAAAATTGCTAATTTTATTTAATTCCGAGCATTTTCATATTTATCTACCTTTTAAACCTTCTCTGGACTTCCACAAATAATTCAAAACCAAAATTAGCCAAATCGGTCCAGCCGTTCTCGAGTTTTAGCGAGACTAACGAACAGCAATTCATTTATATATATATATGTGTGTGTGTAGATATATAGATTGGTATAAAAGGATGACAACTCGTTTTATTTATTAAAGCCCATACATATCACAAATGACAATAAAACTTAAGAGGATCTCTTAGAATATATTGCAAGCTCCACTCCTGCATCGTGGAAAAGGGAAATAATTAATGCACAGATTTGATCCCAAAACCGTCTTACCTAAAGATCCGACAGCATTCTTCAGAGCGTCCAAAGCTCGCGCTATTAACAACGAGTTGTGCTTCAGGGCCTCTCTATGATGATTTCTACTCGGGTCCTCCACTAACGGTTTCCAAACCAGGGCCAAATGCTGCACTGACGATGAAAGGGCTTCGGAAGCGGCCATTAGAGCACTTCGACAGTGTGGTTCGTGAAGTGACGGGGCAGTCAGCTAACAAGGAAGTAAGTATTAAAATAATCAATCAAAAAATTTGCGAGCTTATTCGGGTAGGTCTATCTGGCTTTACTTGGCACGAATGATTCCATGCAACTCAATAAGTATTTTGGTATTACTGCGGTGATTCCGATACGGGCGAGTCTTGAGCCTCGGGTTAATGGTGATATTCAGGTTCTGGACCAACTACTGATGGATACCGGCCGTTCTGCGTCGTAAAGCACTGTTCGGTCTATTTTAGTATCATAGAAGAGGTTATAAAATCTAGACTGTAAATGTACCAAGGGATTCGTTTAGTGACTTAAAAGCACACAGCCGAGGATAGGCAATAATGGCGCAGAATAATACAGGAGAAAGTTGTTAAAGGAGGCCACGACCCTCAGCATTGAGGATTATCGACGCAAGGAGGAAAGTGACTTAAAATATAAAGTCTCTTAATGTGTAACATGGGAACTGGATTGGACTCCCATTCGAAGTATTGGTATTTAGTATATTTTGTACTTGGTTTCAATATGTACTTGTTCCTGGTTTATTTATCGCTTAGTTGCTTGGGCGAGCTCACGGCCCACCTGGTATTAAGTGGTTACTGGGGCCCATAGACATCTGTGATGTAAATGCGCCACCCACCTTGAGGTACAAGTTCTAAGTCGCAGTTTTAACAGTATAACGGCTGCCCCACCCTTCAAACCGAAACGCATTACTGCTTCACGGCAGAAATAGGCAGAGTGGTGGTACCTACCTGTGCGGACTCAAGATGTCCTACCACCAGTAAAAAGGCTTTCAGTTCATACGACGTATCCTAGCTTGAACATAGTATTCTGGGGGCTTACGACGAAAGGAAAGAGCTTCCACCGAGCGATTGTAATTCGGTTGATCGACGGTTCGAAAGCTATTGTTCGGAACTTTTATCTAAGCAAGCTTATCTTGAAAATGTTGTAAACGATATTCAGGCATCTGTCAAATATCTTGTGTTCTATAAGATGAGAGTGTGTTTAATTTTTAAGAACCAGTGATTTCTTAGCTACCAGCATATGGGGAATGATAGCAAAACCCAGAATACCTGAGCACACGCGAGCAGGTCCCTCGCGCAATAAGCTACTCTGGACTTAGCGTCAGCTACTTCCTTCGATGCTGAACTATCATCGTCAGGAACTTCGCCGAGGAGTTTGTCTACAGCGTCCAACAAGTTCGAAGATTTATCTCCAACATTTTTGGATAAATCTATGATCTGTAAAAGAAGGTATGTTAGAATGAAATCAAATAGAAAACCATTAGTCCGAATCAGGATTGCAATCATTGAACGAAGACCTCGTACAGTTCTGACCCTTTATCTTCTTGGAAGGTACACTATCTTCACCCAGGTAATGTATCTTCGAGACTGATGAGCAACGCCCTAAATTCCAGAGTGTGCTAGAGACCGAACTAATTTCATTACGTCACATATCTCTTCTTTTTCTTCACCTTATCCCACTAGTTAGGGTCGGCACAGCTAACTTTCCACTTCCATTCTCTTCTATCAGCCGTTAACTCAACACTCACTCCTCTCTCTCATATATCGTCATTCACACACTCCATTCATAGCTTCTTCGCTCGACCTCTTCCCCCCCTGCCTTGCATTACCATTTCCATATATTTCTTAGTCACATGCATCTTCTCTCTACGCATCACATGTCCACACCACGCTAACCATCCGCCCTGAGGTATGATTTCAAACGATGAAGACACAGTTTTGTAATATCATACGACCTGTAACGGAAGTAAAATATTATATAATAATTATGTAGGTAAAGCTACTTATAAATAGAAAAGCTGTGTAAGCTCACCGCCAGTTGGCAGCGTTCCCAGAAGGCTGGCAGCATTTCCACGCTGGATAGCAATGCTAATTCTTTGTGCAAAACACGTACCGGCCTTCTGGTCTCCGGAGGCCTCAAATAGTTTTTTAAGGTCCTTAAAAAAGCTTTCAGCTGATCTCTCTTCGTGTTATTTCATACCGTGAAGAAAATATACACGTCCGCTCTTTAATTTGTTAATTTTCGGGGCTGCTGTCACTCTTCCTCTGATATACTAATTACTCACTCATTAGTCACATATAGAACACAGTAATGCTCTACTCACCTCAACTTCTTTGTCCATATTACCACCGCGACCAAGGGCACACAATAGCTTCCTGGAGACATCGGCGTAGCCGTTACAGGCCTCCTGCATTTTCTATAAGAAAAAAATAATGCAAGACTTTTACTAGGTACGATCCACCTCTTATTAAATAACTGTGGGTGCTTATAGTTATCATAGAGGGAGACCTTTATTTATACGAGAAAATCGCCTTCTGGTACATACATAATATATTTGATATCTCAATTACATTATAGCTAATGTACATTGTATGTCGGTATCCTTCCCACCGACATTCAATGTACATTCCTTCCTGGTTCAGAGACCAATGTGGCAGTTAACCATCTAATCAATATTAAGCTTTACTACTCGAGTTCTTTTTAATGATGGTAGGACCTCTTGTAAGTCCGCGCGTGTAGGTGTTACGCCCTGCTTATTTCTGTCGTCAAGCAGTAATACATTTCGGTTTGAAGGGTGGGGCAGCCGTTGTAACTATACTGAGACCTTAGAACTTATATCTCAAAGTGAGTGGCGACATTTACGCTGCAGATGTCTATGGACTCCAGTAACCACTTAAAACCAGGTGGGCGGTGAGCTCGTCCACCCATCTAAGCAATAAAAAAAAAAAAATTCAAACTTAAAATTAGGAAATATAAAATTACGCACTAGTATGTAAGCCAGTGACAATAACATGTTACAGCAATTTTAAAAGCAAGGGAAAAATAGGTTAAATTCCCACCCATCTAAGCAATAAAAAAATAAAAAACGTGTATAGAGATCGTTTGGGAAACCACGGAATAGATAATTTATCTGGGGCCACAATATTTTGCATTCTTTCACCCTTCTTCTTCTTTCAATCCTTTACTCATTTGTAATGATTGTTTCACACGATAATTCATGATGTTACTAAATGAAAGGCGATATCTAGAAATACTTACCTCGTGATCATCGGGTCCTGTAAACGTACATAGCCTTGAGGTCATAGAGCACAGTGAATTTATATCCTTGACCACTCCTTCTGCTGCCTCATTATCCTTCATGGATTTCCAAGCGAGAGAATCTGCGTACAAGCGTTCTGAATTATGTACCCGTTTATATCGAAGCTAAAGTCAATACTGTTAATCTGCTCACCTTTAGTTATCTCCGGTACGAGCTCTCTGATCATATTCAAGGAGTTAATGGCCGCTTGGTAATCGACCATTTGTGGGTCTGAAAAATAAATAGGTATTTGTAAGGTTTGTTGTAAAATAATTAAAATAAAATTTATCATGTTAAAGTTGAGGCAATTTTCGGATTGCCAAATAGCAACACTGTTGGTGGTAGCAATGCCAGTAGTGGGGTCGTGAGATAATAAAAAAGGTGGTAGTCTGAAAAACTGGACAGAAATCAGTGTATTCGGTAGTGAGCAGATGTCTAAAGATTGTAAAAGTGGAGTTTCAAATAAAGTAATACAGAATTAAGTAAACTATAGCAATCTGTGTATTATTCCCTGACTGTTGGAAGTGGAGTTCTACATATTACGTTATTACGTTAATTATTACAGTATAGAAGAAATCCAGTTAAACCCTAATCCGCGCTAATGACATTTACAAAATAAACATGCAAAAAGGCAAATTTCTTAATGATTTTTCTATTTATCGTTTTAAGACTGATTGATGACTTTGGTCAACCGCAGCCTTCCAATCGTCATCAACGTCGACATACCACAAACCGAAGCTTTTTAAAACTGAATCAACTTGATTTTCATTTTTAACACACAAAACCACTTCACTTCAGCAAAGAGCTTACACTATGAATGTCGAATATACACGCCATCTCTAGTGGTAGGTAGCCAGGTAAGTTTTTTTTTATTGCTTTGTTAAATGTATAAGCTCACGGCCCCCTGGTGTTACTGGTGGTAGGACCTCTTGTGAGTCCGCACGGGTAGGGACCACCGCCCCGCCTATATCTGCCGTGAAGCAGTAATGCGTTTCGGTTTGAAGGGTGGGGTAGCCATTGTGACTATACTGAGACCTTAGAACTATATCTCAAGGTGTGTGGCGCATTTACGTTGTAGATGTCTATGGGCTCCAGTAACCACTTAACACCAGGTGGGCTGTGAGCTCGTCCACACATCTAAGGAATAAAAATAAAAATAAAGTGGTTACTGGAGCCCATAGACATCAACAAGATAAAACAACGTAAATACCGCTATTCACCTTGAGACATGAGTTCTAAGGTCTCAAATTGTAACATCACAATGTCCCCCCTTCAAACCAAAACGCGCTACTGCTCCACGGCAGAAAAAGGCAGGGTGGTGGTACCTACCCGTGCAGAATCACACGAGGTCCTACCACCAGTAATTATGCAAATTATAATTTTGCGTGTTTGATTTTTATTACACGATGTTATCCCTTCAGTGAAAGTAAATCGTGAACATTTGTTGAGTACGTATTTCATTGGTACCCGCCTGCGGGATTCGAACACCGGCGGTTCTGTCGCTTAATATGAATGCACCAAGCATCTTATCCTTTAGGCCACGACTACTTGGAACTAAGCTTATCCTAAAGAGATCGTGGATATGTATGACACATTTGAAGTTTCAAACAATATCAATAAAAACTAATTGACCCACCTGCGTGAGCCATTAAGTACAACGCGACAGCAGCGCTGAGCTTCCTAACATTCTCCGATGTAGACTCTTGCAATTGCGCCTGTTGGACGGGCGTTAACTCTAGATCGCCACATTCCTGGAAAAACTCATTAATAACTAGCGACCCGCCCTCGCTTCGCTTAGGGAACTGTAATTTATTATTGATAACAGTATTTCTCCACTATTTAATGGATGTTGTTATACATAAAAACCTTCGTCTTCAATCGCTCTATCTATTAAAAAAAAAACGAATCAAAATCCGTTGCGTAGTTTTAAAGATTTAAGCATACATTGGGATATAGGCACAGAGAAACGGTTTTGTTTTATATTATGTAGTGAAGTGGTCTCTGACCAAGAAAACTGGACTATTACGTAAAAGCAATAAAACAATGACATTAGCAATAAACGCGAGATTGTTAAAAGAGTTTATACCATATTTATAGTAATTAAAGTCACAGTTGGACACACTAGTTGGATAAGTTAAGAATATTTAGCTTAAAAGATAATTCGTTGTCAACTCATTAAGTGTATTACTTGATGAGTTGAATAGACTAATATTTTTTTTAGAAAGGTAGAATGGCCTGGGTGTCTTTCCCGTTTCATCAGAATACGTGGACGAGCAAGAGCTCAGCCAGGAGGGAGATAGTAATAATCAGGATCTGACAATCTGTTCTGATCTGCTATATAATAACATTAAAACTCCGATCTCATGTCCAAAATACGTCGTTAATCAAACGAGAAAAAGAGTCCTCAAACAACTAATTCCCTGTGGCTCTGCTGATTTCAATGAGTAACCAGCTACGATCAGATGAATCGTATTTTCTTCGTCGATCTTCGTCTTTGAGGTCAATAAGCAGACGACTCTTCCCTTGAATTTTTTTACCTGATCTAATTTTGCACAGGATAAAATCGACAAAAACGTTCTATCCTTCGTGGTTGGGTATGGATTCTGTAATCATATTTAACCGCCCCGATCGATCATTACCTACATCCGATACTGGTTGAGTCAAAACTCAAATAGACCAGATTAGTTAAGATCCCTTCCTGAGAGTGGACGGTTAGCGTGGTATGGACATGTGATGCGTAGAGAGAAGATGCATGTGACTAGGAGATGTTTGAAAATGGTAGTCCAAGGTAGAGGGGGACGAGGTCGACCGAAGGAGACGTAGAGGGAGTGTTTGAATGACGATATGAGAGAGAAAGAGGAGTGAGTGTTGATATGACGGCTGATAGAAGATAATGGAAGAGAAAAATTAGCTATGCCGACCCCAACTAGTGGTATAAGGGGGAGAAAAAAAAGAAGAGAGTTGAAATCCCTTATAAGCATCATCTTCATAACTGTTCTGAGGACTTTTCGAAATCTAATGAGACCAACCTTAGCGATATCGTTTTGCGCTGCATTCAAAGCGTGAAGCGTGGTCGTGGCGGCGGCGATGAATGACGCCCTCCGTAATGTTTTGTCCATCTTCTCGTCAGCTATGAAACTCTTGCGCGACCTCTGCCAATTATAAACGATAAACTTCATTATGGTACCGTATTGCCAGCGACTCAATTTCTGGTATGGCTGTTCAGATGAAACTTCTACATTAGCTTGCTAGTCGTCTGATAACTATAATTTTTAGTATAGCTCAAAATACGAAGACCATCTGGAAATGGATTTTTTTTAATGACCTTGTAAGCATATGAACATACGACCCACCTGATAGTGGTTCCGTCGCCCATGGACTTCTGCAATGTTACGTGCAGAGCCAAGCCGCTGCCTATCATCAAGTTTTTTTTTATTGCTTAGATGGGTGGACGAGCTCACAGCCCACCTGGCATTAAGTGGTCACTGAAGCCCATAGACATCTACAAGGTAAATGCGCCACCCACCTTGAGATATAAGTTCTAAGGTCTCGGTGTAGTTACAACGGCTACCCCGCCCTTCAAACCGAAACACATTGCTGCTTCGCGGAAGACATTGCTGCTTTACGGCAGAAATAGGTAGGGTGGTGGTACCTACTCATGCGGACTCACAAAAGGTCCTACCACCAGAAAAAAAGTACTTTCCACAAGCCTAGTTTGAAGAAGGACATGTCATAGCGCTCGGGAAACACCGTGGAGGGGAACTCATTCCAAAGCCGAATGGTACGTGGCAAAAAAGACCTCTGGAAACGCAATGTAAATGAACGCAGTGGCTCCAGATAGTATAGATGAAATCCACTCCGGTGGCGAGCGGTGCGATGGTAAAAACGAGATGATGAATTCATCTCAAACTATTCCTTAGAGTGCATCTAGAAGAATCTGTATAAATACTTTTAGTTCGTTTTAAAACTCATATATTCTGATTACGGTTAATTATAAATGGAACTCAACACTAGTGGCTACTCGTGAACCCATAGATACAACAGCATATCATTCCCATATCTCTTGATACATACAGATCTAAATGTTTATTATATAGTACTACCAACTGGCCTACTCTGTCATCGGAAATGACTGGGTAACTTGCGGCAGAAGCAAGCAGCATGGTGCTGATACCTACAGTTATAGTATGAGGAGTAGCTGTAGGAGGTTATTAATAGATACTCACGTTTAAAAGATCACTCCTTCTCCTGGTCCTGGGATCCATTGAGAAGTATATCTGAGTGGAAAGATCCGCAATCCTGCATGCCGCTTCGTCGGCTTCACTCAGCTTCTGTAAGTCCAAGAAACAATTAGTTGTGTTCAAATACCCTTGATAAGATCGACACAACAGAAAAAAATATTTGAGAAAAAACAAAAAAAAAAGCCCGCTGAGTTTGTTTCGCCGGTTCTTCTCAGGACTGTGGCTTTTTTTGGAACCGGTGGTAGAGTTAACATTGTTATTTATATTTTGACATTCAACAAGTGTGTTATACTGACATCTAAGTTGAAATAAATGATTTTGATTTTGAATTTGAATTGAATTAGAGGCAGACTTTTTTCATGACTATTTGAAAGGCATAATAATATGTAAATTAAAATACATTTAATTTCGCCTGCCGTATGGTATGGATCCTCAGAAAGAAAACCTTTTACTGTCAATAATTATGTATCCTAACATGTCCTTCCATGCAATAAAATCTTCTACGTCAAGTGTTTGGAAGCCTTAACCAATCAACTTAAACCCCACTTAGGAAGGCAACAAGGCAGCATTACGTTGCGACCTCTGTGAGCTCTGGTAAATATAAATTACTAGCTGACCAGGCAAACTTCGTAGTGCCTCAATCGACAAATAAAAGACTTAAACTATTGTATAAAATAAACTTAAAACAAACCAAAGGGATCCGTCCGACGGGGGACACATCAAAGGAGAAACCAAATTGTTATTTTTATTTAATTAATTTAAAAACCTTTTAAACCTTCCCTGGACTTCCACAAATAATTCAAGACGAAAAATTAGCCAAATCGGTCCAGCCGTTCTCGAGTTTTAACGAGACTAACGAACAGCAATTCATTTTTATATATAGAGACTAGGTCGTTTACCCATGTTTGTGACAGGATCTTCAGGCGTGTGAACTAAGTCACGGTGACTAGTGCTCGCTTTCCATAGGTCTTTGAGAGTGTATATAAGTAATCAATTGCATGGCATTCATGCTTCTCACTCGTATTCAAGCATCCATACTATTAGTATCGAAAATGCCAAACTCTCTCTGTCTCCCTCTGTTTATTACGTTTTAGCGTCAATAAAACTGGACCAATTCCAGCGAAATTCGTTTTAGAATTAGTTTTAGTTTTTTTACTGGTGGTAGGACCTGTTGTGAGTCCGCGCGAGTGGGCACCACCACTCTGCCTATTTCTGCCGTGTAGCAGTAATGCGTTTCGGTTTGAAGGGTGGGGCGGCCGTTGTATCTATACTTGAGACCTTAGAACTTACATCTCAAGGTGGGTGGCGCATTTACGTTTTGGATGTCTATTGGCTCCCGTAACCATTTAACACCAGGCGGGCTGTGAGCTCGTCCACCCATATAAACAATACAATAAAAAAAATAAGCTTATGTATAATTTTGTAAATTAAGGTTTGGAAGTTGTCGAGAACAACATATGGGCAAAATTGCGTTATAAAAACTAATAGAATTATAGAGAAGTCTAATAAAAAAAGTATTACGTATTTATTTGGTTCCATGCATTCATTGAGCGATCTCAATAGTTCCTCTAGCTCTTGAAGGTCTTCTAACATCTTCTTCGTCATTTCCGGATTCGACTGGTTCTCGGCTGCTTTGCGAAGACCTTAAATTATGCATAATTGTGAACATCCTGATCTCTGCAAGCTTAAGAAATCTTATATGCGTCTTATATGTAGAAAAAAAAAGAAATTGAATTAAATAAAAAATACTTCACAACTTAGGTTCTTTTGGGTGAAGCCAAGCGCACCGGACACCAGCTAGTACCATATAATTTTCATACATACCATACAAATTAAAACACATACCATCCACGATAATGGGCTTATCTTCATTGATGGTGCGCAAAATGTCTTGGGCCTGCCTTATGTTGTCGTCAGTGGGATCTGAGAACATGGCGGCATTAACAAAAAGTATTAATGTAAATCTGGCAATGATTTTAAAGCTCTAGACAGAAAAATTACTGGTGGTAGGACCTCTTGTGAGTCCGCGCGGGTAGGTACCACTTCTTCTCAGTCGTATGCACTCTTGGCAGAGTGGTCGTGGTCATCACTTGGGTTGGTGGTGCGCTTCACCAGACGTCGCCATTCCTCGCGTACCGCGGCCCTTCTTGTGCACTCGTTAACGGGACCATTTAGAGCTGCCTTTATTTGGTCGGTCCATCATAACGGTGATCTGCCGCGCGGTCTTGTACCCTCTATCATGCCCTACCTACATGGGTAGGTACCACTACCCTGCCTATTTCTGCCGTGAAGCAGTAATGCGTTTCAATTTGAAGGGTGGGGCAGACATTGTAACAGTACTTGAGACTTTAGAACTTATATCTCAAGGTGGGTGGCGCATTTACGTTATAGATGTCTATGGGCTCCAGTAACCACTTAACACCAGATCCTGGTGGCAATACAGTAAGCAATTTTGCTTAGATAGGTGGACGAGCTCACAGCCCACCTGATGTTAAGTGGTTACTGGAGCCCATAAACATCTACAACGTAAATGCCGCTACCCACCTTGAGATATAAGTTCTAAGCTCTCAATATAGTTACAAAAGCTGCCCCCCGCCCTTCAAACCGAAACGCATTACTACTTTACAGCAGAAATAGGCAGGGCAGTGGTACCTACCCGTGCGGACTCACAAGAAGTCCTACCACCAGTAATTACGCAAATTATAATTTTGCGGGTTTGATTTTTATTACACGATGTTATTCCTTCACCGTGGAAGTCAATCGTGAACATTTGTTGAGTACGTATTTCATTAGAAAAATTGGTACCCGCCTGCGGGATTCGAACAGCGGTGCATCGCTCAACACGAATGCACCGGACGTCTTAACCTTTAGGCCACGACGACTTCAAAATAATATAGCAAAGTTATAATCTTTATTATTACCGGTAAGAAATGTAACCATCTTGACCGAGTTGGAATTCAAACGATTCAATTTCCTGATGCAGTCCATGGACATATCGCCTCGTTGGGGTAATTCGCCCACCTAAAAAAATATTATGTGTAAAAAAAAAAACAAGTACCTATCTTTTGAATGATTGAGTGATTGTAATCACGAGTTTTCCATACAAAAGTAATAAGACAAATATTCACTCATCGCTTATGGCTTTTGTTTGCAATTCCTGATAAAAACTGGCATATTTATACTCATCAGTTTTATACGGTCAGAGTTACATAGCGTTATTATATTATTAATGCGAAAATAACTATATTTGTCTCTCTGATTTTAAACCAAAACTGCGAAATCGATTTCGACAAAATTCGATATGAACCCTGCGTAAGAATATCGGGTGCCTTTCATCTTACTACTCGGCAAGGGTCTCCACGCGATATAAAATGTGGTCCACACGGAAGTGGCTTCTGGAGTAAATGTGTATTTATATATTATTACTTTACATGTATAATTATTATATTGTGTGTAATTATGTGTATATATGTATTTTACTATTTTATACATAGGTATATTAAATTGTAGTATGTTTATTTATGCATACAAAGTCATATGTAATCTATATAAGTACCTATATTTAACATTATCTGTATTCTATAATACTGAGATGTTATTTTAAGGAAGATTTTTGTTTTGAGTTTGTTTTTTTTTTTGTTTTTTTGTTGTTTTTTGTTATTCTTTTGTTAATGCACCTATCATGCATTATCTCTGCACCACCCTATGGTCGACTAGAAGAGAATGCCCATAGCATTAAGTCCGCCTGTGTACAAGTTTTGTTTTGTGCATAAAGTATAAATAAATAAATAAATAAAGCTAGCCAGGAACAAACAGTAAAACTGTATAAACTATTATATGTATCTATGTATGTATGTATGTGTGTATATATGTATGTGTGTATGTATGCATGTGTGCATGTATGTATGTATATGTATGTGTGATTGTGTATATATGTATATTTATATACATACTTTTTTGTGTATGTATTTATAACTTAATATAAATTTCATTGCACCTACCACTATTTACTCTGCACTACCTTTGGTTGACTGGCAGAGAATGTCTTAGGGATGAAGTGCGCCAATGTAAAATTTACATGAAGTGTAATAAATAAAAAAATAATAAACAAAACATTGCTGTTCCTACATCATGTCCATATTTAATCGCAGCAAAATAATGATCAAGCGCGTAACATTGATGTACAAGGCGCCGGCCGTCGGTGCGTGGCGGCACAGAATAAGAACAATAACAAGAAACACCCAAATCACTTCAAGATAGGCTTTGAAAATTATAGATTTTTGTGGATTTCTCCAGGATCCCATCATCAGGTCTTGATGATTACAGGACAATTCGGGAAGTCTCTACCCTTTCGAACAACAAACAGAAAAGAGAATTATCAGAATCGGTTCAAGCATTCTCGAGAAATCGGTGAAGATAATAAGGTCGGGGAAAAAGACTTTTCTCATTATATAATAGTATGTATGAAATCGTAACAAAATCTCTTTGGCTATACTATTTGTATCTGGCTGGTTTTGGTATAATTAAAAACATAAATTTTAAAGAAGACAATTCCAAATTCAAATTTGGGAAATGTGTGATTTTAATTTTTTAATTTTTTGTATTTTCAAGATGAACATACATAGATAAAAATAGTGGTCGAATTGACAGCCTCCTCTTTTGAAGTCGGTTTAAAAAAGCGTGATTTTGGTACCTTACATAGCTCCTTAAGGTTCTACTATTCAAAAATATTTTCAATTTCTACGTAAATTAAGTCGCAGGTACAATTTAGCGTTATGCCAAAGTAACTAATCTACGCGGACGAAGTCGCGGGCAAAAGCTAGTTCCACCATAAAAACTTATAAAGTAACTAGCTGTACCCGTCCGCATCGCTGGGCATTTAAAATTAACATCATTATTTCTCACCCCCACAAAGATTCTCATCATTAACGCCCCCGCAACTGGTGTAGGGAGTCCAACACTCATATAAATATTAACCTATCCATTAAGTACATGTATTTTCTACATGGATACCAAGTTTCAAGTCAATCGGGTGCACGGTTCAGTAGTTATAACGGAACATCCGTAAAAACCGCTGTAGATTTATATATTAGTATAGATTTTTCCCTCACCACTGCATGTTGCTGTTGCTGCAATTGTCCCATCGTTAATATTTTCTGGACAGTCATGATCTGGGTTCCTTGACGGCATTCAGAAGCTGAAAAGAAGTGATGTAACTATAGACCTTACAACTTATATCTCAAGGTGGGTGGCGCATTTACGTTGTGGATGTCTATGGGCTCCAGTAACCACTTAACACCAGGTGGGCTGTGAGCTCGTCCACCCAAATAAGCAATAAAAAAATGTGAGTGAATCAGACACTACGCAAGCAGGATTGTAGTACCATGCGAGATAATTCACTCTGTACAACCTTTGGTTGACTGGTAGAGAATGCCTTAGGCATTAAGTCCGCCAATGTAAATTTTACATGAAGTGTAATAAATAAATAAATAAATAAAAATAATTTATAAACCGTATTTATTTGCAGCATCAATATGACGTCATAACTCGCAGCCCACATGGTGTTAAGTGGTTACTGGAGCCCATAGACATCTACAACGTAAATGCGCCACCCACCTTGAGATATAACCTCTAAGGTCTCAGTAAATGTACAACGGCTGCCCCCCCCTTCAAACCGAAACGCATTACTGCTTCACGGCAGAAATAGGCAGGGTGGTGGTGCCTACCCGTGCGGACTCACAAGAGGTTCTACCACCAGTAAATTAATGAACGAGTAATGATTGTCGCTAAGTTATCAAACTCACCATTTTCGTAGGAGATAATCTTGCTTGGACCGACGAAAGAATGCTCTACAATCTTGTTAGGATTATTAGCAATGTATTGTATAGTGTTTAATCTGGAACAATTACGAATTATAATGAATATGGCGTCTCTGTTTACAGACTCTCTTTTGGTTAATTATTAAATTTTATTATGATTTATGTCCCATAAAGTACACATGAGGACCTAAGAGGTAGACCTAAGAAGAAATGGATGGATTGCGTGAAAGACCATATGTGTAAGAGGGAAGTCAGTGAAGAAATGGTTTGTGATAGAGGAGTATGGAAGGAGAAAACATGTTGCGTCGACCCCTGGTGACTGAGAGAAGGGCAGGAGAATGATGATTATGAAAGTACACTTAAGAAAGCCTCACTTAGAAGGAGCTACTTCATCTTCGGTTATGATCATCCTATCGGAGCTGCTGAAGTTGTGCTTGGCCAGAAGCTTCTTCCCTATCAGATCGATGTAGCCCTCCAGAATATCTCTGATCTGGTTGGCGTCTCTGGTCTTCACGGTGTACGGTTCCTCACTATGAATTAAAATAACTTCGGTAAAATTGAAAAGGTACTGTCAGTTTATGTGTGGATAGGTACGTAAGTATGCGGTAGACAGCGGCTTGGCTCTGCCCCTGGCATTGCTGAAGTCCATGGGCGACGGTAATCACTCACCATCAGGTGGGCCGCGTACTCGTCTGCCTATAAGGGCAATAAAAAGTGAATATAACACAAAAGAGGTTGAATTTGGGAAAAATAAAAAAGTGTGTTCTTTGAGCGCAAACCATCGATAGATCGACTCTCTGTTAATACGTATAAAGTGCGGAGCGTCGAAATACTGACCATTGCGCAGTTTGATTATAGGTATTAGATATCCTGATACCTGTAGGGATGAGTCTTAGCGAGCACATTTATAACGTTATTAATAAGCTAATAACATTTCAAAATAACTATTTAAAATTATTTTTCTGTGAATTTAGCATTGACTTTTATATTTTTTTGTTAGTTAATGTATTTTAAAAGGTACTTTTAAAAAAAAAATTAGCTCAGCACTAAAATTATTAAAATATCTTTCACGTATGTCTGTACATACGTGCCTGTGCATGAACCTATATTATCTTCTATATAAATAAAAATGAATTGCTGTTCGTTAGTCTCGCTAAAACTCGAGAACGGCTGGACCGATTTGGCTAATTTTGGTCTTGAATTATTTGTGGAAGTCCAGAGAACGTTTAAAAGGTAGATAAATATGAAAATACTTGGAATTAAATAAAAATAGCAATTTTGTTTTTTCTTTGATGTGTCCCCCGTAGGACGGATTCCTTTTGTTTGTTTTAAGCTTATTTTATACATAAGGTCTTTTATTTATAGATTGAGGCACTACGAAGTCTGCCGGGTCAGCTAGTCTCGTAAAGATAAATTGTTGTTTATAAACTGACCTGTATTCGCCGAAGTTCAGAATAAAAGCCTCGGCGTTGGCAACGTTATAGGTCTTCACGTGAGTCAAGGGCCAAACTTGCAGGATTTCTTTCGTAGTCTCGTCTAGGCGCAGAATGGATTCAGCGTTGATGCCCAGGAGACGTGGTATCAACTTCTTTTTACCTTTCATCTTCTCCTGCTCAGAAAAAGTTAAGGTTTGGTCGCTTTAGCTATCCTTCCGAAGTGTCAGTGGCGTGAGTATGACCTGGTATGTGATAACACTGATGCGTCGTTCGCATAATTTTAATTTCTTCTAAGCAGGCAGCTTAGTCTTTACTGGTGGTAGGACCTCTTGTGAGTACGCGCGGGTAGGTACCACCGCCCTGCCTATTTCTGTCGTGAAGCAGTAATGCCTTTCGGTCTGAAGGGTAGGGCAGCCGTTGTAACTATACTGAGACCTTAGAGGTTATATGTCAAGGTGGGTGGCGCATTTACATTGTAGACGTATATGGGCTCCAGTAACCATTTAACACCAGGTGGGCTGTGAGCTCGTCCATCCATGTAAGCAATAAAAAAAAATCTTATACGACGAAAAATAACTCTTCAAATTTATGAATATAATATACATAATGAATGATGCCGTACTTAAAACCTGCATTGGTGGCTACACAAAGCCATATTTTAATCTAGTTTAAGGAGTAATTTAGGTGTTGTCATTTGCAATTGGGTTTTCGATTATTATATACATACATATATACACGTTATACCTGTAACACGGTCAAGCCTTCTGCCTATTTCCGCAAAAAAAAACACGCGTGGCACTCGGGGACTGCCGCGGTAAAGCTATTGCATAACATTTTTTATCAACTTATGCAATTATTATATAATTAGACAATAATCATTTAATATTAACACAATAATAAAATAAGACCACGCTATATTTATAAACATTAACAAAAGCAAAACATTAGCTGTCCCCTTCACACTCATTAGCTAGACCGCGGGAGAGAGAGACGAGCAGATTTTTCGTGATGCGCATGCAGTGCGACGTCACGCCGCGCACTTATTCACAAACACTACACAAGCGCAACGTGTAAATGTGTTCAACGCGAGCTACATGGTAGGCGGAGTGGGGGTGTTAGGTTTTATTTTCGTTACGGAATTTCTTGATTCGGTCGCCGCGCTCAAAGCCCGCGATCAAAGCTATGCCATATCTTAAAAAAGAACGGAACACCATGAGAACAACATGAAAACTAATTAACCCATAACAAACTATACTAATATTTTCATACTTTTACTAAGAAGAAGGTGACTCCGAAAGTTGGTAGATCCCTGGCTGTCTTGATGTACAGGGACTTGGCATGCAACGGCGTCAGACCCTGGTGCTTTTTGTAAGCCTTGATGATCTTCTTCTCAACGCCCCACGATCCAGAATATTGCGAGGGTAGATATTCGTTCATGCTGTTGGAATAAAGACAAATCGCGTTCATGAGCCATTAGTGTCCGACTGATTATCCCACAATCGTTATCCCCTAGTGGCATTGTGGCCTTTTTACTAGGCTGTCGAAGGAGGATAGTATTTGGGAAGATAATAAGGTGAATTTATCTGTTAGCAATGTCTTAGCAAACGATGAAGGGGAAAAGCAATAAAATATGTTGTCTTTATTATAAAGCTACGTATTAGTTAAGTACTCTCTACAAGCCTCGTTTGAAGAAGGACATGTCGTAGCGCTCGGGAAACACTGTGGAGGGGAACTCATTCCTAAGCCGGATGGTACGTGGCAAAAAAGATCTCTGGAAACGCACTGCGGATGAACGCAGTGGCTCCAGGTAGTATGGATGAGCTCGATTCCGGTGGCGGACGGTGCGATGGTAAAAACGAGATGATGGTATCATCTCAAACAATTCCTTAGAGCACTCCTTACATTGCTGTCGCTACCCGGACCAAACAGTAACACGTGATGCCTGTTTGCCTCCATAGCAACAAGTAGACAGTTTATTTCCCGTCTATATCAATGAGCACTTCAATCAATGAGCCTTTTATCCTGAACTTTTAGGACTGTTGATTTAATTTTCGTATTTTTAAGCACTTACTTCGAGATAAATCCGGGCTTGAACCGATCCTCCTGGTAATCGCCGTAATGTATCTGACATTGAATGCCAGCGAACTCGATCGCTAAAGGATTTAAAAAAATACAGTCATTATGCATCTGCATGGTAAACATGCAACATCTTCTGCGACTACAAGTAAAACAGATTATCTTCTTCAACCCGTATCCACCCAATCTTGAGTGTAGGTCTCTTCACATTCACCCCATTCCCTTTGGTATCTAACCTATCACACCCCTACCAGTCCCTACCAGATACTTCAAAATAGATTAGCTGCTTAATATCTTAGTTGCAATTTTATTACATTGGTGGATGAACAAGCGAATGACCCCCTGGTGGCTACCTAAACTGACAAATCACGTGCACACCGCCACCGACCTTGAGACATGAGGTCGCAGTCTCCGTTGCACGTATGGACACTTGTTATGCAATACAGCTGTGTGACCCTTGAATTACTCTACAGCAGTAATAATAATAGTCGTCAGTGACCACGTTTTTTTTTCTCCTACCTAAGCTGATAGCCCTGAGAGGCTATTTCAGCGTAACCTTAACTAGTAGGTGAACTCACGGGGCTCAAATCGGAGTGATGCTAACACTGACCATAGCAAGAGCAATGCTTCGCAGAATCTACCACCGGATCAGAAACGCGACCCACCCAGAAGATCCGGCGAGAAACTCAGTGGGCTGTGTCTATGGGTTAATTCGCTCGTCGGGCCCTACGTCGCAGGGGTTCGACGGGCTCGTCGAGGACGGTGACCGGGGTGACTACGAAAAACTATTCAATACTTCGAAAATAATCTATACTAATTTTATAAAGAGGAAAGATTTGTTTGTTTGTTTGTATTGAATAGGCTCCGAAACTACTGAACCGATTTGAAAAATTCTTTCACTGTTTGGAAGCTACACTATACCTAAGTGACATACGCTATATTCTTTTTTTTACATTAGGGATCCTTACTAAAACTCCAATAATGTAACCCAAGGTATAAAAAAATTACCTGAAATATTCTTTACTTTACATCGCGTGCGTGGCGAAAATTATTGATGATAGAATAAATTAATGTAGGTACTATAACTTTGTAGAACACATTATTATTTACAAAAAGGGTGGCGACAGCATAATAATATGTCTGACTATTATGCTACAATAAGTGTTCAATTATTTGAAAAAAAAAAACGACGTCAATTATAATTTTCTATTTTTAGAGATCTGACGCAAATATAAAGGTTAATGTGTGTGTATTATAATTTTTTATTTTGAAATTTGTTTAAAGGACCCGAGCGAAGTCGGAGCGGGCCGCTAGTATCTATATATTAATATGTGAAGCAAAAACTTTGTATCCCTTTTTACGAAAATTGCGCGGACGGAGGAGTATGAAATTTTCCACACTCATAGAGAATATAGATGAGGGGTGCACAATGCTAATTTTTTTTTTAAATAATGCATAAAAGATACATTAAATAAATAAAGAAAACATTACACACACAAAACATACCATGTATTTGACGCACACACGCATGCATACTATTCATTGTCAAACTTTTGTTCTTGGCGTCTGTTGTCAAATTGAGAATAGATTAAAATTAAATATTGTTTGTCTTTGTTAATATTTTTATAGTGTAGTCTTGGCGAAGTTTGTGATTATAGAAGTATAAAATATCATAATAGTGTACAAACTTACAATTCCAATTAATTATAGTCGAATTTCGACTACTGCGGGACCTCTAGTTACGATAAAAACCAGAGAGTTGAATATTTAAATCAATGATAAAGACGCAAAGTCTTTCATGTTGAGCCCGGTGAACTCACCTACCCGACCGCGCGTAGGTACTTGGTATAGCCTCTTAGGCTACCAACGAATTAATTAAAACCTCAGGGACGATGTTTCAATTTAATTCCTCAGTACAGTTCCAGTTATGACGCTCATAGCCCATGGAGTATAGCCGCCTAGATATTAGTTTGCATTTTTAGAAAGATGCAAAATTGAATCTAGGAAAACAGAGGTTTGGGTAAATTTTCGTACATTTCACGATACTTTAACGAAGGAATAGTAACTGTGCGATTAATAACCGGTAAGTCGCTTCGAAGGTTCAATGTACTTAATATAATTAATAACATTTAAGCAAAATACAGTGTGACAACGTTGACCTTTTTATGTCGCTTATAGTAGATTAAAAGAACGACCGTTCCAATGATGGGTAGACGATATAAAAGCCGTTGCAGGCTCTACGTGGAAGAGGAAATGCCACGACCGGAACTTATGGCAGGATTTGGGGGAGGCCTATGCGAAAGCAAAACAATCTTAGCCGATGTCAAATGAAAAGAAAAACGTACCTAAATATGAATTAAGGTTGTTAATAAAGGCTTCTTTATCTTTATAGTAGTAGTCAGTAAGAGAAGCACTTGGTGGTAGTCTGTACCATGCCGTCCATACCAACCATGATCGAACACAGTGGAAGAACGTCTCATGTGGTCGCGATCCTCAGCAGTGAGGGAACGATATAGAAGAAGATAGTAGTGGTGGTTAAAATAAAAACAATCGTGTTTATTTTAGTTTTTATCATATATAAATACTTAAAGAACTATTACATTTATAAAACAAGCAACGAATCACTTTTATCACCACGTACAGGCTGATATTTTTTTTTGTTGCCCGAGCAAGCAGACGAGCATACGGCCAACCTGATGGTAAGTGGTTACCGTCGCTCATGGACGTCAACAATGCCAGGAGCAGAGCCAAGCCACTGCCTTCTGCTTAAATAACCTTAACCTCAATACAGCAGTGTACCCATTAATACCAGAAGTCTGCAGACTTTGAGCACCTGTGAACTCTTCACGTAAATTCATAGGAATGACCTCCATGGTAATTCCTACAGTCTCAAACCCATGATCCGAGTTACTTCCTTACGTTACATTCTCAACTCCTGTCGCTCGAGTCCGGGGGCTGTCCGTCTTTATTCACGATCTGCTGCAGCTCGTAATCCTGGACCACTTGAAATATCTTCGATTTAGCCTGATTCAAAAAGTAAGGACTGAATTTCCTGAGAGTGGAACCGATCGTCAATAGAAAAACATCTATCGGATCCGTTGGGCACAGCTCGTGAAAATTTTCATTTGACATTTTAAGCGAGCTGTCATTTTGACGGGAGCTTCCCGCCATATTTGTAGGTTTCATCTCTTCAAATTCTAAATTTTCGTTTGTAACGTAAACACCAGTCATGTTTGAGGGCATTTCCACTTCGCATTCTTCATCCGAGTAATAAGAGTATTCTTTCGATGAGGAGGTTTCTTTGAAGAACGGTATCATGAAGGAGACTTGTTCCTCGTATTTGTATTTGTACCTTTTGCCTGTTTTCTGTCTCAGGCGGACGCTGCGGCGCATCATATCTCGGATATTAGCCCATCTTGTTTTACAGATCGAGGCTGGAAAAAAAAGACATTTATTTACAACATTTTTTTTTATTGCTTAGATAGGTAGACTTGTCACAAAGAATTTAATGTTATCTACGCATCGTTGATATCACGTTACTGTCGTTCCGCGTCATTTTATTTAGTCCGTGATTAATTTGAAAAGCACAAAATACTTCAGACGTTTAACTTAGGCGAAGTATAGATGGCGCTATTTTACTTAATTTCCATAGGTAACAAAATAGCCAACTAAGCACTGCATTAGTTTTACTGAATACCAATAGATGGCACTGTAATAAAATAATGCGTTGGGCAGGTTTTTGCTCCGACATTTAGTGGAACTTCAATAAATATTACTGTATTATTCAAAATACGTACTCACCTGGTTTGTTGAGTGTGTCACCAATTTGTTGCCATATAACTTCTCTTGCGTCACAATTCATGTAATCGGAATGTCCCGAGTCGTACAACATTGGATTTTCTTTGACCATTTGCATCAGTTTGAGGTCTGTAGACTTCTTGAATCTTGGTAACGGCATCGTGTCGGCCGCGGCACGATTACGTGCCGGTTCGTATCGTATTCAAGATATTTACTCGTAGAGATGTGACACGGGTGGATCTAGCGAATGTTTGTCAGTGAAATGTAAAGGGATTGGTTCTTGAAGGGTACCCCAAGCACCGGTTATCGTTCTCGTCGAACCCGTCGCTTGCGACGAAGGGCTCGGCGAGTAAATTAACCAACAGACACCGCCCACTGATTTTCTCGCCGGATCTTCCCAGTGTCCCACGTTTCCGATCCGGTGATAGATTCTGCGAAGCACAGCTCTTGCTAGGGTTCGTGTTAGCAACAACGTCAGGTTTGAGCCATGTGAGCTGACCTACTCGCTCGGTTACGCTGATGTGGTCTCTCAAGACCATCAGCTTAGGTGGGGAAAAAAATTGAATGGGCCGGCTCGGTAAGTTAAATAGAAACAATGTATCAGCGGTATAAGGGCTCAAGGCTTTTATTGATACCAGCATGATATTCAAACAAAGTATTTGAAAAATAAAACATATTAATAACATAATTGGCGTATCCATATATAGATAATAATATGACATACAAATATACTAATAAAATCTATTTATATCTTTTTTTTATATCTATGAATCTTGTTTAACAGTAGATTTTGCTGCAGTGCATATTTTTAAGTGCTATTTTGTTACTACTAAATGAAATTAATAGCATGATTTAAAATTCTCAACAAAGTAACACAACGTAAGTAAATTCTAAGCAGATCATTAGATCATAGAGATTGAAATGATTTACTTCAGTGAATAGAATCTATTGCACCCATCCCTAGTGTTGATAGATGCTACAAGCGGAGACGGGACTGGCGCGTTCAAAGCGGCAACGTCGCTCTAATGACGCAAAAGGTTTCATTCACAAAAAAACAAGTTTCATTAGTTTAATTATAATATACATAACAAAACAAATTTCATTTATCATTAATGGATTGTTATGAGAAATAGGTTAGAACACTCAGCAAACTGCTGTTTATTTATCAAATGTTCGACAAGGATAGATGCAAGCCATGTCTAATACGGCAACGTCGCCGGGGCGTGACGTATACGACACGATGCCGATAATATTCTTCGTGAAACCAACTATGAGTTTTCGATTGCTTTTTAATGACTTTCGAGGTTCCGGCGCCTAGAGGACGCGCGGGGTATGTGCGACTGGTCCGTGACTGCAAAAATGCGGGCCCAAGGATGTTTTTAGGACCCTACCCATTAAATTACTCCCCTGCACTCTTCCCCCAAGTGTCCGATCCGAATTAAATAAAAATAACAATCTTCTTTTTCCTTTGATGTGTCTCCCGTCGGACGGATTCCTTTTGTTTGTTTATTTTATACAAAAGTTTAGATCTTTTATTTATAGATTGAGGCACTTCTGCCGGGTCAGCTAATGGATAATAAAAAAGAAGCATGGCGATCCTAATAGAGATATTATTATTATTATACATGGAAGGCAGTAGCTTTTGTGCTTAAATGCGGTTAATTGCCTGTTTTCCAATAAAACATTATGAGCTGTTTGCTCATGATAACAACACTACTGTTAACAAACCCTCTCAGTCGGGTCCCGTGAACTAACTTACCAATCCGCGCATAATTGGAATAGGCTACCAATTAGGTTGGAAAAAAATTCATAAATGAAGTACTCTTTTTTTAGTTTTTATTATAATCAATGCTATTTTCAAAAATAATACTTTAGAACTAAAATAAATCACAAATAACTTAAAAATTAGTTTGTAATGGTCAACTTTACATATTTGGGTAGATGAGGAGACCTGGTCACAGACTACTTGATGTTAAGCAGTTTTAAGGCTCCTACCGACAGCCAAAAGATAAAAATACTGCCCACCATGGTAGACGTCACACTGATCACTGCACTGGAGAAACTGAACATTTAAATCATTACTCAAAAACAGAGGGCAAGAGGAAATATTCCAATGCGCTGGATAGACCAGATCCTCTCTACTGTCAACATCAACGTCGTGGAGACAAGGATAGGCCCGAGCTTAGAGCGGCATGGTTTAAGGGGTGGCAATATTTTTGAAATTCCATAATTTCAGAGACGAAAAATGTTATATGCTATTTTAAACTCAAAATTAAAATATTGGATTAAAATTAATAAAATTTATTCTGGCATTAAGGGCAGCGCGATAAACAGGGCCTAAGGCGGCATCAAACCTAAATCCGATGCGTCGAGACACTAAATTCTGCTAAATGATACCAAAGAAGGAACACCATATAGAAAAACTGATGCCTTGATATTATCATGTCATGACCCCAGCATTGGGGAAAAGAAGCTAAGAGGGGGGATCTTTAAAAATATTTTTTAATCAAAAATGCTCTATTCATTCAAAAACATATTATCGTGAGATGAAACCTTAACATCTTTTGGTTGTTTCTGCATGATCTGCTCCAAGTCGTGTTCCTGGACTACGGCAAAAATTTTGCTCTTTGCTAAATTCAAATGATAGGGTGAGAAAGTCTTTAATGTTGACGCTATGCTGATGAGGAATGCGTCAACCGGGTCAGCGGGGTCGAGTTCTGGAGTGGCGCCAGTATCGCCGAAGTTGGAGGTCGTAGGTTTCTCCTCGTCAGATGACTTTTCCTGCTTTCTTTTTGATTTACGCCGCCGCGCAACTTTCTTGATTGGTTCATCGGAGGAATCACTATTGTTCTCTTGTTGCTCCTGCCCTGATTCGTTGTCCCATTCATCATAGTCTTTCTCTTCGTAATCGCAGTCACCACTGTCCAGGGGGATGGCAACGTCTTTATAAAATGCCTTCATAAATGCCATTTGTGACTCATATTTGTAGGGTTTGGACGATCTATTAGGATCTGAAAGTCTCTTTTTCCAAAGTCTCCTATGGACATCTCTTATGTTTATCCATCTAATTTTGCAGTCGACAGCTAAAAAGTTAAACAATAATAATTAAATGACAATAGTGACCGTGTGTGCCCACTGATGGTAAGAGGTCACCATTGCTAATGAAGAAAAGCAACTCCAAGGATACGGTCAGACAGGTCACTGCCTACTTAGGAACATTATTTGACTATCGTAGCACAACAAATGTAGTAGTGTATTGTGTGTATCATTTATTTTGTTAATCCAATTAAACTGCAGGTTAAAGCCTTTAACAACTACTGCATTTACAATAGCGTTTTATTCACATAAGTTTTAAGCTAGTATTTCTATTTAATCGGTTTGAAGGGTGGGGTAGGCGTTGTAACTGTACTGACACCTTAGAACTTATATCTCAAGGTGGGTGGCGCGTTTACGTTGTAGATGTCTATGGACTCCAGTAACCACTTAACACCAGGTGGGCTGTGAGCCCGTCCACCCATCTAAGGAATGAAAAAAATTACCTTAAAACAAACTCACAAAAAAAATTATTCAATCGAGAAATTACCGGCAAAATGTCAAATAGTAGCGACAAAACAAAATCCAATTAAAGCCAACGACTCACCCGGTCTCTTTAGTTCGTCGCCGATCTTCTGCCATGTTACTTCACGGGCATTAAAATCCATGTATTTGGGATTGTTGTAGTCGTATAAAACAGGGTTTTGCTTCACTAAGCTTATTAATGTCACATCAGTCTTGTCGCGGAACATTTTGTTAGCCATGTAAACGTGAATCTATGGCGGTACCTACGACACGAATGAGGTCGTGTCGGTGAGCAGTCGTGACTACGACTCGCGTCGTTGTACGATTTGTCGTCTCGCTCTCTGTGGTTTAAGCTTGTTTTACATGCTCCATTTTGACAACGAATTTCGGCATTTTTTTATTTTGTTTTTGGCGTGTTTTTGATAATGGGCTTATATTGAGAACTAATTGACAATGCATACGTTATACGGCTGCCAATCATTTTTTACGTACGTACGTTAAGCTTCTGCATTTTATGATGGAAAATTTATATCATCATTTGTAATAGCAACTCGACGTCAGTCTTACGATCGGACACTGACGTCATCATTTTCAAAAACAACGTGGTGCCAGACGCTGACGTTAATATTTAATTTTGTAAACCAAACATGGCGCCAGATGCAGACGTCATATATATTTTAAATTATATACAGAAAAAATCTTTTTTTTAAACCTTGATTATAAATAAAATATGATAGTTATTATGCTACAGCTATCTACAGGAGCAATGGGAAACTAATAACAAGCCATCTAGTGGCCAACGCCCGTAAACAGAATGTGTACAATAGAAACGACCTAGCTCGCTTTCTCCCTCTCTCCAAGGTCAAGTGGTTCGCGAAACGCTCTGTCTATTTGCTCACTCTCACTCGTAATAACTTATCTTTTCTCTATAGCCGTAACGAATCGGTCGCGATTTAAATTTTACTCTCAACGCGCCTAAAGAAGTTTTACTTCAAAAACTTCAAAAACTGCAAAAACTTCGAACTTCCGACCTCTGTCAATAAAAATGTCCGTTGGTGTCACATACTAAATGAGTTTTATGTCTCACAATATTGACGTATCTTGATTTATTCTAATTGTCCTTTCACACAACAATGTAATAATACATAGATAACATATTTGCAAAAAAAATTGTTTGTGGGCATTTCGCTGTTTCACTTAGAATAAATGATTTTACGAGCACAGTCATAGTTCTGTCCTAGTCGGTAGAATTTTCTTTTGAACTTCATAGTTTTAGCGAGAGAAATTAAAACTTTAATCACATAAGATCCGGTAACCTAATTTGTATAATATTCTTTTACTTAATAAATCCGTGCAGCATGTAATCCTAAACTAATTTATTCGAATTCAATATGGCGGCAAGTTACACTCGATGCACGATTCGACTCGAAGAGTTTACGTGACGATTTTGTAATTCGTTTATCGTATCGGTTTGATATTGAGTTTATGCTTTCAGTGCGACGTATTCCTATCGTATGCCTTGATAATTAGTTTTCGTAATTGATAGATAAGTTCTCGGACGCCACAAGAACATAAATAAAAGCCGTATCGGCACTAAAGACATTAAAATATTACTATATTGCTTAATAAAGGTGTTTATGAAACAAACCATACATTTTATACCGTACGATGACTATCGCGACCAGATCGACGCGTTTTGTTTTTATTTTTCATAAATAACTGTATAAGAATTGGGTACATTACTAATTTAGGAATAGGAGCGTTTTTTTTTTTCGCATTTTTCGACACGCAAGTGAATTTTAATTACATGATGATCAAACTAAAACCTAGAGGCAATTTTTCTTAAACAAATAAAAAGCAATATTAATAAGATTCCGTGCAGGAATTTCTTCGACGCGACATTCTTTCGTAATTTTTTTTTATGTGGTAGTTAATGCACTTGAATATTAACATCTATTAGGTACTGGAACACAGTACGATAAGACGACATACAGACAGACTTACAAACGATTTCTTCTATAGTAAACACACGAATGGAAAGAACGGATGAACTTTATAATAATTGTCGACCGATTTAAATGGAAGATAAAATCAAAACGTCATCTCGATCGAGCCATTTATTAACGTAAATTAGAAATAGAATTACAGCCATGTTTAGAGTCAGGGCGAAAATTCGCGGGACCAAACATACAGACACACAACGGTTTGTTTGTTTAGTATGGCTGAATGTACAATGGTATTGCTACGCGCTGGGATTCGTAATAAATAAATAAATTATACCGATTTAGAAATTAAAACTGTATTAGCACTTAGAACACTTCACAAACACTTTAAAATTCTCAATTCGCTTCTTCCGCTTCGCTTCAGGTGATCCGTTCGCGGTTTCGCTTCGAGTAGTTCCGATAACTAACTGCCATCTCCGCGCTATTATGGTCAATACGACATCGAATCGAAAGAATCGTCAAGAACATTCCTCACAAGTTGAGTACCTTCGATGCGTGTTTCCGCTATCTGACAATAGATGACGTTATACTTCTCGAGCGTTCTAGATGCTACTAGGTCCTTCGATATTGTTTCGGCTATTCGGCGATAGATGGCGTTACTCTTACCGACGTAACAGTATAATATTTTGGGGAAAACTGATTTAAAGAATTACAATACTTCCACCGAACGGATCAAATTTCTCGGTTTTATCATTCGAAACATGTATTTAGGTATGTAAACATATCTTGAAAATGTCATTAGCGGATGAATCGCGCTTATTGTTAAATATCTTACGACAGCTACCGCTACAAGATCATCATCTATACTAATATTATAAAGTTTGTTTGTTTGAACGCGCTAATCTCAGGAAGTACCTACTGGTCCGATTTGAAAAATTCTTTCAGTGCCAAATAGCTCATTTATTGAGGAAAGCTATAGGTTATAACATCATGCTAAGACCAATAGGACCAATAGGACCAAGCGGAGCACCAATAAATAATGTTTCAAAATCGGGGTATTTTTCCCTTTTCAGAGCTTAACGCTATATGTAACTACACGCCAAAGTAACTATTCCACGCGAACGAAGTCGCGGGCAAAAACTAGTTTAATATAGTTGTCTTAAATTAAAACTCACCTTCTTTTTCGGTGACCGGATGAGTCAAGTTGAGTATTGCATCTCTGGTTTGCAAGTAGAGAAGATTGAGCTGCATCGGGTCTCTTTCGTCCACGTTCTTGTCAGAGTAGAAGAGTTTCCTCTTCAGCAGGAACGGCGTGGTCTCGTCCAAGGACAGCTCCCGAAGCGTCTTGTGGTGGTCGAGCCATTTGACTTTGAGGAATTGAAGCATTAATTAAAAACCTATTTCTCGGCTCTAGTGAGCACAAGTAAACACCAGGGTTCACAAACATATCCACGTAAGGACCAGCAATAACCGCGACCTTCGACTCGATTGTATAATGCCATAGCTGCCCCGTCCTTTAAAATGGAAAGTGTAACTGGTTCGCCTCACAAAAAGATTAGATGGGAGTATCCTCAATCTCATAGTATTGAAAAACAATCAGAATCTTCTTCGCAGCCAGCACGTAACCGTGCTATTGTTGAGGTAGTATTGTAAGTTCACTCGGGTAGGTATCGCAATCATGCCTATTTCTACCGGTTTTTAAGGTTTGAAATGGCGATGATACTGTACTGATGATAATTAGATTTAGACTTGATAGCTCATACTGGGGTGATGCTATTCACATTGAGATGACAATCGGATTCGGTAACCACTCCGGGAGGACGGTGAGCTAACCAGTCATTGTTCTCGTCGAACCCGTCGCTTGCGACGAAAGACTCGGCGAGTAAATTAACCCACAGATACAGCCCACTGAGTTTCTCGCCGGATCTTCTCAGTGTGTCGCGTTTCCGATCCGGCGGTAGACTCTGCGAAGCACGGCCCTTGCTAGGGTTCGTGTTAGCAACGTCGTCAGGTTTGAGCTCCGTGAGGTCACCTACTAGTTAAGGTTTCGCTGAAATAGCCTCTCAAGGCTATCAGCTTAGGTAAGAAAAAAAAAGGTGAGCTAATTCACACGTAGGTATATCCAATACACAACGTTACGGAGTAATATGAGTCAATTTTGAGTAGAGTTCATCCAGACTACCTGGAGCCACTGCGTTCATCCACAGCGCGTTTCCAGAGGTCTTTTTTGCCACGAACCATCCGTCTTTGGAATGAGCGGTGTTTCCCGAGCACTCTGACATGTCCTTCTTCAATGTAAGCTTGTGGAGAGTACTTCACGGTAGGCAGCGACTTGGCTCTGCCCCCTGGCATTGCTGGCGTCCGTGGGCGACTGTAACTGCTCACCATCAAGTGGTTTTGCCTCTTCTGTAATTGTTTCATTTCATTATGAAAGATGAACTTACCATTATCATCAGTGTGGAGCTTCTTGCTGAGTTCCTCAAACTGCGCGTCGCGACCAGACTGAAGTGTCTTCGCAGTCAGCGTCCCGGTAGACCGTGGCTTATTCTCGACTTTCTCGTCTTCCATCCAACACTGTAAATTCAGTATCTATTACCTATCGTCGAGGGACATATGACTTGTAATCTATTATTTATTAGCAAACAAGAGTTTTTTCTATGCGGCGACTCTTCTACAGTAGTTCCATTTGATTCGAAACAGAATGGGACCGTTCCAATTATCAATAATGCCGTTCTGGAAACTCTCACGGATAATTTGGAGCCTCGGTCTCTGCGGAGGGAATTCGCTTTTCTTTGAGATTCCCATTATTATTATTTATGATTTCAATGGTTCCATCTTAATTTTGCCATCATCATTTTGCCACTTGAACAGCGGAGCTTAACTATACTGCCCCGAAATAGGAATCATCCGTTTTCAGGCATCTCTACAGATTTTTTGCCACATACGATTTAGCTCTTGGAACTTAACTGACCCATGTTATGTGCGAGCAATGACAAGTCCTTCCCTCGAACGAGGTCCGAAAAGAGTCCCAAGCGATTCTCGCACTGTGACGTAAATTTTGCGTTACGATCATAGAACGAAACTTGATTTTGCAACCTGATACAATAGCCGTAGTTGACACAGGATCGTGAGCGGAGTATGCGGTGCACACAGGTGCCAAGACGATAAGGGCGCCGCCACCGAAATTATTAATGCCTTTTTTTTATTGCTTAGATGGGTGGACGAGCTCACAGCCCACCTGGTGTTAAGTGGTTACTGGAGCCCATTGACATCCACAACGTAAATGCGCTACCCACCTCGAGATATAAGTTCTAAGTCTCAGTGTAGTTATAACGGCTACCCCACCCTTCGAACCGAAACGCATTACTGCTTCACGGCAGAAATAGGGTGGTGGTACCTACCCGTGCGGACTCTAAAGGTCCTTAAAACTCGGTTGAGTGTCCGTAATTAAATGCATACATTTTTTTATACTAGTTTATACCTGTATACTATGTTCTAAGTCTGTACACACGTACCTAGCCTTCATTCCCGCAAAGAACCAAAGGGAAACGGGGGTGACTGAAAATCAGCGCTGTTCGATTTATCGACCTTGAACAGAATGCTGTTCAAGGTCGATAAAAAGAGAAAAAGGCAAAAGGAGGTGGCTCAGCTCATTAGCTGCCACCTCCTTTTGCCTTTTTCTCTTTTTTTCTCTTCTTTTATTTGCTTTTTATTTTATTTAATGTGAANACAATATAGGACCAAAAGAACTGGAAAAACTTAGTAAATATCACCCCTTAAAAGTAGAACTAACACGACTCTGGAATACACACACAGAAACCATCCCCATAGTAATAGGCGCAACGGGCGTGGTGGCAAAAAGTATACATAGATACATAGACAAACTGGAGGCAAATATAAACATACACATAATACAAAAACAAGCAGCTATACACACATGCACAATAATAAGTAAAGTTTTGGGTAATACAGTTTTCATAAATTCAAGGGAGTCCGAACCTCCTCTTCCCTGAAGGTTTCAGGGCGGGAGCTAGGAACTAAACCGAGTCAAGAACTCGAGAGAAAACTACTTCACATAATAATAATAATAAGAAAAAATTATAATTATTATTATTATTACGTAATTGAAGCAAACATACCAGTCCGTACTCGTCGTGGTTCGTTATCCCGATCCTCCCGCAGATAACCCTCATCAGCTCCCCGATTTGCTTCGACTGGTCCAACTTCAGCGTCTTCACGGTACCTAAAGATATTCCATTTCAGATCGATTCAAATATTACAAAAATCTTCGACAAATAACAGGTCAAAGATTCGAGAGCAATGATCTTAAAAATTATCAAAGAATTTCGAGAAAGTTCTAGACTTTTACAAATTTCCTGTATTCGCTGTTTAATTTCAAATCAAAGGATCCTTATAATATTTTTTTTTGTTAAAGTTTTAAGTAAAGTAAAATATTTTCACTCTAAGCCCTACTGCCGGACAAAAGATATCCGAAATGTTCCTCCAAGGATAGGTAAAGAGACAGCACTGATTTCTAATTGACCATATAATATATATCCAATATCCATAATATATTCAAATTGACCACGTAATACGTATGTTATTTCGACTACAATTGACCACGTAATTCCAATTTACCATATCATACGTATACATAATGTTCAAATAACCATAACATATGCGGTTAATCCACTGAATTTTTCACCTATCCGGAATCAGCGAAAAGCTGCTTTTGCTAGGGCCAGGGTTAGCAAATTCTCTCTCATTTACTACCCCACCTATCCGTCCGAGTATAGCTGGAATAGCCCCATAGGCTACAAGAAATTGAGCAGTGGAAAAAATTTGATTAAATGACAGTAACGAGATTGAAAAAGCTTTACGGATTCTTCTATATAGAAAAACAACAAACAAACATCAAAAAAATTTCGTACCATCTAATATCTTGACCTTCAGTAATCTCTCCTTAGGTAGATAGTCCAGCGTGTCTCCATCTCTCAGCATATAGTAGTCCAAGTTTCGGTTGTAATCCAACCAAACCCCGCTGACGTCATTGTCGGCTGATCGAAGGAAGAGCCCGTAATCTAAAAGAAACGTTCCCATGACATCGTACCGCAAAGGATTGGAGTGATTCATGCAAATGGATCTAATTCATCCTTAGATCTTTGTGCTTAGTGCGATTTTTTTAACGTTCTCGACAGCTTAAAAGTTAGCCCAATTTTTTTTTTTTTTTTATGATTGAACGATTACTGGTGGCCCGGAGGCCTTTCCAGTTTCACCAGGACAGGTGGGCGAGCAAAGGCTCAGCCAGGAGGGGTGGGATATTTGCTAACAGCTACCCGAGCGCCTCCGAAGGAGACCTAACAACTGAAGAGTAACTGCTTCGCGAATGAATCTACTACCGGATCGGAATCGCGACCCGCTGAGAAGATCCGGCGAGAAACTCAGCGAGCTGATTCATGGGTTAGGTTGCACGGCGAACTCTTTGTCGAGTTTGACGAGTACGGTTACCGAGGTCCCTAAGCCTGGTCCTAGAGCTGAAGGCGTCTAGTACAAAGGTTATTGGATCTGATGGATCCGTAAGGACGTGTCTAGGGCGTCGACGGTGACTGGCTCCTGCATGATCAGGATTCGGGGAGTAGTCAGCGGCGGCAACGATAAGGCGATTATCACGACGCATAGCCTTATCGAAGTACCGTTCCGACGCTGACTTCATGTATTTCTGTATAGATTCGAGGCCCAGGTCGTCGTGTAGGTCAACGTTCCTCACGAACCACGGAGCTCCGACGGCTAACCTGCAAAAGCGGGATTGTAGAGATTGAAGAGTGTCTATGTGTGTGCGGGCCGCGTGAGCGAACACCACACTCGCGTAAGTCATGACGGACCCAATTTTGTATGCAGTTGGAACAGCGCCCCTGGCGACAAACGTAGGCAAACGATCCCTTTCCATACAAATATGAGCTAACTTTTACGCCATCGAGATCGTTAAAAAACTAGCACTAAGCACACTATAAAGTTTAAGTTATTGATGCAACCTACCATCATCAATCTACAACCTACATACATTACGTAGTAATCAAGTTTTTCGCAAAATCATTATCTTCGTATAGAATTCACAAATTCAGACGATATCTATAAGTTTTATCTCCGTACCTAATTTATGGGGCGATTGCATGCAGCAGAGATGCAAATGTTGTGGATGAGATGGATGTCTGGAGTAACGAGAATGGATAGAATACGGAATGAATATGTTAGAGGAAGTCTGAAAGTGGCACCTGTGACAGAGAAGCTGAGAAGTGCGCGTTTGGGATGGTATGGACATGTGATGAGACGAAATGAAAATGAGGTTCGTTAGAGAATGTTAACTATGAACGTGGAAGGATATAGAGGAAGAAGTAGACCTAAGAAAAAATGGATGGATTGCGTGAAAGACGATATGGGTAAGAGGGGAGTGAGCGAAGAAATGGTATATGGTAGAAGAGTATGGAAGGAGAAAGCATGTTGCGCCGATCCCAGGCGACTGGGAGAAGGGCAGGATAATGATGACCTAATTTATGAACTGTCGACCTTATGGTGTAAGCATGAGTTGAAATTAGTTTGTTGGCTGCACCTTTACTGGTGGTAAAACCTCTTGTGAGTCCGCGCGGGTGGGTACCACCGTCCCGCCTATATCTGTCGTGAAGCAGTAATGCGTTTCGGTTTGAAGGGTAGGGCAGCCGTTGTAATTACACTGAGATCAAGATGGGTGGCGCATTTACGTTGCAGAAGTCCATGGGCTCCAGTAACCACTTAACACCAGGTGGGCTGTGAGCTCGTCCCCCCATCTAAGCAATGAAAAAAAAACCTCCTATATTACTGATGGCCCTGTGACGGAGGTCGCTCAGAAAGCCGTACCTTTAGAATCGGCTGGTAAATTGAATTTTTCCTTGACGATCTCATGAGCCTTGGCAACGGATAGCGTGCTGTCGAACTTCACTTTCCTTGTCACCGCACCGTCGTCCATAATGATCTTTATCGAAATCGGCGCCATTTTTCAGCACCAAACGACGTTTGGGAATCTGTTAAATACAAAAATAGAAGTGCTGTGTAATAAAATAATAAGACTCCAACATGAAAATAAACTAACAGTGAAAAATGTTTTTTTTTTTCTTTTTCCTTTGCTTATTGCTTACCTAAGCAATAACCACCTGGGTGGACGAGCTCACGGTCCACCTGATATTAAGTGTTTACCGGAGCCCATAGACATCTACAAAGTAAACCTACCTTGAGACATGAGTTCTAAGATCTCCGTTTTTACAGTACAAAGGCTAGCCCGCCCTTCAAACCGAAACGCATTACTGCTTCACGGCAGAAACAGGCGGGGTGGTGGTACCTGCCCGCGCGGACTCATAAGAGGTCCTACCACCAGTAAGAGAAATATAAGAGAAATATAAAATTGATGCGTCGCTCTGGTTCCGATACCGGGAATCGAACCCGAGCCTATTGTTGATGTCTACGGACTCCGGTAATAACATAAACCAGATGGGCCATGAGCTCATCAATCGATCTAAGCAATAAAAATCAGTTTTAGACGATACATTTTTAAAAATAATTAAGGTAAGCTGTGCCATCTTTCCGTTTGATAAAATATGGTTAGTTTCCTTATATTATAACTAATATTATTTAATTAAACTGCTTTTATGATTGAATCCCCCGTTTTTATTATCCTCACATTATTTCCGATGCTACGATTACTTGAAAGTTGTTATGGTCGCGGACAAATATTTAATTAAGTACACGGTTATATTGTGTAGCGTTCTTAGTGATTACTGTTTATCAAACAAACAAACAGATTTGTCCTTTTTTATTATTGAAGGATTACTGATGGCTTTTCCAGTTTCACCAGGACAGGTGGGCGAGTAAAGGCTCAGCCAGGAGGGGTGGGATTTGCTAACAGCTGCCCGAGCGCCTGCGTTTGAGACCTAACATTTCAAGAGCAACTGCTTCATGAATGAATCTATTACCGGATCGGAATCGCGACCTGCTGAGAAGATCCGGCGAAAAACTCATCTGATTGATGTCTAGGTTAGGTTGCACGTCGAACTCTTTGCCGAGTTCGACGAGTACGGTTATCGGGGTCCCTACTCCTAGTGTTAGAGCTAAAGGTGTCTAATGCAAGGGTTATTGGATCTGATGGATCCGTAAGGACATAAAGCAGATCACCTTTACGATGGACCGACCAAGCAAAGGCAACTCTAAGCGATCACGCCAACTAGTGCTCAATAAGGGCCGCGGTACGCGAGAAATGGCGACATCTTATGAAAAGCATCACCAGTCGAACTGTGTATTGCAAGCTTTTCAACTCTAGCGTCCAATATTTTAATGAAGTATTTAAAAAAATATATATAGTTATCTTTCTATCTATAATTTAAAATGTATTTAATATAAATGTTGAAGATGTCGCATTTTTTATACACAGCATTCCCTATTACAAGAGCAATCTGATTTAAGGATGAAAACTGAAGTAAACCCCAATACTTAAACATCGAAAAAGATGTTTCATTAACTATACTGTTAGTAGTAGTAACTATACAGAGACTTTAGAACTCATATCTCATGGTGAGTGGCGGCATTTACGTTGTAGATGTCTATGGGCTCCGGTAACCACTTAGCACTAGATGAGCTGTGAGCTCGTCCACATATCTAAGCAATAAAAAATAAAAAAACTTCATTCACGTGCACCAAGTTGCATTCTTTTTTTTTACTTATCAAGCCCGCGATCAAAGGTAATTGGCTACTCGCACTCCGCGCGTCACTTGCTGGAACGATGCTTGTCAGCTGATTCGTAACGCAAATAACTTATCGCAGTCCATCTCTCGTTAAAGGTTTTTATAGAAACCGCTAGTCGTAATCAAAAGAGCGCTTACCTTAACAACTCGACGGCTTGTAACTGTAATCCAGACAACAAACAAACACAGTGTGATCAATATTAATTTTAATATGGCACATAAGCACACCAATTATCCTCATACGACAACAATGACTTCATTTTGCGGTGGGATCGTCGGTTATAAATAGTTCATGTTAAATTGAATTTATATTTTTCCTTCCATCTATTTTGTATATCATGTGAACGGTGATTACAATTTTACTAGAGATTTTCGAAGGTTTTTAACATCAGCATTTTACTGGTATTAGGACCTCTTTTGAGTCCGCGGCGGTAGATACCAACACCCTGCCTATTTCTGCCGTAAAGCAGTAATGCGTTACGGTTTGAAGGGTGGGGCAGCCGTTGTAACTATACTTGAGACCTTAGAACTTATATCTCAAGGTGGGTGTCCCATTTACGTTGTAGATGTCTATGGGCTTCAGTAGCCCCTTAGCACCAGGTGGGTGGTGAGCTCGTCTACCCATCTAAGCAATAAAAAAAAATTATCGGTCTCAACTCAAACATGTAGAAAACAATGAAAAAAATCTTCAGTCTATATTGACGAAATGGTTTTTATTCTTTCCCAAAACGAATTGTTAGTTCAGACGCTCATGATTTAGCCATGAGCAATTACTATTATCCAGAATAAAAACGACGGTGGCATTTAATAAATTTGCTGAAAGACAAAATTCGTGAACCATCAAATAAGCCCCTGCCATTGCTGATGTCCATGCGTGACGGTGACAGTTTTATATATCAGGAGGGCCATAACCTCGTACGCCCATATCGGCAAAAAAAATCGCCTGTTTGTCAAGAAAAAAACAATGTCGATAGTATTCATACAATTTTTTTTTTATCTTAAAGTATCGCAGTTCAGTGCCCTGAATATCGTATCATAAGTTCTCGGACACCACAGATAACACGGCTTGACTGTGACACGCCTGAGATGTTAGTGCCTCTACTCTCTACACCCCTTGCTCGCGGATGCTTCTTAGAACTCCCAAGAAGGTTCGTTAAATAAAACAAAATTTCTACAAGAATAATTTATTTTGTTACTAATAAAAAATATATATTATATACTATATATGAGTCGTCTATTATCAAAGGTGGCAATCTGTGCATTTGGACAAAACATTTTTATTGATATGTCAATACAGATTTATTTGAATATAATCGTCTCCTTCAAAGAATACGGTTCAAAACCTGCATTAAATAAAGGTTAATAGTTAACCTGTTATTTATCTAAGATGTCGTTCCGAAGAGTTTTGTGACTGCCAATGGAATACAAAGTCAATAATTCGTTTTTCTGATTTACCAATCATTGTCCAAAAGTCAGATTGCCGCCTTTGATAATAGTCGACTCATATATTCATTATATGTGTGGATAACTACATAGTATCGTGAAGGCATTAGTACTATATTAGGCATAATGTTACTAATTGTTATAAACAACGACTATAAATATAAATATCAGATATAAAAATACTGAAGTTTTTTTTTTTTTCAAAATAACAGCAGTAGACGCATTCGTCGCTTATGCCATTACTATTGCCAATAACAATAACAGGCATGTCGGTAAGCTGTTCATATGACATGATATAGTTGGATTGGGATTGCGACTATTTATAGTAAGGCAAGTAAGTAACTAGATCATTGTCGACTTTTAGTTGTGTATTTTCAATACATCTATGCTAATATATAAATCTACAGTGGTTTTTACGGATGTCTCGTTATAACTACTGAACCGTGCATCCGATTGACTTGAAACTTGGTATCCATGTAGAAAATACATGTACTTAATGGATAGGCTAATATTTATATGAGTGTTGGACTCCCTAATAATAATGGCAATAAATAATAATGTTACATAATTTTAAATATTTTATAAAATAAAAAGAAAACAAAAGAAAATTATAATTTTATTCAAAATAAAAATGTAAACAATATTTAAAAAAAAAGCATTACAAAGACATATTGCAGTTTGCATTAATAAGCAAATTAAAATAATCACAATTTAATATAATAATTCAATATAAATATTTTCTTCATATAAACTGCGAGCCGGCCAGAAGGGAGCCGACTGCTATTGACAACCAACAGTGACATAGACAACGTCAATGTCGCCATGCAACTTCAGACATTAGGTTTAGTCATGGTTTATTATGTGTCGAGCCTCACCCTTCAAACTGGACATTTCTGAGAGCGATAAAGTAAGAAGGTAGTCTAAATATTTATTGATAAATCTATCAACAGTGCATTTCTTTTTTAATCCATTCAGGGTTGTCAGCGCCGTAAAGTCGAATATATTTATTAAGAAAATCGTTTTCAAACAAACTTTAATTTTTTAGAATAATGGTTTTAGTTAATATTCCCCTAATCCATAGAGTCGACAAACACAATTTGAAATCTCCAAGTTGAAATCATTGATATTTTTTTCTCTGTTTGAAAAATATACGGCCATTAACTACAGGCCCTTTTAGCACAACTTTGTTGTTTTAGTCATCTTCAATATTTCTCCCAGTGAAAATAGTGAGAATCTACTGATATTTCAATGGAAAAGTCCCATAAGACAAAAATCAAGTTAAACATTGGCAAAATGAAACCGATTCATACGACAACACTCCTCATGTTTCCCCTAAATAATGCGCCATTTGCTCGCGTGTAAATAACTTTTCCCCTAAAACTACTTGTTAATAAAATATATATGTATTTAATTTTATTATAATAATGCACTTCGCAATGGCACTTTCGTTTGACAATCACACCGAGTTAATACCTCCTCCTCCGTGAGGACTGCGCAGATAACGAGTGGAATCATACATTGCGTGTCGGACGCGACCGCGCAATGGTCACATTTGGTGCAACGTGAACAAATTCCGAGTAACAACACCCCTAAATTATACTAACCAACTGAATTACATTAATCTATATAAATAAAAATGAATTTCTGTTCGTTAGTCTCGCTAAAACTCGAGAGCGGCTGGACCGATTTGGCTAATTTTGGTCTTGAATTATTTGTGGAAGTCCAGGGAAGGTTCAAAAGGTAGATAAATATGAAAATGCTCGGAATTAAATAAAAATAACAATTTTGTTTTTCCTTTGATGTGTCCCCCGTCGGACGGATTCCTTTTGTTTGTTTTAAGTTTATTTTAACAAAAGTTTAGGTCTTTTATTTATCGATTGAGGCACTGCGCAGTCTGCCGGACCAGCTAGTTACACAATAATTATAGAGTAGGAGATAATTTTCATGGATGTGCACAGTGCCTGAAAGCTATCAGACGCTCAGTCTGAACTTATGCTACGTCATTGATAACAGGCGTCGGTGACGTCACGACCTAAGTATATATATATTTCAAACGGTACACACGTTGGCACGTTTGGTCCATTTTCTATTAATTTTCTATTATATGTCAAATCATGTAACGCATGTTTTTTGTGTAATAATTATCAATAATAGTCATGTCGTTTTGAGGTCGATTATATACATAGTTAATCGTATTTTGGGTCTCACGATACAGGCTGTGCCTAGTGTGAGGATTATTGGTTAATATTAATGTTGTTACCATCTGCGTAATCTTTCAATTTGTTAAATATGTAAATAGTATTTTAGGTCATGATTTATTTAGTAAATAAATTATTATTATATTATTATTGTTATTATTGACCACACATACACTGAACTAATTCCATTCCTTATCTGCGCGTTACATTCTCCATAGGGCTGTCACAGCCTAGTCGCCGTGACGCTGTTCTCAAAATTCAATGCAAAATTAATTTGCAACTACCCTCGTAACAATCTCTTCAAAGTTCTACATAAATACTACGAGTTAAAATACAATACATATCGTCTTTCTGCATCAAAAGTGTAAAATATCCAAAAATATTCGAAATTGAGTTAATATCCGTAATCATTTGGTATCAGCAGTATTTTTTTTAATAAATACTGTCAAAAGAGCGTAGTTTAGTTTTAGTCTCTTTTTAGTTTAGATTTGACTACTATTAACAAAATTAATACATCATTTTATCTTACTTTAAAAGACAGATAATGTAACTGATATCTTAATAATATCACATGTTAAACCTGTAAAATTAGTAAGTTTTGAGATTATACAGTTTTAATGCGAGAAGACGATATGTATATTTATATATATATAATTGAGTTTCAAAGCTAAAGTGCTTTAGTTCACAATCATTTATTTGTTGTAAGCGAGCGCGGTGACGTCACGAGTTGTTAGTGCCGCCCCTACTCAGGAAGACTTAGTGGTTAGCTGGCAGACTGGACAGACATTACGTCACGGCTCGCTACCCCCGCCCCTGTTACATTAGACCGGTTCCAAAGCATTGTCGTCGTTTGTTCGATTGAGTTACTACGAGCTAATCTCTGGTGCAGCAGATGTGGTCGAAGTTAGATCTGGTACCAGGGCGACCGGCGGACCCAGCGCAGCCGGTACCCGCCCTGCTCCGTGCGGATCTTGATGGATGCGCCTTCCGATGCTTTCACCGTCTCCTTCACCTGGAAATTTAAATCACACGTTTTAGTTCCAAACGACCTCTCGGACTATTAACGTTAACATGTGCGCCTCCTGTACTAGCGAGGGACTGTGTCATAATTGACATATTTTTTTTACATTATATGAGCGACTCATTTCGCTTTAAAACTACATATGAGATAAGACAGAACCGCTGAACACATTTCATACAAAGGTACTAATTACGTACGGGAATCAAATCTAGATCCCCCTAGATCTTCTCAGTGTGGGTCGCGTTTCCGATCCGGTGGTAGATTCTGCGAGGCACTGCTCTTGCTAGGGCCAGTATTAGTAACACTCCCGGTTTGAGCCCCGAGAGCTCACCTACACGTCAAGAATCTGAAATAGCCTCTCAAGACTATCAGTATAGGTAGGACTGTTCAACCCACGAGAGATATGTGGCGGGTGTTCGGATCACACGACTACAGTTCCGCAGATACAGGCCTCGAGTAATTTCGCTGACTCCAAGCTCGACACAGAGGTGTCGCCGTGGGGGACATTTCAAACATCGCTTGTGGTCATGTGACGATGCGTCCCCCAGAGAAGACGAGAATCTGTCGTTGATAAAAATACAATGCAATACTCACACTCTGCATCAGGTTTTGAGCGTTGCCGACCAGCATCTCCGTGGCCTCTTGGTCCTCTTCGCTGCCTGAACATTAATGTTATTAATTTACAACTGTCTCGCGTAAATACCATGCATGGTCCGGTTCCCCGAGGGGCGAGCCCCCGCGGGGGCCGGGCGGAGGCCTCACATTAGGGCACATCGAGGGTGCCAATATCTTAAGGGCAGACATGCACGGCCGAATACTTGATTGTAGGGTTGTGACACCACAATTGCTTTTACTATATGATGTCCATGGACTCCGGCAGCTAGGTGACGCTGAACTATTGATCTTGTTGTTTGATCTTTGTAAGCGTGGTTTATTAAACACACACACACAAGTTAGTTAATATCTTTCTACTCTCAATCTACATTATCCAGTATTAGCCACTATGCCGTGTGATATCGTATCATCTTTCTAAATAAAATTGTGACCCGAAATGTTAAGGTCCCATGTTTTTGTGTAAAATAGTATTTTTATCATTATTTTATTGATACATACATATCACTCGATAAGTATATACATAAGTACCTACCGACACAGAACGTACATTATTCATTAGCCACGGTGTGAAAAAAAAAACTTCATTGAATCAAATCAAAAAGCACACATTTACACAACAAATGCATGTGGGTAGGGAAAGCACAAAATCACTTTACCTCTGTAGTCCGGCATGCCGACTGTTAAAAGCAAACAGAGGGATTACTTGCGCGTAAGCTTTCATTAGGCTAATTATCTAATTCATTACAGCTTACAGCATGGCCAATATCAAATGCAATCTAAATAGGCTTTAACGCTTTTTAAGCTGCGCGCAATGTAACACAAATATAACGAGAGCGAGGTCAACGCCCTCACGAATACACATTTCCATTGCGCATTCTAGTAATGCGTACTATACGGCTACTATTCATTAGTAATTAACGCTTTTCTTTTATTATGATGTTTACTGAGAATTATCTCATTTGCCCAACTTCACCAATAATGAGGTAGCTATAGAGAGCGACAGATGTCGAGTGGCTTACCTTGGGCTCCAAGCATGGTGGCCTTCACGGTCGAGAGGATCTTCAGCTGCGTCCCGATGGTCGGAATCCTCTCGCACACTTGCAGCAGATTCTGTGAGAAACAAAATTTCGGTTCAGGGGTTTACTGGACTCGCCGTGCGGCTTCAAGGAGTTGTATGGGTTGCTCCCTACCCCCCAACACCCCCTCGCCACCGGACGCACTCTTGTAAGCTCATTTTTGTTATTGCCCTTGTAGGTTAGACGAGCATACGGCCCACCTGAAGGTGAGCGGTTATCATAGCCCATAGACGTCAGCAATGCCTGCTACCTACAGTTGACGAAAACCCAGCGTTGTCCGGGTCAAGTCATTTTTTTTATAGCTTAGATTGGTGGGTGGACGAACTCACAGCCCACCTGGTGTTCAGTGGTTACTGGAGCCCATATACATCTACAGCGTAAATGCCGCCACTCAGCTTGAGATATGAGTTCTAAAGTCTCAGTATAGTATTTCCAATGGATAAAACTATCGGAAGTCTATCCTGCCTATTTCTGCCGTGAAGCAGTAATGCGTTTCGGTTTGAAAGGCGGGGTAGCCGTTGTAACTATACTGAGACCTTAGAACTCATATCTCAAGGCGGGTGACGGCATTTACGTTGCAGATGTCTATGGGCTCCAGTAACCACTTAACACCAGGTGGGCTGTGAGCTCGTCCACCCATCTAAGCAATAAAAAAAGTGTTCGTTCAGCTTAAGAATTAAGTTTTGCATTTGTGTACTATTAGTAATATGACTGTATCATTAATGTGAAGTGTGTGGGCTAGCGGGAGGCTGCGGAGTGTGAGAACGTTGGGGCTGGTGGACTCACGGTCCTGATCCTCTTGTCGGTGCACTCGAGGGCCAGCTTCTTGGCGAGTCTGGTCACCTCCTCGGAAGCCTCAGCGATCGCCTTCGCCGTCGCTATAAGCTCCCGTTTGCTGCCTAATAAAAAAAAATCAAAAAAAAATTAAACATTTTGACAATCGTAACGGGAATCCCNTAATGTGAAGTGTGTGGAGGGGGGCTGCGGAGTGTGAGAACGTTGGGGCTGGTGGACTCACGGTCCTGATCCTCTTGTCGGTGCACTCGAGGGCCAGCTTCTTGGCGAGTCTGGTCACCTCCTCGGAAGCCTCAGCGATCGCCTTCGCCGTCGCTATAAGCTCCCGTTTGCTGCCTAATAAAAAAAAATCAAAAAAAAAATTAAACATTTTGACAATCGTAACGGGAATCCCCGGATTGATACTTTGACCAATCACTTACGTATATACATATTTATACAGTAAAATATATTTTCATATCGATTTGAAATTTATTTTTTTAAGGGATTTTATGACCTGGTAACTAAGACATTTAAGTCATGTCTTATTTTAATTTATATTCCTATTTTTATGAAAAATGATAATATGATGTGAAATGAAATGAAGATGATTAATTTGAGACATTAATCAACTGGGATGAAATTAAATAAAATGAGATGATAAGGGATGGAATATAATCTCAGTAAAATGGTGGTCATTTACTGAGATTTTTTCAGTGGACCTTTTTGGAGGATTCCGAGAAGTTACGTGTAGCGGCTTTGTTTCATTTTCCCACACTTGTGCACTTTCACGGATATTAAACAGTTAATAAACCACCGTTATTGCACATTTAAACCTGAAGAAACACTAAATAGACAAAACAAATCACACAACTTCACTCCTCGCGTTCCCGCCAAAAAATCCTTATTGATATTTGCGAGCACAAACACACAGATTAAAGTCTAACATCTTAGCGACTCGAGCGGAGATTTAGCTTGAGGTCTCTGCGACCACTCGACTCAGCCATATTATAGGTTTTATTGCAAATTGAGCAAAATCTTGGCGCCGTCAGCAAATAACGGCGTTATACAATGAAAGCTTTTTACTAAAAGCACTGAGGCACTTACCGCTTAAATTCATTGCGACTTCTATCCGAGGAAGCATAGACAGTGTATATACACAAAACGATTATAATATACACATATTAAATAGACATAAGCACAGTTTCGACTAGGTAGCAGATGTTCAAGCGATTTAAAGTGCTTTAAAGCGCGATTTGAGGTGAGCTTTGAGAGGTGGCGTGCTTGCGAAGACAAGGGGCAGACTACCCTCCTCTCAGACACATTCCTAACGTACACTTTTTCTAGCATAGTTTTTATTTCTATGGTGTTAGGAATCCCCAGGTCTGCCACTTGTCTTCCGTCAGCGAAGACTCTTAGTGTCCCACCCTGTATACGGCAAGTACTGATCGGTGAAGTGGTCGGGGTGCACACAAAGAGCTTTAGAAAGTTTCATAAACATGACTGGCCTCATTTTACCCTACCTATGCTGATAGCCTTGAGAGGCTATTTCAGCGTAACTTTACCTAGTAGGTGAGCTCACGGCACTCAAACCGGAGTGTTACTAGCACTGACCCTAGCAAGAGCCGTGCTTCGCAGAATCTACCACCGGATCGGAAACGCGACCCACTGAGAACATCCGGCGAGAAACTCAGTGGGCTATGACTGGCCACCGTAGCGAACAGTAATTTAACATTCACAATGTACAGGGTGTTTTTTTTTCAGTAAGACCATTGTTGAGTAAATTTTCAGAATTTGATAGTTATATCACCGCACTCAGAGCCTGGAAGCTCATCAGCGACACTCATCAGGAGATATCTAATCTGAAAGACGACGCAGTGCGAAGAGGTATCTTCCATTCAGTGGTTTTTCAACCGCAGTTCAAATTGTTATTCGATGTATGAATATTACTTAGGTTATTATTGTTTTAAAAACTGAAGTCTCAGATGCCAAGAAAATTGAAAAAAAAACCCACGCTGTATATAAATCGGAGATTTTTGCATAAAGTAAACGAGTAATAGTTAAGATTCTAATGTCGAGTCGTAGCGGTTATGTTTATGCAGACGGTACCTTTAGAATCGGAGCGGACCAGTTCGGAGAGCCGGGCCATGAGGATCGCCATCCGCTTGGCCGCCGCGATGATCTCGTTGTCCTTCGAGGACCACTCGCGGACCGCCTTGTGCAGGTTGTGGGCGGCGACCTGCGGGCACGACACCATGGTCAGCCCCACACTTACCCCAGCTTACTATACGACTGTGAGTGTCGTTTCTGTTACCAGTACTTTTATTACCGGGCGGAGGGCTGAAACTCCTACGAGGTCATCGTGCTTAAGGAGCGGGGACCTATTATTTATTTATTTATAACTTTATATACTAGACAGTATAAAGGCGAACTTAATGCCATAGGCATTCTCTGACAGTCTACCTTAGGGGGGTGCAGAGATGAACCTTGGTAGGTGTAGTGTGATAGAGATATTACTTAAACATATTATGTGTATATATTATAACATACATAATATTTATAGATACAAATACTCGTACTTAAATGAATACATATACATATAAAAATATATATAAATAAATATTATTATCAGTGTGCTTGGTTTTTAAACGGTCTCGATAGAACTCAAATTTGTGTGAAATTGGAATGCTTGCCTGCGTTTGCCGCTAGGGGCGCTATTATAACTACATACAAATTTGAGTTAACTTTTACGCTATCGAGAACGTTAAAAAACTCGCAGTAGACACACCGTACCCGCGTGTCGAGAGAGACGAGGCTACTCGCGTAGTATTGTCCTGCACTGCAAGCATGACACTCTCCTCGTACTAGTACATTTGCAGCCATTGCGAGAACACTTGAAAACATGAAGCATCAGCGCGAGGCAGTACCAGAACCAGAGTCCGGTTAAATGTCTATTAAGAACCGTTGAGAATTCGACGACTTGGTAGCCCTTAATGCACCTAGTATTACAAATGGATATATAATAGTGACCAGTATAGGTTGGCTGGGATGCGGCTGTCTCCTGAAGATGTCCTCCCCTTCGTCGTCAGTGTCGGCGGGGGGCGGGGGGCGCGGCGGGGCGGCGGCTGAGGGCGGCGGGGGGCGCGGCGGCGCCGACACCTCCAGGCGTGACGTCAGCCTGCTGAGATTGTCCTCCACTGGCGCGGGGACCGGGGGCGGGGGCGGCGGCGGCGGGGGCGCGTAGTGCTGCCCCAATGCTGATTCCATTTCACTCGCTGCTTTAATTATCTGTGGCAATATTTTATTATTGTTGAGGACATGGCATATATGTTTACATGTTTTTAGCTTAGTTATGGGTAATAAGTGCAAAACAGGTCATACCCGACCCAGGCCACGGGGCAAAGCAAAGCCGCCGTCGCCCGAAACATGTCTTGTCGGATGTCCTGGTTCCACTCTCGGTGCTTTTAGGACCCTCAAGCACCGGTCACCGTCGACGAGCAAACTATCCCACTGCATTTCTCGGCGGATCTAGTTAGTAAGGTAGGGTAGGGCTGTCAGGTATTCTGGGCGGATCTAGTTAATAAGGTAGGGTAGGGCTGTCAGGTATTCTGGGCGGATCTAGTTAGTAAGGTAGGGTAGGGCTGTCAGGTATTCTGGGCGGATCTAGTTAGTAAGGTAGGGTAGGGCTGTCAGGTATTCTGGGCGGATCTAATTAGTAAGGTAGGGTAGGGCTGTCAGGTAGGTGTGCTTGCCTCTGCGTTGGCGGCCCTCCAGTGCGGCAGCTGCGCGCGGTCGGCCTGCGCCACGCCCTTGGCCCTGCGCACGGCGGCGGGAATGGCGGCCTGCAGACGGCGGTGGGCGGCGTCCAGCGCGCGGGCGAACTCGCCGTCTTCCGTGTTGTCGCGCTCCGACCCGCCCACCAGCAGCACGCGGTTGGCCAGCCTGGAGATTTTTTTTTTATTACTTAGATGTGTGGACGGGCTCACAGCCCACCTGGTGTTAAATGGTTACTGGAGCCCATAGACATCTACAACGTAAATGCGCCACACACCTTGAGATATAAGTTCTAAGGTCTCAGTATAGTTACAACGGCTACCCCACCCTTCAAACCGAAACGCATTACTGCTTCACGGCAGAAATAGGCGGGGCGGTGGTACCTACCCGTGCGGTCTCACAAGAGGTCCTACCACCAGTTAAACAACAGAGAACAACTCTGTTACCTTTTTTTATTACCCTACCTAAGCTGATGATCTAGAATTCTAGAGAGACCATAACAGCGTCACCGGGTGAATAGGTGAGCTTTCGGGGTTCAAACCTGACGACTTTACTAACACGAACCCTACCAAGAGCAGTGTTTCGCAGAATCTACCGCCGGATCGTAAACGCGACCTACAGAGAAGATCCGGCGAGAAACTTAGTGGGCTGTGTCTATGGGTTAATTTACTCCCCGAGCCCAAGAACACGACACGTCAACACGAATCCCTCCGATGAGTTAGAGGTACCAAACGATCTGTGAGAACGTTCGGTAAACAGCAGTGGCTGTTCGCTAGACCCTATCTCACCATAACATAAAAAGTCGTCGTGGCCTAAAGGATAACACGTACGGTGCATACGTGTTGAGCGATGCACCGATGTTCGCATCTCAGGCGAGTACCAATTTTTCTAATGAAATACACGTACTCAACAAATGTTCACGATTGACTTCCACGGTGAACGAATAACATCGTGTAATAATTATCAAACCCGCAAAATTATAATTTGCGTAATCACTGGTGGTAGGACCTCTTGTGAGTCCCCACGGGTAGGTACCACCGCCCCGCCATTTCTGCCGTGAAGCAGTAATGCGTTTCGGTTTGAAGGGTGGGGCAGCCGTCGTAACTGTACTTGAGACCTTAGAACTTATATCTCAAGGTGGGTAGCGCGTTTACGTTGTAGATGTCTATGGGCTTCTGTAACCACTTAACACCAGGTGGGCTGTGAGCTCGTCCACCCATCTAAGCAGAAAAAAAAACTTTAGCATATGCCAAACAGCTGCAGTATAACCCGTACAAAAGCGTTTATATATATATGGATAATGAACGATGACCGACCTGGCTATAGCCGAAGTGTTATCCACCATCTTCTGCGAGTCGTTGTTGCGGATGGCGTCCTCGCACAGGTACGTGTGCTTCTGCATCAGCTCGCCTGCCAAACACATGTGTGACATACAGACCCTGGCTTCCTCATCATGAAGTAAGGACTTCATACAGATTTTAATATATCGACAGATGAAAGGCTATTGGGTTTAAGCGAGATTTTTGCAATTTTACATAAGAGCCATTTGTAGGGTGCGGTGTGAGTTTGTTATTTAAAGATTATGTTGCTTAAAAATGTTTATTGTTAAAATATTAAGTAATTCAAAGAAATGTTAATTATAATGTTATGAATGCCCCCGGGTGACGCGGCTGTTGATGTGGAAACAATGTTAACGCGTCACGCGAATTATGCTGACAAAGGTAATATATCACCGAACACCATTTAAAGTTTAAAATTTTGGAAAAAATATCAAAATCAAAAAAGACTTCTTCAGCTGTTTTAATGGAGTAAACTTAATTAGAGTTTAAATAAAAACATCGAATTGTTGATGATGGTAATACCAAATAAAACGGACTTTTAATTGTAAAGATAAGTGTTAACTATTAAAAGAAATGTCGCTAAAACTAAATATTCTTTCACCCCTCGACATGAACAATTTCATGATTTAATATAATAAAGGGAATTTAATATCTTTAATATAATGTGCAATAAATTTATAAAAATACAGAGATAATGTAAGGGAAATTTGATTTCATAATACTTCGTTTTTTTAATATGGCAATCCGCTTCACGCGGCATAATGTTGCCAGTGTGGAGTTTATAAAAAAAACACCAATTCTTTTAAAAATATGTGTTAAATGGAAAGAAGAAGATGAATTAAAGTGCTTTTTTTTTATTTCAATCTATTGATATATTGGATTCAAAAAGGTGTTTGTTGAGAAATGAATGAGAAATGAGTATGGTGACCCGTCCATTGACAAGGCACAGAGACGTACCGGCGGTCCTGACGAAGTCCAGGGGGTCGACGGCCTGGTCGCACAGGTCCCGCACCCGCAGCACCGCCTCCGAATACTGCCCCTTCAGGTTGTCGAAGTGTTCCTCCGCCACCTATTTTTTTTATTGCTTAGATGGGTGGACGAGCTCACAGCCCACCTGGTGTTAAGTGGTTACTGGAGCCCATAGACATCTACAACGTAAATGCGCCACGCACCTTGAGATATATTATAAGCTCTAAGGTCTCAAGTACGCATCACACGCGTCTACACCCACTCTCCGACACTCTGCGGTTCGCTTATGTACTTGCCATAAGAGCTGCTTGAATGATTATTTTAATAGAAACTAGCTGACCTGGCAGACTTCGTAGGACCTAAATCGATAAATAAAATACCTAAGCTATTGTATAAAATAAACTTAAATCAACCAAAAGGAATTCGTCCAACGGGGGACACATCAAAGGAAAAACAAAATTGCTATTTTTATTTCATTCCGAGTATTTTCATGCGTTCTCTAGACTTCCATAAATAATTCAAGACCAAAATTAGCCAAATCGGTCCAGCCGTTCTCGTGTTTTAGCGAGACTAACCAACAGCAATTCATTTATATATTTATAGATTAGTTTTTGAAGTGTGTGCGGGGACTCCCCGGCGGCTACATACCTTGCTGTCCGGGTTGTAGAACCGGATTTTACCAGCCGCGATAACTTGAGGCGAGAGCTTCTCCACCTGAGGAACGATACAATGAAATTTGTGAAGTATGTCCCGGAACACCCTGGTCTCATATTGCAAAGTGAACTTTAAGATGTTGTCAGGGCGTCATGACTACCGCTTCCTAACTCAGATTCAGCACTGAGAAGAATTGGCAAGCTCTTCAATACTGCTCTTTATTCATACATCAAGTACGTATTGAAACGCAGGTTTAATTAAGGTCTTCAAAAAGAAGCCATCGTAGAGACGTCTATGGTACCGCAGAGTCTTAAGACGAAAGTCCTCGACCAGTGTGCGTCGCCGCTGACGACATACGGCGCCGAGACGTGGTCGCCACGACGGGCCATAGTCCTCAAAGTACCCAGGGACTACCTATGCTCAAAGCGCTCAGTTCGTTGGATGTGGGTTTGCTTCACTGTAGCGGACTTAAGGAGGGACAGTAGACATCTGTGGGTTGGTAGTGATGGCGATAAAGACGATGAAGTAATTCACTCCTTTTTTTTTAACCTACCGAAGTTGATGGTCTTGAGAGACCATATCAGCGTCACCGGGCGAGTAGGTGACCTTACGGGGCGCAAGCCTGACGTCGTTCCTAACACGAACTCTAGCAAGAGTCGTGCTTCGGTTCTATTACCGATTCAGAAACGCGATCCACTGAGAAGATTTAGCGAGAAGCTCAGTGGGCTGTGTTTATGGGTTAATTTACTAGCCCTTCGTCGCAAGCAACAGGTTCGACGAGAACGATGGCCGGATTCATAGACAATCTTCTTCTTCTTATCAGCCCACAGACGTCCACTGCTGGACATAGGCCTCCCCCAAGCTTCGCCATAAAGACCGGTCCTGCGCTGCCTGCATCCAGCGGACATAGACAATATCGCCAGGTAATGCAGTCGGCTGTAGTGCAAGCGGGCTGCGGCGGCAGTAGTGGTGGGTACCTGCGCGGCGTAGTGCAGCAGCTGGTCGGCGAGCCGCTTGTGGTGCCCCGCGCCCGCGGCCACGGTGCGCGCGGCGGCGGCGGCGCGCCCGCTGAACGCTCGCAGGGCGGCCGCGCGCTGCTGCAGCTCGGCGTCGCGACCCGCCGCGCCTGCGCACACCTCGCCTCACTCACACCCGCACCCAACCCACGCTCCAGGAACCCCGGGGGCGCCAGGGGGTTGGGGGCGTTCACTTTCACTACTTATACCACTTACAAAACTTTTTTGTTTTACAGTCCACAGGATCAGAAAAGGTATCACAAAAGTATGTACAAGACTCCAAATATAATAATCATACAAAATTTGAACATGGAATTGTAGACTCGATTTCATTTTGCTGACCTTATTAAGAGGATATTATTTAATTTTACCATTTAAGTCAAGTTTTCGTATGTTTTATTATTGTAATTACTAAGACCCTCCTCCTCTGCGTCTGAAGATCGTGACCACCTCCATCCGTGAGTGTCATCTTCACGATGTTGTACCATCTCGGCCTGTCTTCGGTCACTCTGACTATTACTAAGGTGGATATCACTAAGGATTGACGGATGCCGTATAGCCGCGAGAGGCGAGGCCCGACATGAGGCGTCCCCCTCCCCCACTCTCCCATTATCCGTTATATACCCGTATAGCCGTTAAATTTAGTGCTGATTATCCTGTGTTACATTCACAGAACAATGACACAGCGGAGGTGCGGGTACTGACCGGGCGGCGCGGCGACGGCGTCGCTGTAGTGCCGCAGCGGCGCGGCGACGTCGATGAACTCCTCCACCACGCGGTTGACCACGGCGCGCTCCGTGGCGCCGCGCAGCGCGTGCAGCTTGTCCGTCAGCTCCCTGGTGCAACGGTACTGTTTAGAGAGCAACCCTGACTCCGCGTGCTCCATCAGTAGATCTAATTGCTATTCTGAGTTAAGCTGGTAGGACCTCTTGTGAGTCCGCGCGGGTAGGTACCACCGCCCCGCCTATTTCTGCCGTGAAGCAGTGATGCGTTTTCGTTTGAAGGGTGGGGCAGCCGTTGTAACTATAGTGAGACCTTAGAACTTATATCTCAAAGTGGGTGGCGCATTTACATTGTAGATGTCTATGGGCTCCAGTAACCACTTAGCACCAGGTGGGCTTTGAGCTCGTCCACCCATCTAAGCAATAAAAAAAAAGCTCAGTGTGCTGAGTGCGAGTTTTTTAACGTTCTCGATAGCGTAAAAATGAGCCCAATTTTGTATGCAGTTGGAACAGCGCCCCTAGTGGCGAACGCACGCAAACGATTCTGTTCACGCAATTCACATGTAATTATTACTCTGTAAAAACGAAATTGTTTATCTGTATTAGGTCAGTACGAAGCCGTAATAATCTATGTTAATGTTCAGTTTTACCATTCACTACTCTGTTCGCTCTCTGTCCAAGCGCCTCTCACGCGAACGGACGCGTCTTCAGTACACTTCAATCAGACTTGAATAAAATTAAATGTTCTAATTCAGACTAAATACAATTGTTCATAAGAAGTCAGTGATTTTATTACTCAGACTATCAGTACGCTACATGCGACCCAGCCGAGCCCGTCTGGTGGCCCATGAAATTCAGTAACCACGCTCATTCGACCGCCATATTCAACAGATTCCATTCCATACAAATATGAACTAATTGTTATGCTATGGAGAACGTTAAAAAACTCGCACTAAGCACACAGGTCGAAGTAGTAAAAATATAACCAATAAGAAACCATAACATTCACATATGAGCTGCCCGCACGGGTCCACACGGCTGGTAACGCTGCGAGCCCGCACTAAGGGGGCGCCACTAACTCAATGTTTGTGCTGCGTACCAGCCATACGATTCGATCTCTTTCTATCCCTCTATATGTATCTAACCCTTTAAACATTAAGTAAATCGGTTTACTAAATTATTGTCACAAAGTAAAATAAATAGGAAGTTCAGATTGTAATCCGGTTCCGATATATCACAAAATAATGTTTTAAATAATCACAGGCTCGCTTAGGTAGCGCGACGTAAGCGCGTGTGAGTCGCAACTACAACCATTACATTACAGTAATTCATTCTCACTGCACGCAATCTAACGCAAACTAACAGAGGCGACGCGCCGGGTCGACGACCCACAGTCGCGGGCGCCGCAGTGTAGCACGAATAATTAACGCGCGGGGTCAGCGAACCACGGTCGTCTGGAACGCAGTGTAGTTATCTTATTTTAACATTGTGACTTTTTTTTTTTATCGCTTCGATGTGTGGACGATTCCACAGCCCGCCTGATATTAAGTGATTACTGGGGCCCATAGACATCTACGGCGTAATGCGCCACCCACATTGAGACATAAGTTCTAAAAGGTCTCTAGTATAGTTACAACGGCTACCTCACCCTTCAAACCGCATTACTGCTTCACGGTAGAAACAGGCAGAGTGGTGGTACCTACCCGCGTATGTCCTACGACCAGACTTGAGATATGACGTCATAATGTACGTTTGAAGAAGTGAGAGGTACCTGGTGAGAGCCCTGGCCTCGTCGGAGTCTCCCCGGCCTGCGGCGCACAGCTCGGCCAGGCGGTCGGCCAGCCGCTGCACCTCGCCGCACTGCTGCAGCACCTCCGCCTTCTCGCGACCCTGCAGCCCGTCCGCGATCTGCACCAAGCAGTACACACTTACAGCCGCAGACCTCCCCCTACTTCCAGCACGAGGTTGAGGTTTGCTAAGCCACCAGTACGCGAATATATTTTTACTAGTTAGAATATAACTTTATATATAGAATATATCATTACCCTCTGGCCTTGCGAGACGATGCTGTTGATCGCCTTTTGGCCTTCAACCCTTGTGACCGCATCCGCAGCCGGGTGGAGAAGCCATTTGTGGGCCGTTTCCAGTCTGTGCGGCAATAAAATACATATTTTTATTGTGAAAAAAAAAAACGATCATAATTTAAAAAACAATGCAAAACTAATATGTGTAAATTTATTCTTGAACATGTCACCAACGAAATTCTTTCCATATAAGACCACGACAGACCCCCGCCAGGTCAAAATGAGTGCGGTTTAAGATGTTTCCAAATTGGACTCAATATACCAATCCCATTATAGCAATTCCACTTCCATTGACGGCCATTTTGACTCATTATTGATTTCCCCAAAAACAACACACTGTATGTATACTTTGGTTATACAGTATGTCCGTTTTAGTTGATGTTACTAACACTCGTTTTACGCTCAAAATGACGTCATCTTCAATTATATTTTAAGAATCGAACGTCCGATTGCTTTGCAATAGGTATAGGCATGCCAGCATAGCCGGTGCGCTCCCGTGAGCACTGTGAGCACCGCGTGCGTTCTTCTGCCGGTTATTACACTTGTTCGAAAACAAACCGTGGGTTTTGAGTTCTTTTTACCACGGCAACACTGGATGCGAATTGACGGGGCGGGACTTTTTGGCGGGAACGCGAGGAGTGAGGTTGTGTGATTTGTTTTATTTTGTTTAAATGTATAATAACAGTGGTTTATTAACTGTTTAATATCTGTGAAAGCGCAGAAATGTGGGGAAATGAAACAAAGCCGCTGAACGTAACTTCTCGGGGTCCTCCAAAAAATCCACTGAAAAAATCTCAGTAAATGACCACCATTTTACTGAGATTATATTTCATCCCATATCATCTCATTCCATTTCATTTCATCCCAGTTGATTAATGTCTCAAATTAATCATCTTCATTTCATTTCATTTCACTCCATATTACCATTTTTCATAAAAATAAGTATATAAATTAAAATAAGCCATGACCTAAAGGTCTTAGTTACCAGGTCATAAAATCCCCTAAAAAAAAAGGAACAAAAATCGGTTGCAGTACTGACCTGGCCTGCATGGTCCTCCCTCCCTGCTTCTCCACGGCCCTTACGCCCTCGTTGACGGTTCCCTCTAGCTCGTTGAGTTGCGTGCCCAACTCTGCAGCTAGCTTCAAAGCCTTCGCACACAAAGATAGTTTTCCAATTACAGCACAAGAGTGCATTATGCGGCATATTGCTCAATTAAGCTTCAGGTAGTTTTCCAATTACAGAGCATAATGCGACTCAGTGACGCACAATGCCGAATTACGCTGAAGCTTAGTTGAGCATTATGCCGCATAATGCGCTCTTGTGCTGTAATTGGAAAACTACCAAATACACCACATTAATTCGAACGAAAGGACTGTTATTTTAAGATTGATGATGTGTCGGATCGTTTTATTTTCCGCCCCATCATCAGAGGTGTCATTAGTACTACCGTCTGTCATCGTTTTCGGAAGCGGTCTCCTAACACCCTGTACATGTTTAGAAGTGTCATAGAAAGTGCCTCTCAAACGATACGTATCCACTGAAGTATGAAACGTATGGAAATGAAACGTCAACAAAAAATGCGTGCCACTGTGACGTCATCTGGCCGCTAAACATGGCGGTTTTAGTGCTGCCCACAAGATTTTAATGTTATTAGGTTTTATCGATAAACGTTCTTGGCTCATTTTATTTTAAGTATTGTTGAGTATTAATTATTTGTAGAATTTATATTTTAATAGGAAGTAAGTATATTGTTATGTGCAAAGATGATGTGATTTAGATGTGTGAAATCTAAGACAAGTTCGTGCTTCAAATTTGCCAAGTGAATGATATGATGATTTTTAAAAGTTGCTACATTGATTTTGTAAAGTTGTCGTTTGACAACTCAGTCACCGCAAAACATAAAGATATGGCGTAGTAGGGTGCGGTTTGAAGGGTGGGGCAGCCGCTGTAACTATACTAGAGACATTTTAAAACTATGTCTCAAGGTGGGTGGCGCATTACGCCGTAGATGTCTATGGGCTCCAGTAACCACTTAACACCAGGTGAGCTGTGAGCTCGTCCACTCATCTAAGCAATATAAAAGTGTATTTTTCACAGCAACCGTACACCCTATGAGTTTTAATGGGGTGGTTAATGAATTATCACAGTGAGTTATAATGAGCATTGTCTCCAAGGAGAAGGCTCCAGCAGCCTGTACCTTGTGGTCCCGGCCGCGCCCGACCTGGCGCTCGTCGCACAGCTGGTCCGCGTTGTAGCCCCCGGACCTGTAATTCATATAATATATGTGAAGAAAACCTTTATCATTTAAAACCGTTAAAAGTACTTAGTTATAAAAAAGGTAATCACTCACCTATCCGTTACTCAGTGAAGAGAGTAATTCAGTTTTGTATAGTATAATAACGCTGTTTAGTTTTTAATATTAACTTTAAAATAAATTAAGGGCTTTAAATGTTGTCAGAAAATTCAATTAAGTCTTTTATTGATTTTGATGTATTTATTCCATATCATTATAATGTGTATATCTTATTATTTGGCAGAGATCGATGAACGACCTCAACCAGTGTCATGTGGCTACCTGAGCGCAATGACGTCACCGACCTTGAAGCGTGAGGTCGGAGTCTCAATTGTATTGTATAACAGTTGCCACACCCTTCTAACCAGAACGTATCACTGCTTCGCAACAAACACGGGCCGAATTGTGATATTCACCACTAGCTTTTGCCCGCGACTTCGTCCGCGTCGAATAGTTCACAAATAATGTTTTATTTTAGAATAAATTTGGTTAGCACAAAAAATGTTATAGTGAGCCAACCTTAACGTATAGACATATGAGTCGTCTATTATCAAAGGTGGCAATCTGTGCATTTGGACAAAAAAATGTTATTGATATGTCAATACAGATTGATTTGAATATAATCGTCTCCTTCAAAGAATACTGTTCCAAACCTGCATTAAATAAAGGTTAATACTTAACCTGTTATTTATCTAAGATGTCGTTCCGAAGAGTTTTGTGACTGCCAATGGAATACAAAGTCAATAATTCGTTTTTCTGATTTACCAATAATTTTCCAAAAGTCACATTGCCGGCTTTGATACTAGTCGACTCATATGCTGTTTCGGACTTTTTTTTAGATCTTTTAAAGGGGAACAATTCTGTGATACATTATTTTAACGAAACTTTAAACGTTTCTGCAACGCACGCGGCGGAAGCTCTCAAAAGAGAAAAAAAAAGATTCTCCGAACCGAAACATTATTTATTGGTGCATTGGTCTTACCGTGATGTTATTTAGCCTATAGCCTTCCTCAGTAAATGAGCTATCTAACACTGAGAGAATTTTTCAAATCGGACCAGCAGTTCCTGAGATTAGCGCGCTCAAACAAGCAAACTCTTCAGCTTTATAATATTACTAGTATAGATATGAACTTATAAGACGCCGGTCGGTGGCTGCACTACACTTGCACTTGGAGAAACCTGCTGCTCACAATCCTATTGAAGTCTTCTTTAACTCGAGAAGAGCTGTGGGTTGAGGCGGCTCACCTGACGCGCGCGGCGACTGCGTCGGCGGGCGCGGGCGGCAGGTGCTCGGCGGCGCGCTGGGCCGACGTGAGCACGGAGCGCAGGGCTCGCTCGCCGGAGCTGTTGCGCAGCGCCGCCGCGTCCTGCACACGCACACTGCTCGTCAATCGACCTCAAACCAGTACATCGTTCCCGCAGAGCAGTCGTACGGTCCCGTTTGTTGAATTATTAGTTTTAAGGGATTTTATTGTACTCGTACTGTACTTTAGTGGGAACAAATCACGCACGGTCATCCGGCTCCAATTTAGGATTCCCTGCGTTATATACAGTTAATAAACCACCGTTACTACACATTTAAACCTGAAGGAAAACTAAATAGACAAAATAAAACAGATCACACAACTTCACTCCTCGCGTTCCCGCTAAAAAATCCTAAATTGAATTCAATGAGAGGACTGTTAAAGAGTATACTGACGTATACCCAAGATGGCCGACATTACGTCATCGCGTCTATGCGCGGGGGGAGTTGGGGGGTCGACGCATAATTAGAATTAGAATTTTTACGTTATGTTATTTGAAAAGTTATTTGTATTGTGGAGTAAATAAATGTAATTATTATTATTATAAACTTACATTCAAAAACTCGTGTGCGGCGCCTATCTTGGTGTGTATCTGACTTTGGAGAGCTTTAAGCACGGTGATGTTGTCCTTCTCGCCGCCGTCCTCCACGTACGACGTCAGCTGTAGGACCCTGAAATCCGAGTACAGCTTATTGTAGTAATAATAATAATAATGTTATGGCATCAACACCGTTAAAATTATACCCATAATAATTTCATCAACCGGACGCATTCCAAAATCATTACACACACCGCTCTCAGCACTTGATTTTAATAAATATTCATACATCACTTTACAAAAATCTGTAATAATCGACACCTGTTCCATAGTGCGACGATTCCTTACATCCACTACTCAAACCCCTACAACACTACACAATGAACCAACTCACTTGGCGTAAGCCCGTGCTAGGTTTACATTTACCAGCATTAGCTGAGAAGTTTTTTTTATCCATAACCCGTAATAATAATAATAATAACTGGTTAGGACTCCATAGTGAGAAACCTCCTCACAATGCATGCAGTATCGAGGATAACTGCTTTCTGTATTAGGCCCTTAACCCAGCTGGATAACGAAAGTTTCATAAGATGTTGATCGAAACTTTTCGCTATCAAGCCGTGTACCGACACATCTATTGGAACAATGATGATTGAATCAACATGCCACATGGCGGTAGTTTCGTGGGCCAGGTTTAAATTAAATAAATAATAATAATATTTATTCAAGCCTCTTAAAATACAAACACGTACAATAATTATCTTTGAAGAGTCTTTGATTACCGTCAGTAAAATGCTGTCGGTAGTTTCCATTCAGATCTTAGAGAAATTGATCTCCAAATGCTTGAAACTTATGTTTTTATTTATTTATTGCTTAGATGGGTAGACGAGCTCACAGCCCACCTGATGTTGAGTAGTTACTGGAGCCCATAGACATTTACAACGTAAATGCGCCACCCACCTTGAGATATAAGTTCTAAGGTCTCAAGTATAGTTACAACGGCTGCCAAACCCTTCAAGCCGAAACGCATTACTGCTTCACGGCAGAAATAGGTGGGGTGGTGGTACCTACCCGTGCGGCCTCACATGAGGTCCTACTACCAGTAAATAAAACAGCCTTATCTAGATAACGGTACGATTCAGTCAAATATCTTCTATGACGGCCACCCTACAAGCGAATAAAAAATTAAAAATATGAATATCTTAATAATTCCTTCAACTCACCTGATGATCTCGTGGATCTCATCCGCCATCCTCTGCGCCAGGTAGTTCCTATTCTCAGCCGCTTCTTCCATGCCCTTGCCGCCTAAAGCAAACACAACTTACGTCATTGGACACCTAAGTCGTCATGCCCTAAAGGAAAAGACGTCCGGTGCATTCGTATGTACCGATGCACCGGTGTTCGAATCCCGCAGGCGGGTACCAATTTTTGTAATAAAATACGTACTCAACAAATGCTCACGATTGACTTCCACGGCGAAGGAATAACATCGTGTGATAAAAAATCAAAATCGCAAAATTATAATTTGCTAAATTACTGGTGGCAGGGAGATCTTGTGAGTCCGTACGGGTAGGTATATCACCACCCCGCCTATTTCTGCCGTGAAGCAGTAATGCGTTTCGGATTGAAGGGTGGGGCAGCCGTTGTATTTTAAAAACTGAGAACTAATATCTCAAGGTGGGTGGCGCATTTACGTCATAGATGTCTATGAGCTCCGGTAACACTTAACATCAGGTGGACCGTGAGCTTGTCCACCCATCTACGCAATAAAAAAAATCTGTTAAATCAGAGCAGGCACACGTCGCGATTTGCAGGTTTATTACTACGGATCTTTAATATTGTTACGCCGGTAAGAGTAACGCCATCTACCGCTGAATAGCCGAAACGAATATTAAAGGATCTAGTATCATCTAGAACAATCCAGAAGTACAACGCCATCTATTGTCAACACTAGCGGAAACACACATCGAAAATACTCGACTTGTGAGGAATGTTCTCGATAATTCTAGGGATGTCGTATCGACTATAAAAGCGTTGCAGAGATGGCACGCAGTCACCTGAAGCGAAGCGAAAGAAGTGAATTGAGATTTTTAAAGTGTTTGTGAAGTGTTCTAAGTGCTAATACAGTTTTAATGTGTACTTTGATAGAACTTTTTATTTATCCCGGACCCTAGCGCGTGACAATATGTGTTAGAAACATAAAATTGTATCTATGGAAAAGAGAAATAAATATACTCTATGGAGTCTGTCGAACATACGCAGCGCGAGTGGTTTTATTTTAAATTACAATAAATAGATTCATAGCTGACTAACTAGGCAAACAAAGACTTTAACATGGTCCTTCGACCACGACGTGAAACCAACGCATAAAGAAATCAGTTTACCAAGTGGTGCAACAAGAAAACGGTGCGACATACATTGCCGGCGAATTTTGCGAAACGCCATTTTGTTTTGCCCGGCAACGCCGTGAACGCCGCGTGCTATTTTTCATCGACACGAAAGCAAGCAAGCACTCCATCCATACATTAACGCTGTGATTACCGCGTTCTTTCAAGTTATACAGTGAAACTAATACTATCTGCATTTTCAAAGTACTACTGCGTATACGCAGTTTGCAGGTTATATTTGCTACTAGGTGCAATTATTGTGATTGTGAATTATTTTGAACAAGTCGCGGCAATCATATCATGGCAGAAGACAAAGAAGATGTACGGCGACTCCTCGCCAAGCGAGCTGCCTTTAAAGGGAACATAACCCGCATGCAGAACAGGGTGGCAACAGGCGCGCTCGATGACGCGTCCCTGCAAATGCTCCTTCTCATGGAGGAGAAGACGCTTACTGCTTACAACGAGTATGAAAATATAAATATAGAACTTGGAGATTTAGCGGAGGATCCTGATGTAACGGAGACGAGTTACCTGGAGTGCCTATCGGGCATACGAACACTTTTAGCAAGTCTACAAAAGCGAAGCGCTGCTGTCCCGACTGCGACTTCAGGTGCTGTTACTAAATTAAAATTACCACAGGTAGAGATGCCTGCTTTCCGGGGTATGTACTCTGAGTTTAGGCCCTTTATTGAAATGTTTACAGCCTTTATTGATAGTAATAAAAATTTAAGCGATATTCAAAAATTTTTCTATCTAAGAAACTTTCTTAAAAGTGAAGCCTACGACCTCGTTAAAAACTTGCCAGTGGTAGGGTCTAGCTACCAAGAAGCTCTAACCATACTCACAGAGAGGTATGATAAAAAACACAAAATTATTAATGAGCACATATGTGCACTGTTTGACATGCCTGCCTGCAATAAAAGTAGTGCTGCCTCGCTACGGTCATTAATATCGGTAGTAAAACAAAATTTAGCTGCGTTAAAAAATCTGGGAGAACCTGTTAACAAGTGGGACAGCATACTTGTATGTATGCTGACTAGAAAAATAGATGCCTCTACTCGCAATGCATATCACCTTGCTCTGGCTCAGCCTCAACCAATATTAACTACTAATAATGATCTCATACAATTTCTAGAAGCGAGAGCTTTAGCTCTTGAATCTGACGAGACGGCACATACACCAGCCACTGTGATTTCAAAGGGTAAGGTTGCAGCTAATGTGATCAATGTTAGGGAATCAAATTGCATTTTCTGTAGTAAGCCGCATAAGTTATATACATGTCCTAGTTTCATGCTAGCTTCAGTAAAAGACAGGTTAGCTTTTGTCCACAGCAAAAAACTATGTAAAATCTGTTTAAATGCCCACTCGAACAAGTGCAAGTTCCATTTTAGATGTGCCAGATGCAAGATGGGTCATAATAGCTTATTACACAATAGTGAGTATGAAACGCGAAACTCAGAACCCATGACTAGTTCTAATGTTGTAAATATGAGTGCGAGTGAGTTGAGCAAAAGGACCCAGGTCCTTCTGCCGACTGCAAAGGTCAAATTGATCTCACAGAATGGGGAAGAAATTATAGTAAAGGCGCTGTTAGATTCAGCCAGCCAATCGTCCTTTATAACCTCTAGCGTTGCCAGAGCAATAGGTAAGCAACCAATACCTAACCACATTGATGTGGTTGGTATTGCAAATACTGGGAAGACAATCAGACATGCTCTGCAATTAGATATATTCTCATGTGCTTACCCTTATAAAGTGAGGGCTAATCTCCTGTTGGTTGATCAGATAACATCAAAATTGCCACAACACCACATTAACTTAGCAAAATTAAAATTGCCAAGCAATATTAAATTAGCCGATGATTCTTTCAATATCACAAGTGATATAGGTATCTTACTTGGTGCTGATGTATTTTTCCAGGCACTGTTGCCGCAGACTGAGTGCATACAACTGACACAGGACGAGGATAAAGGTGATGCTGCACAACCATCACTCTTACACACTCAGTTTGGTTACATAGTAGCAGGTAGTGTCCCTGATTCATATATTCAGAGTTCTGCGGTTGCTCTATTCTGTCAGGAATGTGAAACTGACATAAGCGCAACCATAGCTAACTTTTGGCAATCTGAAAAAGTACCTGAGAAATTTGTGGAACATACCTCAGAACAACAATATGTTGAGAAACATTTCACTGATACAGTCAAGTTAGAAAACAACCAGTTTGAAGTTTCAATGCCACTAAAGCTACCTCTTTGTGATATGAACAATGCCTTAGGTGAATCACTCGGTCTAGCATTAAAAAGATTCTTGAATCTCGAAAATAAACTGCAAAAAGATAAACCATTACAAAAAGAGTACAAAAGCTTTATTCACGAATACCTTGAATTAGGCCATGCCTCAATTGTAGACATTACTCTCTATGATCTATCAAAAGATCCAGTCTATTTTTTTGCACATCATGCAGTGATAAAGCAAGATGCAATCACAACTAAATTAAGAACTGTATTTGACGGTTCCATGAAAACTAATAATAAAATTTCTTTGAATGATCTGATGTGGAATGGACCTATAGTCCAACAAGAGTTGTTTGACATTTTGTTGTTATTCAGACTTCATAAACACTTCTTTGCCTGTGATATCAGGCGTATGTTCCGCAATTTAATCATAGAAAAAAGCCAAAGGTCTTTGCTCAACATTCTCTGGAGAGACAGCCCGGATGAGCAACTTAAATGCATTCAGCTATCAACCGTTCCCTATGGACTGAAGTGCTCATCATGGCTGGCTACTCGCTGCTTACTGGAGCTAGCAACCAGATTCGGTAAACAATATCCGCTAGCTGCTCCTGTTCTGTTAAATTCAACATATGTTGACGATGTGCTTCATACAGACGATAGTTTAGCAAGGATTATTGCAACAAAAGCACAGCTGATTGAATTACTGAATAAAGGAAATTTCCAGTTGCATAAGTGGTCAGCTAATCACAAGGCAATCTTGGCAGAAGTACCAGAGCAGCATCAGAACTCAGGGGATTTAGAGTTCAATAATGACATTAAAACTTTAGGTTTAAAATTTTGTATACAGCAAGATTCGTTCATAATTACTTGCCCTCCAGCTTGTGATATTCCTAAAACAAAAAGGCAAATATTGAGCTATATCAGTAAATTTTATGATCCAATGGGAATTGCGGGGCCTATTTTGGTTCAAGCCAAAGTAATAATGCAAAAATTATGGACTGAGGTCGCTATATCATGGGATACGGTCCTTCCCACTAAACTACAGGATGAATGGTTGCAATTTTACAATAGTCTACAGCAGATGGCGCAGATATCAGCACCTAGAAATGTGTGTCCAGAAAATAGTAAAATTGTTCAAATTATTGGATTTTCGGATGCTGCAATAGCTGCCATGGGCTGTGCAATCTATTTACGAGTTGTTGACAACCAAGGAAGGACCACCGTGTCATTACTATGTTCAAAGTCAAAAATTGCGCCTAAATCAAGTAAGATGTCAATTCCGCGTTTAGAGTTAAATGCTGCACTCCTTTTAGCAAAATTGAGTGCCAGAGTACATGGTACATTAAGTAAAAAGATAAAGATTGATAATGTCCACTTATATAGCGACTCACAAGTAGTTTTAGCATGGCAAAAGACCGACCCGGTAATCCTCAATGCATATGTTGCAAATAGAATCAAAATTATCAATGACCTCACAATGTCTTTCAAATGGGCATATGTAGCAAGTGATTCAAACCCAGCAGATTTTCTGACAAAACCTTATGCCCCTACAGAGCTACAATGTAACCAACTGTGGTGGTCAGGCCCGTCTTTCTTGAAAGACTCAGATTATCAAATTGATGAATTTAATCACAAATCAACAAAAAACTTACCAGAGGTAAAGGACTCTGCAAGTGAAAAATTGGTGTGTGCTGCATCACAAGAAAGACCTAAGTCCTTTCTAGATTTATTAATAGAAAAATATTCTAACCTTGACAAACTTGTCAATGTTTTAGCATACATACTCAGGTTTAGTAACAATACCAGGCCAGGGTCAAATAAAATAAAAGAAAACTTTATTATGTATGCAGAGGCAAGTAAAGGGTTGCATTTATTAATTAAAAATGAGCAGGAAAGATATTTCCCGAGCGATATGGCTTTATTGCAGGCAGGCAAGCCAGCATCATCATATTTAAAATCTCTGAACCCATTTATTGATGCTGAAGGTATCCTGAGAGTAGGTGGTAGGCTTCAACATTCTGCGCTGCCATACAGCCACAAACATCAAATTATTTTGCCTAAAGAATCCACTGTGACTCATCTTCTGATTCAAAATGAGCACCTTAAATTGTTACACTCTGGTCAGAAGCTAGTTTTAAGTAGCTTGCAACAACGTTATTGGATTGTTAATGGTTTAAGGTTAGTGAAGAAGTTTCTTCATAAATGTATGACCTGTTTCAGGCATAAAGGTGTAACTGCTAAACAACTGATGGGATCATTACCTGCGGACCGAGTAAATATTAGCAGATGTTTCAAAAAGATTGGACTTGACTTTGCAGGGCCTGTGGCAGTTAAACAATCTAGAATGAGAGGTGTTATAACATCTCATGCCTACTTATGTTTGTTTGTATGCTTTGTAACTCATGCCTGCCACATTGAACTTTTATCAAGTCTAGAAACTCATACATTTATTGCTTCACTAAAACGGTTTATAGCCAGACGTAATGTCCCATCTGAGATTTATTGTAATAATGCTAGCACGTTCAAGGCAGCTAATACTCACCTGTCAGAACTTTATAAGCTTAACAGCTCAAAAACCCACCAGGCACAGGTGCAAACAGCAGCTTCCAAATTAGGTATAAATTTTCAATTTGTGCCATGTTATTCACCAGTTTTTGCTGGACTTGCAGAAGCAGCAGTAAAAAGCACTAAAACATTGTTAAAAAGAGTGCTTGGTTCGCATGTGTTAACATATGAAGAATTATATACTGTTTTAGTCCAAATTGAGGGCATCTTAAACTCAAGACCAATAACTCCAATGTCAAAAGATACTGAGGATTTGTCTTACTTGACACCGGGTCACTTCCTAACAGGTGCACCTCTCAACTGCATCCCTGAGCAAGATTTCACCAACATACCGGAAAATAGACTCAGTTTCTGGAGTAAATGCACTGCAATGCAGCAGCACTTTTGGAGATATTGGTCAAAACATTATTTAAATGTATTGCAAAATCGCCCTAAATGGAAAGATAGCCAACCTAATGTAAAGGTAGGTGCCTTAGTAATTTTGAGAGAGCTAGCTACCCCTCCAATGACCTGGCCAATGGCACGAGTAACCCAAGTCTTTGAGGGGGCAGATGGCCTAGTACGGGCCTTAGAAGTTAAAAAGGCCAATGGAAGAGTGCACCGAACCTCGATTACAAAAATTTGTATACTTCCACTAGAATAAGAAAAATTAAAATAAATTAAAATCTTGTAAGATACCTAAAATAGTTCTAGTATGTTCTTAATTAGCCAGGTATCCGTAAATTATGTAAATAGAGTTAAGTTAAATAAAATTAATAAGATCCTAGTTACCCAGGTATCCTACAATTTTGCTATTGTTTAATTAAACAACTTCTAGGATATCTGCGATTGATATAAGGTGTTGGGAAATTTAGTTAGTTTAAGTTTCTATGTATGAATTCTAATATAAACATATTGTAGATTAGATTGATCTATGTTACTACATTATTACAAACTATTGTAACAATTATTATTTAAAATTTTCATAGATACATAAATCTTTATTAATGTTTATTTGGAAGTGTCATTTCTATTTAAGAGTCTTACACTCAATAATGTTCGAACATATTTGTTTTTATTATGTACAATTTCTTAAAGTTTAATACCACATGCAACAGGTATTACGATAAAATTTACAGTCCACTCTAGAAGCAGATATCATGCAGTTAATAAAATACATTAAAGTTAAACTCAATTATTGTACTTGTATACTTTGTTTAAAATGAATATTGTCACCTCATCTCTTGTGGGGGAATATGTTAGAAACATAAAATTGTGTCTATGGTTAAAAGAAATAAAAATACTCTGTGGAGTCTGTCGAACAAACGCAGCGCGAGTGGTTTTATTTTATATTACATTATATAGATTCATAGCTGACTAACTAGGCAATCAAAGACTTTAACAATTATTTACAGTAAGAAATAAACATAACTTTTTATATACATTATGATTTAAAGATGAAAGCAAAACAGGAACAGATGTAGGTAACGGGATACTGGAAGAAGAATGAGAGTGAAGAATGAGGGTGGACAGGACAGACTGATATGATTTCAATCATCAATATGCAGCCCACACTCACACATTCCACTATCAATAATATGAAACATACATTGGCGCGTTGCTCTGGATTCGACGAGCAACGCGCTGCCCTCATCGCAGTCAAAGGAGAGGACCTCTCGCTGCCGCGCGTCGTGGCTACGATACTCGGCAGCGAGGCGTCCTGGAAGGCGATGCTCGACTTCTGCGAGTCCACCATCTCGCAGAAGGAGGCGGCGGAGCGAGAGACGGAGAGCTCTTCCCTTTCCACACCGATCCGTCGCCGTCGAGCCGGGGGCCGGAGGCGGGAATACGCCCGTACGTCCCGGCCCCTGTAGGTAGCGGCCTCCCCCCGGTGAAGGTCAAGTGGCGACCTGAGGACACCAGCGGCACCGTCTGGGCGGCCTGACGGGCTGCCGTACCGAGACGGCCGACGTTTCAGAGCCTTCGATTCGCGTCGAAGGCTCCGTCGGCTGGGCGTTCTTGGGGTGAGCCGCACCGTCTGATTGTAGTGTTGACCGCGGTAACCCCCCCTAGCTCATCCGGATTCTGACCTCGGAGGGGATCGGACGTCGGGTGTAAGAGTGCAGGGGAGTCGTTTAGTGGGTGGGCCCTAAAATCCTTGGGCCCGCGGTCTGCTCACAACACCATGCAGATCATTGAGTCTCACATACCCCGCACGCCCCTTTTGCGCGGGGACCTCGTAGGAGGATCGGCCCCATACCCGAAAAAAAAAAGGTATCCAACCAAATGACACAGACAACCCTAATTGCTTACATATATACAGCAAACTCATAATCTCAATAATGATAGGAAAAATTAATTTGTTTTATAATGGATATTTTTGGAGAGCTTGAAGAGCACTAAGTGAATCTGTGAAAATAATTGATTTGTGAAGTTTCTTACTCAAAACTAGTTTTGAAGCTTCAAAGACACCGTAACATTCCCCTATGAAGATCGAGGACTCTGGAGGAAACTCTATTTTTATTGTAGTGTGAGTAGTGTAGTATTTTAGTGTCGCTTACGACTTGCGACCATTAGACTAACGAGGCAACTAGGATTTCGTTCATTCTGACATTAAAACCAAATTTAATATTTATTAATATATAATAATATATATGTATATAATATAATAATATATACGTTAAAGACAACACCACCAATTCACAACCAAAAATTCGACTCACTATAAAGACTATTTTTGTATTTTTTTGTATGTTTTTTTTTTGTTTTTGTTTTTTTTTTATATTTTACGTTTATATATACCCACTTTATTTTAACTTTCTATTTTTGATTACTAACTATAAAGAGTAGTTGAAACACTTTTGTTGTCTTAAGTTGTCTTCGGGGTTGAGATAGCCTAAAACCTGCTTTTGAAAAAATACGTTCACAAGGAACGAATGTTGCTACAATGTTGAGCCTCTTTAAAACATACTGGTACTATCAGTGGATACACGGATTTTCGAACATGCCACCAAAGCAAGGGATCTTCTAACCGGCTTATCATGGGCTCTTGTATATATTTTTCTATTTCGACAATTCCTGCTGCAGTATTATTTTCTGGAACTAAGGTGGCGACCTCTTCATCAAAATCATACCAGATTGATGTTTCCGTGAAAACAGATGAAGTAGGCGCAGCCGGTATCGGCTCAGTAATTAGTGCCCGCACAGCTCCAACTCTCATTTTAAGGGCTGCTAATGCTTTTTTATAATTGTTGTCGTCCCGAAATCCTTTCCCTTTGAACCTTGGGTCTAGGATTGTTCATTCAGCGTATAATGCGTTACTCTCTATACTACCGAACCGCCGACGAAGCTGGTCGTTTAAAATTCTCAACAAGTCCGTATTTTTGTGGTGCCCTGTGCAGCTTCGGCTTCCGAGAGTCGATAAGTTATTTGTCTTATAAGCAACTTCGCTAAGACAATTACCTTCGACAAGCTCACAGATTTTTCGCCTGAAATCTCCACTGTCACTACGTGGATTTTTTTAAATATTGGCATAGCCGATTCAATTAAGGCCCAGTCTTCACTAGGTAGCGCTAAATCATTTCTGACTAACGCCAATGTAGCAATTACAGCCTCTTTTATTTTGATAATACGTTCCAACATATCGTATGTTGAGTTCCAGCGTGTGCTCACGTTGTCTTTTAATTTTAGTGCTGGTATATTCATTTGTTGTTGAAGTTCTTTAAGTTTGTTGAACCCAGTCGTACTCCGTTGGAAATAATCAACAATGGCCTTTACTCTACTTAAAGTATCGCTCATAGATTTTATCCCAGCTTGAACCACCAAATTTAGGGAATGTGCAAAGCAACTTATAGATCGCCATCGTCCTAACTGAATAGCTGCCAGTATATTCGCCGCATTATTTATTTATAACTTCTTATACTAGAAAGTATAAAGGCGGACTTAATGCCATAGGCATTCTCTAACAGTCTACCTTAGGGGAGGAGTGCAGAGATGAAGCTTGGTAGGTGTAGTGTGGAGGTGATATTACTTAAACATATGTGTAAATATAACATACATAATATTTATACATACAAATACTCGTACTTAAATAAATACATTTACAAAAATATATAGATATACATAAATATATACATATACATGTGGGATTTATGAATGCAGCATATGATTTATGGTGCAGATTACCGCAGAAATTCACACAAAATAATTAAAACAATCTTAACGTCGTACGATCCTTTACTCCTTCTTTTGACAACTCACTCATCATCTAATTTTACTTGACAGTGACATCTATCAATATTATAAAAGTGACATAAAAGAAAATAAGAACAATCAGAATCCCACATACATATCATAAATATATAAATACAAAAACATATATAAACAAATATGATCAATTAGATGACTCTGCTAACTCTCTGAGAAACAGTTCTCGAACCTTCGTCTTAAACGCTTCACGAGTAGCGGCCGACCTTATTTTGAGTGGGAGCGCATTCCATAGAAGAATAGACTGAATAGTGAATGAAGAATGTAAAAAGTCAGAACTATGTGGAGGACAGCGAAGAAGAAGAAGATTGTGAGATGAACGAAGATTTCGGCTGTGGTCAGACCCTAAGTATTGAAAGGAAGTAGTTAAATAAGCAGGTGGATTTGGGGAGTGCAACAAAGATTAAAGAGTACTGAGAGCACGCAAGCTACGGAGTTGACGAGTGGGGAGCCATTTGAGTTGGGAGCGATAAGAAGATACGTGATCGTATTTCCGAAGATTATAAATAAATCGAATGCAGTTATTGAGAAGCCGGTTAAGTTTATTGAGTAGATCTGCATTCAGGTCAAAGTAGCACACATCACCATAGTCGATCATGGGGAAGACCAAAGTTTGAACGAGCATTGTCTTGGTCTAGGGCGGAAGGACATTCTTCAGGCGGTAAAGCATACGGAGTGTAAGTGTAACTCGCTGACACACGGAGATGACCTGGGCTCGCCAACTCAGACTGGAGTCAATAAGTAGGCCTAGGTCCTTTACAACTGAACACCAGTTGATGGTTGAGCCATCATATATAACCGATGGGACATATACCATATCCAAGCGATATAACAAGCGTTGACTTCCAACAATAATAGCCTGACATTTGGCGGGATTCACGCTTATGCCGAAACTGTCAGACCAGGCTTTAATGTAGGACAGGTCGTTATTTATTTTTCCAACTGCCGTAGACACACTATCGACTCCAGCATAAAGCTGCAAATCATCGGCATATATACGCACATTGAAGATTTTCGGTAATGAGATTAATAGAAATTGAAAATAGTAGAGGAGAAAAAATGTCGCCTTGAGGAACGCCAGATTGCAGATCACACCAACTAGACGAAGACTCGTTGATGTGTGTACGGTTGCTTTAGCAAGAGTAAAGAGTAAACTGCCCTTTACTAATGAAACAAGTTGATTGCAATTATAACTCCGTATATTCACCAGTGTCTGCCGTGTCGGGTGGGCTATGTACGACTGACCAAATGCATGCGATGCACAAAACTGCATACGCTGCTAAACTGTGTCCCTACATAAGCCCCCCTTTTTTTAAATACATACATTTAAAAAAAAAAAAACATTTACATGCTTCAACTAATTTCTAAAATTGCAGACATTTCGTTAAACAATAAACATGACAAAAAAAATATAAATCAATGGAACAGAATAAAAATTTAAACATAACATAAAAAAAATATTAACCTATACGTACATTTTACACAAATTACGTACGTTGCTTATTACACGAAACGAACGCGGTTACACGAAAACGGTACTTCTTGCTTCTTGAGGTTGAGATTTAGGCGCGACTTCACGCAACTAGATGGTGGCAGCTGACGGACGGCCTTGTCCGAGCTGTACATCCCGGAACCTCATTTGTCTCCAAATATAATTCTGTGCACCCTTGCAACAGCGCGTAAACAGGAGGTATAAACCAGCGAGTATTATAACTCCTACGATTACTCCAAGGCCAATAGATAAATACTGCAGATTCTGTAGGTTATCTACTGTCTCCTTATTTATCGTCAACGATTTGTCCTCTTCTTTAACATAATAGTTTCCCATTTTGGGGTATTAGGTGTAGATGTTATCGTACATAAAATTGAAACGAAACTGGACAAATAATGTGCATGAAGTACAATATGCATAAAAGTAATATAAGTAAATTGCTGTCGACATCACGCTCCAAATAATAAATTCAAAATAATTATTTTGTCGCATCATGAAATCGCTCAACCTCAATTAACAAATCGCACCGGTTTTCGTATTTGCCTACCGCTACGTGAGTATGTATGAGTTGGAACGACAATACATTGTTTAGGCACTGATACATTAAAAGGCAAAACAATATCGTCCGTAATGGGCGGACATAAAGACGATGTTAGAACGTCCTCCTCAATCCGCCGGTTTCAATCTATCTATCGACACACGCATTTCTCTATGTGGTAACTGAATTTTAAAAACCTTAGAAGTTCGCTGTAAAATTTTATAAGGTCCTGAATAAGATGGTTCGAGAGATGAACGTTCAACCTCATTTCGTACAAAAACGAATTTACACGTATTCAAATCAGGGTGTACAAAAATAGATTTTTGATCTCTGTTTTTAATTGAAACAGGACGAATTTTATGAATAGATTCTCTAATTTTCCCAATTAGCTCTGCGTCATTATTACATTGTTGTTTTGTGTTAGCACAAAACTCTCCTGGTAACCTGATATTATTGCCATAAACCATTTGTGCTGCGCTGACACCTGTGTCGCTACGTGCAACAGCGCGTAACCCGAGTAGGACCGTAGGTATCTGATCAATCCACGTACTGCCCGTGCATTCGAGCATCGCTCGCAAAGATGTCTTGAGAGAACGATGCCAACGCTCGACGATGCCATTGCACTGTGGGTGGTTCTACTCTTCGCTACACCCAAGTACTTTAGAAGTGAGTTGAAGAGATGACTCTCGAATTGGGTACCTTGGTCACTAGTTAACCTAACGGGACATCCAAAACGCACTATCCAACCTTCATAAAACGCTTTAGCTACGGTGTTAGCAGAAATATCCTTTAGAGGGAAAGCCTCAGGCCACCGTGTAGTTCGGTGATTAACATCAACAAGTATCTATAACCTTCTTGTGACGTCGGCAGTGGGCCGACTAGATCTAAGTGAACATGCTCAAATCGATCTGCCCGCTGAAATTCACCGAATCGCGATATGGTGTGTCTCGTGACCTTAACCTTTTGGCAATGAACACAGGTTTTGGCCCAGAGACCTACGTCCTTGTTCATATTCGGCCAATAAATTTTTTCGCTAACTAACTTCCGGGTCGACCTTATACCTGGATGGCTTAGATTGTGCAACATCTGGAATGCCTTTCGTCTAAAACTCTCAGGCAAATAGGGTCGAATACGGCTAGTTGACACGTCGCAATAAATGGTTTGATTAGAATCAGGTAATGAAACTTTTTTAATATTAAAATTAAAGTTCGTGTCCGGTGACTTTAACAACTCCGACAATTCGCCGTCAGCATTTTGCGCTTGGAATAATTCTTGGTAGTCGATGTTCGTGGGACACGTTACTGTCTCTATGCGCGATAAGCAGTCTGCAACTACGTTCTCGGAACCGTTCACATATCGAATATCAGTTGTGAACTTACTGGTAAACATGAGCTGTCGAGTACGTCGTGGGGTATCTTTCGCGCTAAGTTTTTGACTAAACGCATGAGTTAACGGCTTATGATCTGTTAGCACTGTAAAAGTACGTCCTTCAAGCATATACCTAAAATGCTGTATGCTGAGGTAAATAGCTAACAGTTCCCGATCGTAAGCACTATACTTACGCTCCGTATCCGTCATACGTCTAGAAAAGTATCCTAAGGGTCTCCAAGAACCTCGGACTTCAGTTTGTAAAACCGCGCCTACGCAATCATTAGACGCGTCCGCCATGAGACATAAGGGAGCGTTTTCACTTGGATAAGTTAACAACGCTGCCTCTTGTAAGTCGCGTTTACACTGTAAAAACGCATTATCCGATTTTTCGTCCCATAGTATCTTCGACTTATCCTTTTTCTTGGCGCCTTTTAAAAATTTATTGAGCTCTGCCTGCCGCTGGGCCGCTTTTGGTAAGTGAGCTCTATAGAAATTCAGCATCCCTAAAAATTGCCTCAACTTGTCAACAGTTTCTGGGCGAGGGAAATAGACTATCGCCTTGACCTTGTCCCCCAAAGGTAACACACCGTCGCTGGACACTTGATATCCCAAGAATTCAATTTTCTGTTGACCGAAAACGCATTTACTCAAATTAATGGTTATGCCGAATTTGTCAAAACGTTTAAAAGTCGCGTCCAATTGCGACTATCACCGTCCGAGCTCATAGCTTGTATTCCCTGCAACACCGAGTTGTTCATGAATCGTTGAAAGGTTTGGGCTGCATTTCTAAGACCAAAACTCATTCGCGGAAATTCATATAGACCGAACGGCGTGATAATTGCCGTTTTCTCTATGTCGTCGGGGTTTACAGGAATGTTGTGATAAGCTCTGCAGACGTCCAATCTAGAGAAAATAGTTTTATTAGGTAAGATATATGTAAAGTCTTGTATACTTGGGATAGGATACAAGTCAGGTTTAGTTATGGCGTTCAAGGCTCTATAGTCGCCACAGTCGCCACAAGGTCTTAATAGGCCGTCTTTTTTAGGCACAACTAGACCATGCTCCATTAGATGGACGACATATGCCCATTTCCTGCATGAGTGTGAACTCAGCCTTAAGTTTCTTATATCGGTCGAGCGGGAGCGGCCTTGAGCGCGCTGACACCGGCCGGCCGCTTGTCTCGATAAAATGCATTACGGAATGTTTAGGTACGTCAGTACAATTAATCGATTTGCAAATATCTGGGTATTTAGACAATAATTGTTCATACGAATGATTAGAATCGATAGTTCTCAACGAGGGCTCATTCCAATTTACAACAGTGGCTATAGTACCGATGTTAGTTTGTCGATCAATAAATCTATGACCAGATAAATCCACTAAAAGTCTGTGATATTTTATGAAATCTGCTCCTAAAATAGGCTGTTTGACATCGGCTATTATAAATGTCCAATGATAATTACGTCTTAAATTTAAATCTAATACAATAGTTTTAGAACCATAAGTCTTAATTTCCGAACCGTTTGCGGCGTATATCGTATAGTCGCACACTTTAGAATCGCACTTTTTCACTAACCTGCTGTTATACGGAATTACGGACACACTAGCACCAGTATCAATCAGAAAACGTAATCCTGTCGTAGAATCAGTAATTGTAAGGCGGTTGTTGGTAAGAAGACTCGTACAGCCGTCCGCCGCGGGCTGCACCTCCATCAGTTTTCCGTGGTGTCCTTCCAGCTACAGGGCTGAACGCACTTGTTGGCTTTCGTACTGTTAGAATTGAAACTAGGAACTTCTTTTTAAAAAACAATTTTAATACTCCCTAGACTAAATTTATAGTATTTATAGGGAAAGTGAGGAAAACTCGGTATACGTCCCACTCCGATGAAAGTCTGACCCGAACTGCTTTAAAAAGCTAGCTAGAAATCATCATCGGGAATAAATGCTGATGTTGATGTTTGGTAAGCATTATTGTATGCTATGTAGGGATATAACAACCCCCCGTTTAAGATGAAACTTATAGGTTTTTGAAAATAAGTTTCAAGTAGATATGCGAATTCTCGGAATTGGAATTTCTTTCATTTCTTGGACTTCATCTAATGCACTATCGGGCTTAGTTTTGTTTAGGAAAGTAGGACATTTACCGAATCCTTTACATAACTTATAAAATACAAAAAACATGAATAAAATAAGTAAACAATAGGTAATAATAGGACAGTGGGAATCGTATTGTATAATTGGGTCAGGCGTATTCACAATATTATCAATATTCGTCATTAATTGATGATTTGAAACACTTCTTTTTCTAAATGCATATCGTACAATTTTAAAGGTTCTAACTTCT